TTTTAAAAATATATAAATCTACAATTTTCGCCCGTTATGCAAATTATCCCATGTTTCCCACTATCGTTGATGCCCTGGCATACTATACGAACTAGACAGTGATTCCTTAAATGTAATGTACATGTCAGATATGAAAGTCCTATCTCTTCTCAATCAAAAGTTATAAGGAAGTGAACCTGATGACCTCATATGGCAAAATTGCGAAGATTCAACTTTTCTTAATTGCAAATTAAATATATATATATTGGTAGTTTCTTAAGAAAGGCCTTTCCACAAGTATTACATACGTGAAGTATGAAAGCCCTTGTCCGAACCGTACAAAAGTTATTGCCAAGGTTAAAATTTTTAAAAAGTAGATCAATCTCCAAGGTCAAGGTCAAAGGGTCAAAGTTGTTGGTATTCAATGAAAGGTTTCCTCACAAGGATTACAAATGTGAAGCATGAAAGCCCTATCCATTACCGTTCAAAAGTAATGACCAAGGTCAAAGTTTTTTTTCAAAAGTACAGAAATCTCCAAGGTAAAAAGGTCAAGGTTGTTGGTACCCAATGAAAGATCTTGCCACAAAGAATACATATGTGAAATATGAAAGTCCTAGTATCTACCATTCAAAAGTTATGACAAAAGTAAAAGTTTGGAATTTTTGTGTAAAAGTGGGTCAAACTCCAATGTCAAGGTCAAAAGGTCAAATTTGGTGGTACCCAAAGAAAGGTCTAGTCCCTAGGAATACACATGTAAAATATGAAAGTCATAGCTCTAGTAAATCAAAAGTTATGAGCATGGTTAAAGTTTTTGTGACGGACGGACAGACGAATGAGATTTAATGTCCCCTCGCTTTCGCGAAAGCGGGGGACAAAAATTCAAACGGGAGGGCGCACGCCCGTAGCGCCAGCCCTGGATCCGCCTTTGCCATATAGTTTTTAACTGTTCATGCTGTTGCAGAAATAGAAAAAAATTCCGATCGACAAACTACAATTTCAAACCAGGTTTGTTTCTAAAACCTTTACATGGACGATTAAAAAAAATACATAGCAGGTTCATACCTTATCCATATCTAAATAATTAGAGCTTAAAAACAATTACTAAAAGTTATCATTTTGACCAATGATGCATAATCTAACATTCTATAACCCCCTCCCCCCCTCTTTTTTCCTAGCTCATTAAAATCCATCATCGTTGTTTGCAGAGAAGGGTAAATTAATCTAGCACAGCTTGCATTTCCAGTGTCGAGTAATGATGAGAAAATGTGAATTAAATCACAGTCAATTCAAACGTAAAAACAATACTATTAGCTTTAAGCAGATTATTATTTTATTGTTACAGAGGAAATTTTTCGTGGAAAAACTGCGTTACAAAATTGGGTCATATTGCTGATAAATGTGCCAATTTTTCAAATAAATTTGTCAAAAGGTGTGATGACCAACTTCTGTATATCTTTCAAAAATCTAAATCATTGATTTAATATGACCTTAACAAAAAATATAAACATTACACAAATCTGCGAATAAGACATAAAGACGGACCACCGGAAATTACAGAGGTGAAATCAGGTGCCAAGGTGGAGTAAGCATCCCCTATTGACCGACTACACCCGCCGTAAGCAAAATGTACTGATCAATTAGACAGGACATTCCGCAGTCATATTACGGAACAACGCGTCAACCACAATATACGACCAATATACTAAAGATGTTACTATAAGGTCATTAAAGGACTATTTATATATAGTACAGTTTATTACATTTTTACCCGCGAAATACTGTAATCTATTCATTGAATAAAAAATATATTGTTTCACAGTATGAAAAGATATTGAAATGATTATACATTTATTTACTATTTCAAAGTATGACAATTATCAGAAAGGCGAAGACACTCTCGAATTTACTTTTTCATAACGAAGAGTGTGTTAAAAATACTCCCTGGACTGATAAAAGAGAGAGAGAGAGAGAGAGTTTTCTTCTTTTAACGCAGTCATAGCTTAAAAGTCGATAGAGCGCCATCTTCGCTAGCCAATGGTTTTCGGTCTCTTCCGCTCCCCGTGTTCGGAAGTCTTCAAGGTCGTGAGTTCGAATCCCGGCCTCGACTGTCGATAAAAATAGGTAGCAGCTGTTCCTTCGTCATGCGCTCGGTACTTTGAAGTGAAAGTGAAGCGGGTCCTTAATTCGGATGTGAACTGAACAAGAGGCCCAGGGGCCGCATCGCTCACCTGAGCAATTAGCTAGGTAAAAGCAAAAATCAGTTCAGTATTGAAAAGTTTAAATATATCATAAAATGGGTTCGAGGGAGGAGGGGATATTTGAACAAACTTAAATCTACACTTCCTAAAATTGCGTTTAAATTAATATATGGCTTTGTTGATTATTGTTATGATTCAATTTAATGATGTTTTTAAATTGATTATCAATTATGGCTTTGTGAAGAATTTGAACAATTTTTCCCATGTATTTCTATGTAAAAACTCTGATACCCGATTTTGGCCCCACTCTACCCCAAGGGGTCATGATTTGAACATTAACTTGAATCTAGACTATCCCAGGATGCATCCATATAACTATGACCAATCACAACTTTGCTGTTCTCAAGAAGAATATTTTTAAAGATTATTTCTATGTAATCCTACTTTGATCACCCATAATGGCCCCATCCTTGCCCCAGGGGTCATGATTTGAACAAACCTAAATCTTTATTACCAGAGCATGCTTCTACTGGCCCACTGGTTCTTGAGAAGAAGACTTTTAAGGATTTTCCAATGTATTCCTACCTTAAACTTTGATACCCTTTGTCGCTTCCACCCTAACCGGAGGGGGGGGGGGGTCATGATTTGAACAAACTCGAATCTACACTACATAAGGATGCTTCCACATAAGTTTCATTTCCTGGCCCAATAGTTCTGGAGAAGAAGATTTTTTTCTATATATTCCCATGTAAAAATTTGATCAGCCATTGCCCCCCCCCTACCCCGTGGGATCATGATTTGAACAAACTTGAATCTACACTACTTGAGGATGCTTCCACATGAGTTTCATTTTTCCTGGCCAAATGGTTCTGGAGAAGAAGATTTCTAAAGATTTTTCCTATATATTCCTATGTAAAACTTTGATCAGCCATTGTGGCCCCGCCCTACCCCCGGGGGTCATGATATGAACAAACTGGAATCTACACTACCTGAGGATGCTTCCACATGAGTTTCATCTTTCCTGGCCCAGTGGTTCTGGAGAAGATTTTTAAAGATTTTTCCTATATATTCCTATGTAAAAATTTGATCGGCTTTTTTGGCCCCACCCTACCCCCGGGGGTCATGATTTGAACAAACTTGAATCGACACTACCTGAGGATGCTTCCAGATGAGTTTCATCTTTCCTGGCCCAATGGTTCTGGAGAAGAAGATTTTTAAAAGATTTTTCCATTATATTCCTATGTAAAAATTTGATCAGCCATTGTGGCCCCGCCCTACCCCCGGGGGTCATGATTTGAACAAACTTGAATCTACACTACCTGAGGATGCTTCCATATGAGTTTCATCTTTCGTGGCCCAATGAATCTGGAGAAGAACACTTTTAAAAGATTTTTCCATTATATTCCTATTTAAACTTTGATCAGCCATTTTGGCCCCGCCCTACCCCCGAGGGTCATGATTTGATAAAAACTTGAATCTACACTACCTGAGGATGCTTCCACATGAGTTTCATCTTTCCTGGGCCAATGGTTCTGGAGAAGAAGATTTCTTAAAAATACCATTAATTATTCATTAATTCATAATTATCTCCCCTTGGAAGAGGGCTGGGCCCTTCATTTGAACAAACTTGAATCCCCTTTACCCAAGGATACTTTGTGGAAAGTTTGGCTGAAATTGGCCCAGTGGTTCTTGAGAAGAAGATGAAAATGTGAAAAGTTTACAACGACCACGACGACGACAACAACAACGACGAAGACGACAGACAATGGACACATTTTGATTAGAAAAGCTCACTTGAGCCTTCGGCTCAGGTGAGCTAAAAACCGTTTCCCCGTGTCACGGTAGACGTTGAGACAACCTCACTGCTCAACGCTCATAAGTGACGAGTAAAGGTCAAAATTTTATGCCCTTCAGCGGTAAATGTTGACGTCTCTCTTTGAGTGAAATATTCTCGAATGGGAGGTAAAATAACATAATCAATCAATCAACTATAAACTAGTGAAGGGCTTCAAATAAATAAACCCTTTCAAGGCACACAAGACTTTGGGCAGTGAGAGATCTTATCAATTGTCAACATATTTAATGTCACAAGACGTCGGCGTTTTAGGTCCCATCTAAACTAGCGCTTGGCGAAGTTGCTGCAACTGTTTCAACCCAGGATTTCTATATCAAGAAGCGAGCGTTCTATAGACTGAGCAGTGAGACAGTAAGTGCAGCTAACACTGTGAGGGGCATTTGTGCTATTTAATTCGATCGTGCAAATTTTGAAGTAAGACATTTAAAATTTGAAAATTACATGTTTATAAGAAATAATGAGAAATCTGAATCGTTATACCTCCTTAGTTTTTTATGCTGGAGGAAAGACCACAGAATAAATGCGTAACTATGTCTTTTTCACAGTTCCAGATTTGCAGTTTTTGATTGTATATTGTTTAACGTCCCTCTCGAGAATTTTTCACTCAGTGGAAAGCTGCAAAATTTGTCCTATATTTGGTACTTACGGCCATTGAGCAGTGACTGATCTTTTTGTGCCAGCATCTACACGGGACCTTGTGTTTAAACGGTCTCATCCGAAGGACTGGTCTCCATGTCCTCCAGTGGGAAACGAACCCGCGACGTACGAATCAACTCCTTACTTCCCGACTCTAGAGCAAACGCTCTAACAACTGTGCCACGTGGTCGACCAGAAATTGCAGTTGTACAAACAGCTGTGCATGTATTTCTTAATATTATTTTCATTACAAACATTAAAAATGCCATAGATATGTAAACTTTATATCACTTTCTAGTTATTTAACTCAGTGTTATTTTCTAGTTATTTATTCAAGTAAAATTTTATTCATTTTTACAAAACAGCATTGCAGAAGAGCTCCTTGATGTATCCCACTAAGGTTGTATAGATCTCTCCGGTGGCGAAGCAGTTACAGTAGTTGATGTTATCGATGCATTTTGTGCCGTTTCCAACGTTGTAGATTTTCCCATAAATAGAGCAGGTTTCTATTATAAGGAGAATTTTATGTTCGTAAATAAATTAAGATAGGGTTCAAATTTAAAACATGTGTTGCAAAATTATCGATTTCAATTGATTATTAAAAGATCAAAATATCATGGTATACTATATAACCTTATAGTTGGGACATACTACGTATTATTAACCTGAAACGAAGCGTTAAATGAGAAATTCAAAAGCGTAACTTTTAACAATCAAGGTTAAAAAAATGATTTAATTGAAAATTACAGTTATTCCCGTGACAAAAGAAGCACATTAAACGCACGATAAAAACCAAATTAATTGCGCGTTACAACTAGAAATACTAGTATATTGTTTATACAAGTATGGCTGATTAATTGCCTTTATGCTCCTCATTTCTGAATAGACTACCCTACCAAATAAAATAACTTCAAAATTTATGACAACGAAAATACAAATCGAATGATAACACTTGGAATTATGTTTTTTGTCATTTTTCCTACCGAAATAAAATTGAAACACCCCTTCAAAATACAGAAAATTTGCAGTTTTCAAGAGTATTAATGTTTTTGTACTTAAATGTAAATTTTCCAAATCGTGTAAAAGTACAAAAGAGCAAAACATACCAAAATTTACACAAGGTGCACTGCATGGAAGTTAAAAACACTTCTTTACGGTTCATTTTACCTATTCCAACTTTTTGAAAATCAGATAGAAAAAGGTAAGATTTTATGTGGGAATAGGTGGAATTTTTGTGTAAACAAATAATTAACTATGAAAACATATATATATTTACTGCACAATGATTAATGAACAGCTATTGGAATAGAGGACAGGTATATTTGCTTTATTAAATTATAAATCAGACTTTTTACTAATATTTGAAAGAAAAAATGGTTTTTAATAGAATTAAACTATATATTATCTCCGTTAATATATTCATTCTAAAATCCACCTATTTGAATGCTTTTTTTCAATAAATCTATTTATTTTATGTTCTTAAATTAAGATATTAAGTTGCTTTTTCTTGTAAGGCCTTTTTTTATTTCAAAAATCCGAAATAAATCATATTTCCTTATAGATGTATTCATTACTTTCTGTCTTAATATGTACAAAATACAGGTAAATCTAAAGAGCAGATGTAATTATTCTAGTTACTGTAAAAACAAATTAACCATCTAAACATCTATTGTTATTTGCAAATGGGAATAGGTGGAATTGAGATTTTTAAAAAGTGGGAATAGGTAGAAGACACCTTTACTAATAAAGACCATACCTGGACAGAACTGGCACCCGTCGCCTGCTGTTAATCTCTCTTCCTCGGTACACATGTCTGGTGTTTCGCATTGCCAACTTTTGCAGTAAAGCAATTCCTCATCATCTACTGTTTCACGCATACATATCCTCCGAGTGTGATCAACATTTGCGTTTCCAGGGTAAACCTCACATTCATAATATGTAGAAGGTGTACTAAAGGCATCACCTGTAATTAAAAAAGTAGATTAATTCACTACGTAATCTTCACAAAATCACCACAGCACAGTTTAGATTGTGATACTTTTAGTTAAGAATTTTAAATGAACCAACTTTTATCTTAATTCAAAGCGTACACGGAGTCCAGAAGATGGTTTCAAAGAGAATATTTAAAACGATTTTTATCACCTCTGATGTGCTTTTGACGAATTATAGTTCAAATTTACTTGGAATAGTCTTTCATTCAGAAAAAATAATTAATTAACATGAAGGAAATATCTTATGATAATAATCATAAACATTTTATTTATTTTAAATTTAAAAAGTACGAAAATGAAGAAAAAATATTTGAACTCACCCAAAGAAATAAGGTAAAGCATGGAACCCAAAATCAAATGATTTCGACTCATTTTCTGAACAAAAAAAAATGCATAAAATATTTGATATTATTTTATTAAATGAATGAAAAGGCATTTGCTTCTGATATTTGTGAATGTCATATGAAACAATCAGAGCACTTTACCTTCTACTATGGGAGCGACGGGAACAGAATAATTTTATCCCATGATGTTCGCTTTTTATTCACTCTGCATGCAAAAAATAAAATCACTGCAGATTTTACAGGAATTTCTCCAATTGACATTTTATACCCTTTGGATGTAGAATTAAGTGATTATCATTAAATGATGTTTAGGACGACACGTAACAAATCATACATTGCAACATGTGTATGATCTGTCACCAAGGTTTAAAGTTCTATTTTAGAAAGTTCAAAGCAAAGTAAAGTCCTATACTTCTTTCATGGCATTAAAGCAATTAAAACAAAGAGTATGAAAAATAATGAAATGTTTCAAAAGACGTGGCCGATATATAAATGAATTAAATAAAGAATAAATATAACATGCATATAGTAAATTTCGAAGGATCGGAAATTTTATTCCGCTATAAATGAAATATATCATATGTTATTAAGTGAGGAACACGTACAATGTGTATTAAACTAATTGGAAGGAATATATAAATTCTCAATAAATGAGAATTCATCAGAGAAAATCACGTGATCAACGAATTTTACTGTACTTTATTCCACATAACCAGGAAAACTTAATTTGTTACAAGCTTAATCTAAAAAAACTATTTTGTAAAGAAATTTTGTAAATAAGTAACATTACTTTAGCTGAATTCAAGATGCATGTTATATTCAATTAACGAAAGCGTCCTTATTTATGCATAAAGATACTATTTTATTACTAATGTAATTCATAAGCTAATGTTTTAACAATGATAGTTTTGTTTGTTGTTTAACGTCCTTCGCAAGATTTTTTCACTCAAGTGGTAAGTAGTCATATCTCTACTTTTTTTAAATCTTGGCTTTTAGTTTGTCACGTGATCAAATCCTGTGAAGCCCGAAGGGCTTCTCAGTAGATTTGATCATGTACCAACTAAAAGTTCATTTCCCAGAGACCTTTTTAACATTTTTGTTTATTACTTATATTTACATTTTAGACGAATAAATTTTGAGTGAAATTGCATTTATTACACGATCGGGCCGCCGTATTGCTATGTTGTGACGCACAATGACCTAGAAGTTGTTTGGTCATTTTTGAAGTAAGTTTACCTCGCTCCAACATTTGAATGTTTACATTCATGTTTAGCAGTCCAGTTCAGGAAATACCTGTATATAGCGAAAGAACAAGGATCGCAGCTGAGAATAATCTAACTATTCCATAAGTTCTTACAATATTTAAAGTCAAAAGCGGCGGTATCGCCTGTTTGAGTTTACATAACTCCAAAGGAATTTCGGGTTAAAAAGGTTAGTGCAGTTTTAGGCTAATCAAAACCTTATTCACATCAAAGGAAGATTTAATTGTACATCTCGCGATTGAAAAATACCCATTTTGTTTATCATTTTACCTATTTCATCGTTATTAACTTAGAAACATTCCAAAACAAGTTGAACCATGACAGAAATATGTAGACAAAATATCACCTCGCTCTGTGATTCGGTCGGGCTATGACCTCTGACCCCCAAATAACATTCAAACAGAATTGAACATATTTTCTCTTCAATAGGTTCATCTAAGAAAGATATTTGCAAATGTAAATATATATTTGGCAATGAGCGATCTTATCAACTGTCAACATATTTAGTGTCAGGAGTAGGTCTCATCTAAACTAACGACCAGTGAAATTAAACGCTTCATGAAAGCTGCTGTAAATTCGTTAAGAATCCCAAAGAAATATATTCACTAAAATGTTTGAAATTTACAGCTGCTCATGAGCAGGTGGATTTCAAAGAACAAAGATAATATGATGGGCATCGAAAATGGGTATCTTCCTTGGTGACCAGGAATTACAACAACCAATTTACTGTTTGCCAAAATTCAACAAATTATATCTGATGATGTTTGATTGACTTAAAGACACATATATGTAGCAAAACTGGTATACATAATTTAGGGGGATAGTTTACACTATTTTACAGAAACATTTGACAGAAAAAAAACTTATTACTCAATGGTCAACGTATGAGCTAATGAGGCCCAATATGCTGCAAATGTCGTGCGCATCTGTCTCTGTGTCTGACGCTGAGGAAGCCAAATATGCACGTAAATCTCGTGCGGCTGCCTTTGTGTTTGACGTCAGTGGGCAAGGACTATTGAAATTGGCATGAGAGTAACTTAAAACTATGTCTACATTTTTAAAGTTTAAATCTGCAATTTTATTTCCCAATGAAATGGAAATATAAGGAATCACTGTGTAGTTAGTATAGTATGCCAGGGACATCAACGATAGTGGGAAACATGGGATAATTTGCATAACGGGCGACTAACTATATACTAAATAACTATTAAGCATATACTAACTAGACAGTGATTCCTTAATTCAAAACATTAAAAATGCCACAGAAATTTAAACTTTATATCACTTTCTAATTATTGAACTCTGTGTTACTTTCTAGTAATTTATTCAATTTACATATCATTCATTTTTACAAAACAGCATTGCAAAGAAGCTCCTTGTTGTAGCCGACGTAGGTTGTAGAGACACTTCCGGTGGCGAAGCAGTTACAGGAGTTGATGTTGTCGATGCATTTTGTGCCCTCTCCGACCTTGTAGATTTTTCCATAAATAGAACAGGTTTCTATGAAAATGAAATGGAAAATTTATTTTGATAAGTAAATTAAAATAGTGTTCAAAATAAAAACATGCGTTGCAACAGCATTGATTTCAAGCATTAAAAGAGCGAAAATATCATGTTATAATGTATAATAGTATAATTTTAGTTGGGACGTATTACGTATTATAAACCTGAAACGAAGCGTTAGAAGAGAAATTCAAAAGCGTAATTTTTTACAATCAAGATTAAGGTCAGACGACATGTTCCTCAAATATATGTCCTGTATCTCTTGGTAATATATATAAAATTGTTCATAGTTGTCATTTTCTTCTGATTTCTACATTGTTTTCAAAATGTTTTTAAATATAATGACACAAAAAAAAATTGTGTTATAGGCCATTTAGAAAATTACCGATAAAGGTTATATTTGAAATATGACCTTATAGTATTTTGGCCAAATGCCAGGTAAGGTACCCTAATTTTTTATGAGGAATCTTGTTTAAGTACCTATACTTCAGGGACAAATTCTTAGGAGAAAATATATATATTTGAGGAACATGTCGTCTGGCCTTAAAGAATGATTTAATCAAAAATTAAAGTTATTCCCGTGATCTCAATTTCCACAACATGCACTACATGGAAGTTAAAAACACTTCTTTACTAATATACATAGAGACCGTACCTGGACAGAATTGGCAACCGTCGCTTGCTGTTAATCTCTCTTCCTCAGTACACGTGTTTGGTGTTTCGCATTGCCAGCTTTTGCAGTAAAGTAATTCCTCATTATCTACTGTTTCACGCATACATTCCCTCCGAGTTTGATCAACATTTGCATTTCCAGGGTAAACCTCACATTCATAGTATGTAGAAGGTGTGCTAAAGGCAAAACCTGTAATTAAAAAATACACTATGGATTAATTCACTACATAATATTCACAAAATCACCACATCACAGTTTAGATTATGATGCTTATAGTTAAGAATTTTAAATGAACCAAATTTTATCTTAATTCAAAGCGTACACGTAGTCCAGAAGATGGTTTCAAAGAGAATATTTGAAACGAATTTTTATCACCTCTGATGTGCTTTTGACGATTTGTAGTTACAATTTACTCGAAATGGTCTTACATTCAGAAAAAAAAACTAATTAATTAACATGAAGGAAATATCTTATAATAATAATTAAAAACCTTTTATTTATTTTAAATTTAAAAATTACGAAAATGAAGAAAAAATATTTGAACTCACCCAAGGAAATAAGGTAAAGCATGGAACCCAAAATCAAATGATTTCGACTCATTTTCTGGAAAAAAAAATGCATAAAATGTTTGATATATACTTTTTCTAATAAAAGAAAAAGCATTTGTTGCTGATATTTGTGAATGTCATATGAAACAACAAGAGCACTTTACCTTCTACTATGGGAGAGACGGGAACAGAATAATTTTATCCCAGGATGTTCGCTTTTTATTCATTCTGCATGCAAAAAATAAAATCACTGCAGATTTTACAGGAATTTCTCCAAACTGAAATTTTATACCCTTCGGAAGTAAAATTAAAGTGATTATCATTAAATGATGTTTACGACGACACGTAACAAATCATACATTGCAACATGTGTATGATCTGTCACCAAGTTTTAAAAGTTCTATTTTAGAAAGTTCAAAGCAAAGTAAAGTCCCATACTTCTTCCCTGGCATTAAAGCAATTAAACAAGTGTGAAAAACAATGAAATGTTTCAAAAGACGTGGCCGATAAATAAATGAAATAAATAAAGAATGAATATAACATGCAATTCATAAGCTATTGTTTTAACAATGTTAGTTTTGTTTGTTTGTTTGTTTGTTGTTTAACGTCCCTCGAAAGAATTTTTCACTCAAGTGGTAAGTAGTTATATCTCTACTTTTTTTTTAAATCTTGACTTGAACACATACAAACACATTCATTTTTCTTTCATATATTTTATTTTTTGACAAAGCAACATTGCAAAAGAGGTCCCTGTTGTGACAAACCCAAATTGAAGAAACTGCCCCAGTCTGAAGGTAACTTCAGAAGTAAACATTATCGATGCATGTTGTACCTTCTCCGACATCGTAGATGTAAAGGTATAGAATGAAACATCAAAACATTTTTGAGTCTTTTTCTGAAAAAATTAAAAATAGTATATCATTTAAGCATTGAATTCATATTTTTGGATGTCTTCGTTCCTATAACACACCTGGCCGTGCCGACAAATTTGTCGGCACGGCCAGGTGTGTTATAGCATGAATTCAATACTTATATTTACATTTTTTAATTTTTCCTCTTCATAATTGTTTATTTCGGTAATCTTTGATGTGAATTTAGCGCCCTTCAAAACTGTCGTGGTTAATAGATGTAAGAGCTGTTTGTGACGTCCAATGACGTTAGATGACGTTGCAAAGTTAAATGACTCAAACAAACAGTGCGAGGAAAAAAGTGTTGAATTAATTCTTAACGCACATTACGTTAATTTTTACGTAAATTTTTCAGGGTTAAAGTTTTTCATTAAATTGAAATAAAACATTTAAAAATGTCTTGAAAATGCATGTAGTTCCTACTGTGTATTCTAACGCGCGGTGACAAGGTTTCGCGTGTGTTATAGAAATTTGAACGTCGTAGATTTCTAATGGATTTCATAAGGAAAATTACACTGAATGTAAATATTTTTAAATGAATTAAAATGAAAAAATAATTTGCACTGGTGCTAAAATTACTTTTTTTTTTCTAAAAGTCATGAAATTCACATAAAACAATATGTGCGCTGTCTTTTAACAATGGGAGAGCAAGAAACAAAAATTATATCATCAAATGATGATCGATTTTTATTAGTCTGTTTGTGTGAAAAGAAATTTATGCAATTTTTCTAGGAATTTCTACGCACTTGGTAAACATTTATGCCTTTTGGATATGAAATCAAATTGTTATCATTAAATAATGTAACAATTCATTTGATACAACATGTGGTAAATTAATTGAATCGCAAAGGTTTGACACGTTACTCGAACTATAAACATAACAGACTAAGGTTTTGTCAATTAGATCTTTAACCAAGATTAAAGAGGGATGGATCCCTGCTTGATTTGTTAGCTTACTTGAAGACAAAAATTTCAGATAATTCATGTGACAATGGTGTATTGCTCAATGATTCAGGAAAATAACCGAAGAAAAGCTCACGAGATTTCTTTTATTTTAAAAGTTTATCGTTTATTTACCGTTGACATTTTTTGCAATGAATACACGAGACTGATTTTCTGGGTTAATTTTGAGTTCAAATGAATATACATATGTATAACAAATAAACGGGGGAATGAAATTTGATAATTAATCAAAATCATCTATATGTCAAACAAAAAGGCAAGAGAAATATCCTCTTTTCATATAAGTTTTAAAATAAATTTTTAATGATATGATACCGGAAAAAATATAATATACGTTTGTTTATAACATTGGTGCAGTTAGTTGCTAAGAGAATTTCGCCATTATTAAAAGACTCCTCTCCTAAAAAAAATACAATTAAAGCTTATACGTCTCCTTTTTTTATATCACCTTTGTAAATAAAGAAATGTTCAATTTGAATGTGATTTGATAAAATAAATTTAGCTTGGTCAAATAAGGTGTTTCGGTGCTTAATTTGTAGGTAAACAAGATGAAAAACTGTATTTTAAACTGTAAATTTCAATGAAAAATTAAGAAAACCAGTCTTTTAATGACAGAATCCAACCTCTTTGGGAGTTTTTTTCGTATTCGGCAAAGAAAATGTACCCAGACTTTTGCCTACAGTTCTCTAGGACAGTGTATGAAAAACAATATAATTTAGTCAACATTTAATGTATGTTATTTCAAAGCACATGGAAAACAACTGCCATTTCTTTAAAAATCAATATCAAATTACATAATACAAGTTTAAATGTTAAAGTAAATCCTGTTTACTTTTCATATTATTTCAAATTGAATGACATGAAAATACAGTTTATAACATTTTTCTGAAATACAGTTTATTTGTTGCTAAAGCCGATATTAAAGTACAAAGTTTGCAAGAAATGCGAAAAAAAGAAGTGTGTTGAAATTGATTATAAGAGAGAGAGAGAGAGAGAGAGAGAGAGAGAGAGAGAGAGAGAGAGAGAGAGAGAGAGAGAGAGAGAGCAGAGAGAGAGAGAATTACCATTCTGAAGTAAATGTCAATTTAACAGCAACAACATGCGCTAGTGCTTTCTTCTTTTCACGCATAGCTTAAGTCGATATTCGCTAGCCAATTTGCAAGTTTTTTCCCCAATTTTCCATTCCGCTCCCCATGTTTGGAAGTCTTCAAGGTCGTGAGTTCGAATCTCAGCCTCGACTGTCTTTAGTCTATAAAAAATGGGCAGAGACTTTGTCATGCGCTCGGCACCTTGAATTAAAAGTGAAGCGGGACCTTAACTCGGATCAGAACTTAAAAACCGAGGCCCGTGTCAAGATAGACGATGGCATGATAAAGATCCATCACTGCTCAGTGGTTGTAAGTGCCGAGTAAAGGTCAAAATTTGATGCCCATCACTGGTAAATAGTGACGTCTCTATATGACAGGGAACTGTAAAATAGTGAAGGACTTCAAATCAAAGAACACTTTCAAGGCATACAAGACATTTGGCAATGAGCGATCTTATCACCTGTCAACATATTTAATGTCAGGAGTATGTCTCATCTAAACTAGCGACTAGTGAAATTAAACGCTTCATGAAAGCTGCTTTAAATTTGTTAAGAATCCCAAAGAAATATCACTAAAATGTTTGAAATTTACAGCTGCTCATGAGCAGATGGATTTCAATGAACAAAAATAATACATGTATGATGGGCATCAAAAATGGCGACTAGTAATTACAACAACCAATTTACTGTTTGCCAAAATTCAACAAATTATATCTGATGATGTTTGATTGACTTAAAGACATATACATGTAGCAAAATTAGTAGACATAATCTTGAGGGGTATTTTACACTGTTTTACAGAAACATTTTACAGAAAAAAGCTTAGTACTCAATGGTCACCCTGTTTTGAAAAATGAGTGAAAACGACAGCGTGTAATAAAATTTAAACAATTGTTTTTAAAAATCAAAATTTGTACTTTCTAAGTATCAACGTTGGTCTAAAATTCAAATAGATAGTGAAACTTGAATCCATTGTTTAAAACCCTCAAAACAAATTTACAATAAGGTGCACTTGACAAAAACAGCCAAGGTCTGATACTAGCAAAGAATTGAAAAAGCGCAAAGACAGTTTTATATGTCAGTTTCTCAAATATTAGTGATCTTGTTGCTAGTCATAGGAAGCAGTTCAATTTCTGGAGAAGTCTAAAAAGCATTTTTTTTTTAAATAGAAAGGTTTATTAAAAGATGACAACAGAATCAGAAAGTTTAATTCATTACATTAAATTTCTTAATGACAACGTCAAAACCCATAAGCCATGAAAAGTTGAAGAGTTTTGGGGATAAACGGAAAATGTTATATAACACCAACAATATTCGCCAGATCTTACACCCTTTGACATGTTTCATTTTCCAAACTTTAATTAAAAGATAACATTTAAATGAAATCATTAAGGCTAAATCATTGAAAAGCTTTTTTTGTTTCTTTCTGAGCACTGATGACATTTTTTATCAAACAGACCTCGTATCACTTGCCAGCGGAAAGCTGCAACTTTTGTCATATACTTGGTACTTACGCCCATTGAGCAGTAAGGGATCCTTTTTTCTTGCCAGCACTTACTGCGATATGAGACCTCATCGCTTATACATGTACCATCTCATCAGAATTATCGTCTCCACGTCCAACAATGGGATTAAACACTGCGCAACGTGGTCAACCAGAAATTGCAGTTGTACATATTTCTACATATATTTTTCATTAAAAGTTTTAAAACCCCTACTAATGTGTTCGGAACCTTTTATTTTTCAGTGTTTTGCAAATTATAAAACCCGATGAGTTCAGAGTAGCTCTCGCAGTGGCTATGGCGAGAGTTAGCGAGATTACAGCGAGATGGTAACTCATTCGCGGAAATGTGGCTAGAAAGTGACTTGCACGTGGAGACATGGTACACAGAAAAGTTATGCGCGTTTCAGTTTTCACGACCCCATGAAACTGTAAGAATGTACTTCAATCGATCCATATTGAATTCATTCAAACTTAAATAATTATTCTCTGTGTTATAATTTTCAGCATTCATGAATTAAAATTTCTTTTTGAACAAATATTTTTGCTTGGGGACCGGGACTATATTTTTTGGTGTCAGATTAGCAAATGCAGCACCAACATAACTTTGACTGACGAATCAGCTGAATGAGAATTGCATTTTGGGTTACTAAGAAAACTGCAGGAATTTTTAGCTTGAAAAAAGAAAAATCTTATGACGATCAGAAAGGCACAAAGACGATTTTCCCAACCATTTCGTAAATGAAAATCATTTCACAATGGCGAACAATTCATTTGTTAAAGCGATTTGCATCTGTATTAATTCCTTTGTTGTACTTTCGGTATATGCAATTGTCAGATGTATTCCCTGGCTAAAACGCATGATCACGACTATATAGTTATGTAAAAAATGTATTGTCTATTTAAATGCATAAGAAATGCAGCTCGTTTTCCCTACCCTTGAAGCGCTGGTGTTCTGAACTTTATACAAACTACATTTCATTAAACATATTTTTTCTAGTTAACAAGAAGTAAAAAATGCCCTTGACATCTCTAGTGTCTAATCTTTGTATTTTGATCATTTTCTTTTTATTTTGCACTCCATTGACATGATCATATATTGGCCTGAACCACGTGTTCGAAGTAAAATGTAAAACATGTATTTGGCATAAACGTTACTATCCATTCAATCATTGGTCGGTTGCTGGTGGTAGGATCCTCTTGTGCACATTTAATATTTATAACAATAGCCATATAAGGCAAACAAAGGTTTGTCGGTGTAGATGATACAACATATTTTTTCATCAAAATGTAAAAGAGTTATCTAAATTGGGAAAATTTTTAAATAAAGCTACTGCTCAACGAAATTCTAATTTGTAATTTCTATTGATATTTATATCCTTTGTGTATTTTTGTATATAATATTTATTCTGTACTCTTTATCATGTCTATATGCTGTATAAAATCTGATGAGCCTTTGGCTTAAAGAATAAAGAAAGAAGGGTGGTGTATCAAATACCCTGATTTACTGTATTTTAACCAGCTCTGATTTTCACCGATGTGATAATGTTGTTATTTTAACACCCCCCCCCCATCCCCCCATTACGCCACCCGTTTCCGTTGAAAATCATGAAAGTCTTACAAAAGGTTTGGAAATACAGGATATTTCTTAAAAAAGACTTTAACAATTTCCTTTTTTACTGCCAATTTTATTAATGAAACCGGTTCTACCCTATAACCGTTGAATAGGTCAACCTAAACAACGTGTCTTGAATTTGAATAAAAATATCAATAGTAGGGGTGTTTAAATATGCTACCGAAATGCAAACCCTCTATCACTTTCAATTTTTTAAAAACTCTGTACTACTGTATTACTTTCTAGTTATTTATTAAAGTAAAATATTCTTAATTTCCCATAGCAACATTGCAGAAGAGCTCTTTGTTGTACCCAACTAAGGTAGTTAAGATCCCTCCGGTCGCTAAGCAGCTACAGGAGTTGGTGTTATCGATGCATGTTGTGCCGTCTCCAACCTGGTAGATTTTTCCATAAATAGAACAGGTTTCTATTGTAAGAAAAAAAATATTTTGGTAAATAAATTAAGATTGGGTTCAAAATCAAAACATGCGTTGCAACATCATTGATTTCAAGCATTCAAAGAGAGAAAATACCATGTTATACTGTATACTAGTAATCTTAGTTGGGACGTATTACGTATTATAAACCTGAAACGAAGCGTTAAAAGAGAAATTCAAAAGCGTAATTTTTTACAATGATTTGATTAAAAATTAAAGTTATTCCCGTGATCTAAATTTACACAACATGCACTGCATGGAAGTTAAAAACACTTCTCTCTTAATATACATAGAGAGCATACCTGGACAGAATTGGCAACCGTCGCTTGCTGTTAATCTCTCTTCCTCAGTACACATGTCTGGTGTTTCGCATTGCCAGCTTTTGCAGTAAAGTAATTCCTCATCATCTACTGTTTCACGCATACATTCCCTCCGAGTTTGATCAACATTTGCATTTCCAGGGTAAACCTCACATTCAAAGTATGTAGAAGGTGTGCTAAAGGCAAAACCTGTAATTAAAAAAATACACTGTGGATTATTTTACTAAATAATACTCACAAATTCACCACAGTTTAGATTGTGATACTTTGCAGTTAAGAAATTTTAATGGTGCTGTTTTTTAAACTAAGATTTATTTCAATTAAAAGCATACATGGGTTCCAGTATTCACTTTAGAAATGTGGATAGGCTTTAATACCTGGTATGTAGGCGAAAGCCTGTCCACTTCTCTAAAGAGAATAGGGGCCAACAAGATGGTTCCAAACTAACTAAACAACTTGAAGGATCTTTTGACATATCTACATTTCTCTGTGATTTTCTAAAAGGATATTGTGATTGCAGTTTAATTCAATAACTCGGAAAATTAATAATTTAAAACTACTTGTCTGAGATTAATTGAAATCAGAAAAATATCTTACAAATAAACAGAAATCTTTTACTTAACTTTCATTTAAAAAAATACAAAAATCAAGAAAAAAATATTCAACTCACACAAGGCAATAGCGGAAAGTATGGAACCCAAAATCAAATGATTTCGACTCATTTTCTGAAAAAAATTAAAATATTTGATATATTTTTTTAAATAAAAGAAAAGGCACTTGTTGCTGATATTTGTGAATGTCATATGAAACAATAAGAGCACTTTACCTTCTACTATGGGAGCGACGGGAACAGAATAATTTTATCCCACGATGTTCGCTTGTTACTCATTCTGCATGCCAAAAAAGTACTGCAGATTTTCCAGGAATTCAGCCATTGACATTTTATACCCTTCGGAAGTAAAATTAAAGTGATTATCATTAAATGATGTTTACGATGAAACGTAACATATCATACACTGCAACATGTGTATGATCTGACACCAAAGTTTAAAAGTACCATTTTTAGATTATGCAAAGCAAAATAAAGTCCCTAACTTATTTCACGGCATTTAAGCAATTAAAACACAGAGTATGAAAATTATGAGATGTTTAAAAGACGTGGCCGATTTTTAAATGGCAAAAACAAAGATGCTTTTAGTGAAGATAGTGAAGCAGATAACATGCTTATAGTTAAGTTAGAGGGATATGGGGCATTGTATTCCGCTTTAAATGTTTTATATTATATTGTTATTAAGTGAGCAATACTTATTATTCTAAATGGGAGGAATATATAAATTCTCTATAAATGGGAATGTGATCAATGAATTTTATTACACTTTGTTCTACAGTGATGATAACCAGAAAAGCTTAATTTGTTACAAAAGCTTCTTCTTAAAAATATTTTGCAATATTTTACCATAGATTCTATAAATAAATTTTGTTAGTAGTATTACTTAAGAAGGATATGGAGATAACGAACAGTATTCAATATCAAAGTCCATAAAACAATACAAAATAGGAGCAGAGCAAACACGGACCTCCGAAACATCAGAGGTGGTATCAGGTGCCATGGAGGAGTGAGCATCCCCTGCCAACCGACCCGTCGTGTGCTCCTTGTCATGATCGGGAAATAACGGGAAAATCCGTTGTCAATTCAGTATATATAAATAATGGACTAACAATTAGTATGAAAAACGTCAGTCAGCATTTGACTCAATGATAAATTGTATTTGATGACAAGGTCATTGTATCGAACATAGAATTTACGAAATGATGACTTTAAACGAGACTGCTGATATTCTTGTTTCATCAACTTGCTTTTCAATAATTTACGTTGATTTAGAAATTGTTCATACGTAGAGCATGTTCTTGCGTATCGAATCAACTGAGATATAGACACTCCGTATTAACCTTAATTCTTGATGTATATTATATTTTATGAACGAAAGCATCCTTATTTACGTATAAAGATACTGGTTTTTTCTAAAGCAAATCATAAGTCATTGATTTAACTATGATAGTTTTGTTTGCTTATTGTTTAACGTCCCTCTCGAGAATTTTTCACTCATGTAGTAGTCATGTAACTAGTAATAGCTATTCAAAGTCGTATTTTTTAACGAATTTTTAAAAAAGAGCTTCTGGATGAAACACACAAATACATTCATTTTTCTTTGATACATATTATTCTTTTGACAAAACAACATTGCAGAAGAGCTCTCTGTTGTAACCGATCCAGGTAGAAGAAACTTCTCCCGTCTGAAAGCAGCTACGGAAGTTAACATTGTCGATGCACTGAATGTTGTACCTTCTCCGACATTGCAGATTCTACCATAAATAGTAAAGGTATAAATGGAACACAAAAAAATTTTGTGTCGATTTTTAAAAAAGAAATAGAATAAATGTTTTTAAATTTAAAGGTAAAAACAATTTGTACTGTAGCTGAAATTACATTTTTTTCTAATAGAAAATTGCATAAAACGATAAGTGCACTTTCCTTCAACAATGGAAGTGGAAGGTACAAAAAATTATCATCATATGATGATCGCTTTTTAGTAGTCTGATAAAACATACATGCAATTTTTGAGGAATTGAATTTCTAGATAAAGATTTTATGCCTTTTGGATATGAAATCAATTAGTTTATCATTAAATGATGTGTATAACGAACTGTAACAATTCATTTGATGCAACATATGGAAAAATGTATATCGCAAAGGTTGAAAATGTTGTCATTAAGTATAGAGCTCAATTGGTCATAACTTAAGAAACTCATGATAGTAGATAGCAACGATGATTCTTTTCCTTCGACACGTTACTCTAATATGAATATAACAGACCAAGGGTTTGCTGATTGGATATTGACCAAGATGAAAGGGGTAGATGGATTCCTACTTGATTTGTATGCTTACTTGAAGACATAAATTTCATATAATACTGGTGACAATAGTATAATTCAGGAAAATGTAGATAGAAAAGTTAAAGTTATTTCATTTAGTTTGAAAGTTTTTTGTTAATTTTCCATTGATATTTTTTCTTATAAAATTCCAAACACTTAATACACATGGCTGATTTCGAGGGTTAATTTCCAGTTCAAATGAATATACTTATGTATATCAAAACAATGGGGGAATGAAAATTGATCATTAATTAACATCGTCAATGTGTCAAACAAAAGTCTATAGAAACATCTTTTCACATGTAAGACTTTAGTTTTAAAATAATCTTCTTATTAATGAAATGATTACCGAAAAACAAAAATAAGTCTATTAATAACATGGCTCAATTAGTTGGTAAGAAAATTCCGCCGTTATTGAAAGACTCCTCACCTTAAAATTGTGACAATTAAAAAAAACTTGTAATTAATAAGTCTCTTTCATTTATGAATATTTGTATAATTTATGAATAAAAGTACATTTTGAATGGGATTTAACAAAATAATGCTGGAGATGTTCAGTGATAAGAAATAGATATATACGAGTATCATTTTTACTTACAGCTGCTGTCTCTGATGTCATAAAGACTGGAATTTTATCGATCCCGTATAGTTGTACAAAGCACTAACACGTCGTACCTTTCGAGTTTCTTGATTTTGATAAGATGCATTAAAAAAGCTTTTTTGATTCGATTTTTGTAAAGTTTTAAACACAACTAAATAAATATGTTCGATTACAGTATTGAGAGAATAGATCCTAAGTGAAAATTATCTGAAATAAATCTTAATGTTTACATCGCTACCATAAACATAATTTTTAAGTTGGTAATTACAGTAATATATTTTAGAAACTGATACAGGTTTTGCCTGATGTCCATTGTCTCGGAAACTTTACTTTTTGGAAATAAGAACTGTTAGGTAATACTAATATATGTATTTTACTTAAATTTATTTAATGTAATAACCCTAGTTTCGTCGTGTGGTAATTTGCCTGTTGCCATAAAATCAAAATTAAAGTGATGATTGAATCCAAAAAGATAGAAAACCTTTTACTTATAATGTAACATTTATTATTCAGAAAAATTGATTCACTCATAATAAATTAAAAATAGTCCTGCCAAGTGAAATTCTACATTGTAGTAAGTAAAACGAAGAAAAAACATGTATTTCTGTAGGATACAGAGCAAGCCCTATATGAGATTGCTATCAAATTATTATATTTCTCAGGAGAAATTTTACATTTGTCTTTCAAGCACACAAATGTCAACGGAAAAAAACCCAAAGCAATTTTAATATAATTTTGAAATAAAATCGCAAGAAATCAAACCTCAGCTGAATGGTATCCTTAAAAACGGACATTCCCAAATAAATCAAATATTTCAGACAAAAGTATTAAATTTATTAATTGTCAAGAGATTTTTTTCATAAGCATTATTATTTTGTGAGCGTAAAATGTGGTAACCGATTATTTTGACTCGTATGTGTACATTCTAAAGATGAAATTAAACAAAACCTGGAAAAAAAACAAGCAATAATATACCACATCAATTTATTTCCCCATTATTGCTATTATAATATCATTATATGAGCCTCAATCATAAAAACTGGGCCAGGAAAAGGGGTCAGATAAGAATCAAATTTTATTTCATTGAGTGCAAAGAAAATTAATGGTCAAGGTGAACACGATAATCAGGACCAATGGAATAGAAAGTTCATTGTATATTATAGATAAGTATACACCTACAAGCTAGACTCATTTGTTTCCCACACTGTAGGAGACTGGAGATCCAGGTAAATTACAACACTTTTTCCTCGTCTTGAATACATGGTGACAATAAATAGATTTAAAAAATATACTTGAAATTCATTTAAAGACCGTGATTAAAATATCTAACATTTTAAAAAAAACACAAATGTAACTGATTATAAAAAATAAAGGAAAATTTTGGGATGGGGATTACGAACCTGCAGAAAGCCCGATCTTTTATACCGGTATATTGAAGAAATGATTTTCCAGGAAAGCAAACCTCATCATTTACAACTAGATCTATTTAAAAAAAAAGATAACCGAAAGGAAAATAAAAACAATATAAAATCAATTCAGCAATATATATTTATAGTTTCACATTTTTGACAAAGTAATTTAAACTGTATCACTCACCAAATAACGTAAAAGAATATTATGAATAAAACCACCTATGAATGCAATGATTTAAAACAAATTACTATTGTGCATTTCTGTACCATGCGTTTTTACATTTCTATCATCTTTTAATCACAAATTAAACAAGCCTAAATAAAAAATGCGGTCGATTATTTAGATTATATTTTTTCATGAAACAAAATTTTAAAGGACACTCAAATGTCTGTATCCTCACTCATTGTCCGTACAAATAAGGTTCGACACAGGTAATTTTTCCCGATCATGAAAAGGAACACATAGCGGATGTGACCGGTCAGTAGGGGATGCTCACTCATCTATGGTAACTAATCCCAATTTTTATTTTTTGGAGGTCCAAATTAATATTGTTTGAATGGACTTTTGAGCTTGAATACTGTTCGTTATCTCCATATTTTTATAATGGCAATCAAATTTGTCTCAAACTTGTCGGCTTGCCATTTTTGGTGCTTGTTTCCTGTAAATATATTTTCGGTATATTTTACTTCTGTTGGGTGGAATGCTACCGATTTAGCCATTTAAGAGGTACTGTTCACGTTGATTGTTTACAAGAATAGCTTAACAAATTAAAATTCTGCGACGATAATCAAATTACAATTGTGCAAGTAAAAATCTTACATGTAGTGCACAAAACGAAGGTCCCTATATGGTAGATGAGGTTTTTTGATTTAAAGCATAAATTAATTATATATTTGAGGACAATATAGAGATAAAAACTCTGAAGTAAGACTCACATTAATGGAAATAAGAAATTAGAAAACAACACGATGAAATTTCAGAGACAAAGAACAATATTTATGCTCAATAATCCATTAAAACATTACATATTTGTAACACAGCTAAAGCGGGTCTAACCTCTTAAAACAATAGAGATAGGATCAGGTCCCATGGAGGAGTAAGCATCTCGACCTGTCACATCCGTCGTGCGCTCTTTGTGATAGTTGTTTATACGGAAATATCAGTAGATAATATAATTCATCGTATAAAAATCAATCTAACAATAAGTATGAAAAAACATCAGTAAATACTTATCTGTACATGTACTAGTGAGCGAAATTAAGATACTTCTCTCAAATATGTCCATTACAAAAGATAAACGAAATATTATAATCACAAATACCAATTTCACAAGAATATTTATAACAGTTTGCTTCTTCTTAGTCTATCAGACCTATGGTAGTTTTTAATGAAGTTCTTCTTTCCTTTTTCTTAGGTAGACTCAAAATGAGTCTCCATCCGTTCATCATCTGTTTTGGAATAATTACTTGGGCGGCAGTAAATGCTGTAGACCCATCAACGATTACTGACACCCTTAGTCTTGCTAACGACCTGGGAGGATTCATTGAAAGCCAAGACTTTTCAAAAACAGCATCAAAGCTTATTTCTTCCGTCAGCCCATATCTTGGTGTTATCGGGTCCGTTTTATCTTTTGCCTTCAGTTTTTTGCACACTGGTCCTTCTGCAGAACTTCTCGCTATTCAGAAGCTCTATAAAGAAGTTACTCTAAGATTCGATCGTATAGATCATCAGTTTGCTACTATTTCCCGCGAAATCCACTGGGTAAATATCGAGACCCATTATGGTAGTTACGAAAGCACTATTCATGTAGTGGGAGAAAAATATAGAGCTATGGCCGCATCAACAAGTAAAACCGAGTACAACGCTAGGAAGGAATTTTTCATCAACAGCTACAAGCAATATGATGAAGCTGGTGGTAAGATTTACGATGGCGTTATGGGACAAAGTAACCTGTTTAACGGGCCAATTTTCGACGAGGCGATCAGGCATTTAGAATGGGATCGAAAGAAAACACAACAATTTATGCTAGGCGTTACAAAATTACTAATTGATGCAGCAGCAATAGAAGTAGCATATTACGAACTTACAAAGCCGCATTTGGCGTCCTTTATTCAGCATGACTGGAGAGTAAAGTTTGAACATTTGAAAAATACACTGACAACAGCAGACCATAAGCTGATGACGCAATATGGCAGTCAGTTAGCAACTGACGTAGACAAGTTCGTTGCAAACCACGCCCATTCAAGCAATTGTGACATTACCAATCCTCTACAGAGCCAGCTCTCACATAAATATTACTGGCGTAACTGGCTTGTCGTTACCAGTGACCACAACACCGACCCTAAAAAGTACGTGGTTCATGTTTGCCCAGGAATTGGAGGAGTCATTAACAACAACCATGGAAAAAACGTTGTAGTAGCTAGTCTTGATGCCCATAAATCTCATCTAAGCACGACTCAGCAACACGTCATCAACTACGTACACACGACACATACATATCATATCATGCATGGTGGAAAACGAGATGTCGAAAAACGTCTAACCGGTCATCGCAGAAATGATGCCAATGTAGCTTATGGTTCGTTTCCAAACGAGGCCCGTACCTCTTGCCATACCTATGGTTCAGTAGGTGTAATTGACCGCGGGCTTCATACCTGTTTTAGGTCCCCTGCTGCTCACCTTTATACACGTGATGACGGTCATTACTACAAAGTCTACGCTTTCGGATAAATTATGAATTATATATAGTGAGATAATATTAAATTCATGATAAAAGTCACATTCTCTCAAGAAGTTTATTTCACAATGATGTTTGATAAAAATCCTGTTTATGAACAGACTGATGGGTGATTTCAAATGTCTTTTAAAAATTATCCTTCAACGGAAATGATTAAATATCACACACTTTGTAATTCGACACATTTTAAGGTAATGTGCGTAGGAAAACAGAGTATATGTAATAGATAAATGAAATGAAAGATAAAAGTTAGGTGAACTTTGAGCCACAAATTGAATGCAGACAAATTAAGACATTTTTTTTTCAAAAAAGCAAGAATGTTTTATTTTGATTACATGGAGACTTGAAGTCAATGTGTGGCTAGAAACACCAGAGATGGAATCAGGTGCTTGGTAGAGGTAAGCATCTCTTGTCTTTTGGCCACAACCGCCATAAGCAAGGTGTATTACGTGTAGGTACCATTATTAAAAAATATTTGAAACGACATAAATTTACACTGCAAGTGGAAGCTAACTTTCTGTTCGGTCAATATTGTGTCACGACCATGGTAAATAATGATGTTCATTTTTTTTAAAACATGGCTCATTTACTTGATGCTTAGAAGGATTTTTCTTTATTAAAATGCATCGATTTAGGGTCATTTTCCTCTTCCCATTTTGGAGACAACGATCAAAATATTAGATATTTAATTGTTCTCTTTTACTCATAACTGCGATCTATCACTGTTTGTTTAAGACCGTCGTACGATGAATAACGATTGGTTAAAACGAAAGGTTATAAGGATCACCCGAGTAACCCAAGTGTCCGAAAAATGTGCCAAGCAAGCAAGGGACACTTTGAAAGTTAAGGCAGCAACAAAAATATAACCATTTGGCGGTCTTTTTAATGAAACTTTAATGAAACCAAAAATTCTCACGATTTGCAGGGGGAAAACTCACCTTTCTCAGTGGTCACACAGTCTTCCAACGATAATCAGGACTCGTTAAAATTCTTGGATAGTTATAATACAGTTTAAGTAGAATTTTTAACGAGGATTAAATTTTGGCATTATTAGCGAGGGTGCTGACATCGCTAAAATTAAATATCGCTAAAACTTAATTGCGTATTATATGTGATAGCTTCTTTAGTTAGCATTTTAAAATCGCTAAAATTACTTCTCGCTAAAAATAAATTACCAGATTTTAGGTAGAAATCGCTAAATTTGCGTCTTAAAAAAACATAAACAACCAAATTGTCCTATTGGTTCCAATGCGATCCATATTATTCGACTTTAAAACCATTATGATTATTTATTGATCGGATGTAATAATTTGTCAGAAAAATAATTTTTTAGTTTGATTGTTTGTATGTTGTTTTACGTCCCTCTCCAAAAATTTTTGACTTATGTAGAGACGCTGAAAAAGTGAACGAATGCCATCATTAAACGGAGTATCGGGTGTGTGTTTTAATGAGATGTTGAAATGTAACCCTTCAGAAATGTATAATGTTTAAAGGACTTGGACACAGAATTGAAGTTTGTTTAACCAGAACTTTCTGAGAAATATATTGATGCAAATGAGCGAGCTTTCCGCATAAAAAAAATTATAATAGCGGGTTTAGAAACTCTTTTTTTACCAGGATATTATCAAAACATGCATTTCGAGACCCTTCTTATTAAAGCCTAGATCTTGTTCTTTCGCGATGCCATGTTTTCCCCTTTCATTTAAGAATATTTGAAAAAAATACATAAACACATGTACGTGTTTCTGAAAAACTTAAAAACTTAAACTCAGAAAATTCAGTACAGAATGAGAAATAAAACCAGTATCGTAAGTCAACACTCAGTGATGTGCACAAAGTAAACAAATCGAACACATCAGTAAAATGTAAAATGGGAACAATAACAGAGCTTCTGCCCGTGTTTTCAATCTCGGGTGTTTGATGTGCTGTTATTACGTAATAAAACTTAAGAGAATGCATGTAAATTCAATTCATTAAATTGAAGGCATTTTATAAAGATGGAAAATTAAACTGTATGGACAAAATGCTATGTCAACGAGACAAGGACCCTTCAAATGGTCATTTCAGAATTGTGATGAGAGAATATGACAGTGTTCCGAAAACTCAACTTTTAATCAAAGATCATAGTACGAAAGATAGGTCTAAATGCTATAAATGTACTCTACAATCTATTTATAGCAGAATGTCAGCCTATAACCATTTTTTACGGAAGATGCAATGATGTACATGCACGTGTACGTTTGTCATTTGAAACACATATATTTGTCCAGTCTTTGACAGGAGACAAATGAACAATGAGACTGAATAATCGATTTATTTGGCACTTATATTGCACTTCCTAGTAGATGAACCTGGCAAGACTTTTTACATTGGAATTTCTCTTGGATATTGTTACGCATATTCTTGCATCATTTTAATACTGCTAAAAGAAAAAGAACGGATGCGTCTCCGTATTATATTTGCATACACTTCTTTTTTAGTTACACTTCCCGATTAGCTTAAATGAACACTCCATTCAGCACTTGAGTTTTTTTTAAAGAATAAATAATAGAATTATATGCTGACCTGTGTAAATTGATCCAATCTAAAACAAAAATTCTAAAAGTAGAATTGAATCTTAATCATATAAAATTTCACCTGCCAACTTTACATTTATTTTTTTTGTAAATCTTTAAAGGTGCAAGAAAGACTGACGAGATCTTCAGATGAAACTTTTGAGTAGATGCGTGTTTTTAAAAAATATGAATCACGAAACAGCACTCTGAATACTAGCTCCATAAAAATTCACTCGGAACTAATCTGATCCCTGAATATCCATACGACTAGATATATGATATATGTGATTTTTGGATGAAAAAAAATGATTGCAAGCTGTAAAATTACGCCAATGATGAGGACTGCGTGTTTTCTAGTCTCATATTATCATATGACTCTGGATTAGGAAAGGGGGGAACCCCGCAGTGAATTTCATGCAACATACAGTCATGTTGTGGTAATGCCCCGGAGGATGAAAAAGGACCCCCATTTGAACCATTGACATGATTACTATGAGTAACCATCTCAAAGGAATTTCTCGGATGAGGACTACTTTTGCTGTTTCTAAGGCTATTCGGTTTTTGAACGATTGCGTAAAAATCATTATTGATTTTGACATGGGGAACACCATTTTCCCCGACAATAATATGATTGTCTGGTTGACTAGTCTGATTTGAATTCTGTTCAGTGGTAGTGTGAGAAGTTGGAGAGGTACTGGCCACCACAATTTCCGCTGAACATCTTGCACTATATCTTCTTCCACCAACCATTTCAGCTGAGACGCCATCTTCGAAATCAAGGCTATCATAGGAAGCATAAGGATTTTTCTTTCGTTGATATACTTTTGTTGCTTCTCGTAATTCCTCTGGTTTGATTTCATTGTATATTCCATCATAAGCATTGCTATTTTGAACTGCAGAGAAATGGTTACTAGCTTTATTTGATACAGTACTTTCATTATTATCTCCGAGTAATACTTTAGTGTCTTCTCTCACATCTTTATTTGATGTGCTTGGTTTATTATTGTCTTTTGATTCTTTAGCTACTTCATAATTGCCTTTTCTGTCTATCTGCCGTGTTCTGCAAAAAATAAAGATTAAAAATTTTAGACAAATAGTTTTACTATAAAATTAAACTAGTTAATATCGATATCTGAATATTGATAAAGTATAAAATCACAACTCATGTAGAATGCATATTTTTCCCCAAAAATTACCATTACGATTGGCCTGAAATTAAAGTGCTGTTGGTGCACACACACCATTCGTTTAATTTTTCAAAATGCATTCTGTTACACCAATGCACCCAACACCATTTTATTTCAGTTAAATTCTGAACTGCATTCTAGAATTATCTTCCACAACTGAACCACATCAAGTGCAGGCTTTTTTTTTTTCATTTTTACCTTTCCAAAATTTCAAAAATTTCAGAACCATTTACTGATATCTGAAGTACCACTTTCTCTTTTTTATGCACATTATTAGTTAATTTAAATAACTACAAGAGTTATCGAACATTACATAGAAAGCATGCAGTTTAACAATTCCTTATAAAGCTCTGTTTTAAGCAATGTTCCATCACAAATCTTCATGTTAGCACAATGTCAACAAATAACTGTTCAAACGTAACTATCTTTCTGATGAACAATACGTCAAAGAAAATTGTTTCATATGATTTCTGAATTGAACGTTTATAAAATAAAAAAAAGATAAAAAAAAAAAAACAACTTTTTCAATGATAAAAAGTAGTCTTATGACCAATACTTCATTAAAAAGAAGAAACACATGATTTCTAAATCGTACGTTTGTAAAATTAAAAAAAGAAAAAGAAATAAGACATTTTTTTATATTTTGGTACGCATGTCGAATAAAAGATTCCCTTTCACTCACTGCCGACTTTCAGAATACTTACTTGTAACACACAATGCAGATGGTCATGACAAGAATGAAGGCAACAACGAACAGAAGAAAGTTTATCATCACTATTTCTGAAAGGAAAATCAAAACATGTTACTGTATTTAAAATAATAATTTAAAGGAAAAACAACATATTGGATTTTATAAGTTCTGAGCCTTCTGGTGAGAGAGAGGTCCTTTTATTGTGGTAAGTGACAATTATCGCTTATAAAATTAGAAAGTTGAAAGACCATTTCTGTACAAATTTGTTAAGCAAGTAATGTTGCAGATTTTGTTTTCAAACTTGAATTATAAATAAGTTTCTTTTGACAAAACATAATAGATAAATTAAAATCATGAGTAAAAGTAGAATTTTATATGAGTCAAGAGAGGTTCTCCATGCAATATTTTGAACACTTTTAAATATCTATGATAGTCTTTCTCTACGAAAATAACGTATCTTTCTCTCTTTACTGAATTCTTGTTAAAAAGAAATTAAAGCCAGGCATTGCAGCAGCTCTTTATATTCAGAGTCTATACTTACTCAGAATTAGAGAAAATCGCCTTGGATTGAATGAAAATTCTACAACTGTTCCATTTCCTATTCACAAAAAATAAAAGGGAACGTTAAAGTGGTTTTATTTTTTTCATAATCATACCCAATCATTTACAATACATATGGTCTTAAGGACAGATGATACAAACAGAAACATGGATGCCTGGATTGGTATATATTTTTAGCCTAATTTCACTGAAAATGATGCAAATAATATATTTCTAGAATATAAAGAAATTGTAAACCTTCTATGATGTTCAAAATTCGGCCTCTCTGAAACCATCCTTATTAATCTATACAAATATTTTTCACTTCAATTTCCATTTTTGTGAAGGTTTGACTAAAAATTAAAAAACTTCTCGGTGAAACTTGTTCGTTTTATTCATTAAAACATGACTCAAATCGTTATTTTCAAATTTTTTGACAAAAGGTTGTTTGTATCATCTGTCGTTAAATAAAAAAAATTAAGACTGAGATACAACAGAAAACTATGCCAAAATAAGCCTCAACTTCAATAACCTATAAACACCTAATTGCAATCAACTTTTTTCTTTGAGATAAAGTAATGTTACCTTGTGGAGAGTTATCAGACGATAAATAACCGCCGTCTTTAACATCCTTGGAGGATGCGTAAAAGCCACTTCCGGTCGTTACCCCACATGGAAGAGTGTAAGGCACATATGAGGGTCCCTTGGGATCATATCCAACAACTGTAAACAATATAGAAATAGATCAGGGATGTTTATCAATATTCCCAAAAATAAGAATTAGATCTGAATTGTTTATCAATATTCCCAAATTACTGCGAAGTACGTTCTAACAGATGATTTATTACAGCCATGGAACTGCAGATTCTGATTTTTTTACCTTAATATTTCAACACATTTAGATAATATGATTATAAAATGGAATTTACGACAAAAGGATACCTTCATACGACACAAGGAACCTATTTCCTCTGTCATCTCCTTTGAAGTAAGAGTAACTCTGAACTTTGACGTCACCACAAGACTGGCGGGAAATATTGACCTCGTGAGTTTGACAGAAGTATTCCGTCACTGACGTCATTGTACGACAGTCTACGTATTGCACGTGCAGAAATTTAGCTGAGCACGTGTTTCCCTCTGTTTCTTCACGGGAGTATGCCAAATGAACACTGATGTCTATTCTTTTGCCCAGACCAAGGGACATTTTCCATACACAACCATTTGGATTTCCGTCAGGGTTTTGTGGGAAGCCTGGGCTTTTGATGATACCAAATCTGGCGGGAAGTGTCTGTGAGTATCCTGTGCATGTTCCGTGTATGACGGAACCTGAAGAGATATTAATTCTTTGTTGAAATTACTAATTTTTTTTAAATCTTTGATTTTCAATAAAAATGCTACTTGAATTTCAAAAGTGAACTTTTTTTGCATTAAATATTATATATGGTGGCTATCAAGTGATACAAATGATTGACATAAATAATTTAACTAAAAATAAATAAGGATAACCCTAATTTCCTCTGTGTGTCTTATCCTTCGTATATTTGATTTTTTTCAGATATTGTGAAGTCGTCACATAAGTATACAAATCTATACAAAAAGTTATATATATATATATCTTAGTAAGGAAGCCTTTAAAAGCTTACAAGATTTTAATTTGTTTGAAAAATCATATTTTTTATATACCTCTTAAACATCTATACATCTTAAACTCACATCAGAAATTCATGTTTAGTGGTTATATCAATTAAAGAAGCAGAAAAGGACATATTTTTATAAGCCGTAAATAAAGTTCCTACTAGATTTTAAACTCAATTTTACCATTTCTTTTTGAACTACAATTATAAAGGGTAAAGAAAAATTTGACATTTTAAATGTTTTTCATCTGAATATAAGGCAATAAGGAAATATACTTTGAATATTTCATTTAGTTAGAAATTTGGGCAAACCGTGAAGAGCTCCTCCTTAAACTACGTATTATATTGTGTCCTATTTTGTGAAAGTCGTATGGCAGATGTGTGTTACGTTAGGTTAAGTATCGTTTTACCAGGCTCTCAAGAAATTGCTTTTTACTGATACTGTTAAAATATTTCCGTAAACTTACTCATATCAAAACAATTTCTCATATACATAGTTTAAGGAAATTAGATATTTGGTATAGAGAAAATATTTAGCAACACATATAAAAATATAAGCTCCGCCGCAAAGGTGACCTTCGCTATAATAATAGTGGTTTTCAATGTCAAAGAAAAGTCAAGAATAAGGACATGACCATGAACAATTCTTTCCACATGTTGAGCCCCTTAATGCATTGGTCACTTCATCAACCTAATTATACTTTTACGAGACTAACTATGATCCTTTAGGAACAGGGGGTCATTAAAGAAAATTGGGGCTACTTTCAGTGGAGAGACAATTATGTTTAGATTATGGAAATTGCCATTTCCTTTCAAGCAATATCTTCCAAGTTTCCCCAAAGTAATAGGATTCCAGGCGAAAAGAGGATTTGTTGGTCTTTTCTACATTATTTGCCCATATTAATGCAATTAATCGATTTGTAGATTAATGCAATGGTTGGAAAATAATGTAGAGGCCAAATATTCTGTATTTTTTTTATTTTACATTGTACATTCTTACACATTAGTGAAACAATCTTGCTAGCTAGACATATTTTAACTCCTTACAGTTACTGTGTTATCGTATGTGATTTAATTAATTTCTTGTACATTTGTAGTTATTAATAAAATCTATATGATTGTGAAAATACAAATATGACATTGATGTGCGTTTTGATGTATTAAAATAATGAGGATTGATTGATTGTATATCTTTTAACGTCCCTCTCGAGAATTTTTCACTCCTATGGAGACGCCACCACTTGCCGGTGGAGAGAGCTATACATGGCACTCAAGGCCAGCACTCAGGGGGGATCTTTTTCGTGCCAGGACCTACTGCAACGAGGGACCTCGATTTATACGGTCTCATCCGAAGCACAGGTCCCCATGTCCTACAGTGGAATTCGAATCCGCAACGAAAATGAGGAAGACTCAAGGTTCAGCAGGAATAAATCGGGGGAAATTGTGATATTAAAATATGAGAAAAGGAGGTTAGAAAGGGTACTATCATTGTAGAAGGTATGCCTTTCTCCAATTCTGATTTTTATGTCTTGTCTGATATGGAAGAGCAAAATGATCTTCGTTTGCAACGTCTGAAGATTGCAATTTTGTCCAACTTCGAAGATTATAACTTGTACTTTTATGATACCAGTATCTATATTTTGTATCATGATAGTATTAATACATATCTTACTTTGAATACAGATGTAATCGGCAATCACAAAAGGCTCTTTACAGGTCCTCTCAAATCCCAGCATCCTCAGACCGGAAGCGGGACAGTGTTGTTTTCCTTCACACGTGGGAAAGATGACATGATGTAGGTTCCAGGGACAGCGCTGATTCATTGTCCCACATTTTAGATTTGTAACATGAATACTGGACCCTGGAGGACACAGAAGCCCCTTGCTTTCCTCGCTACATAGGTTTGTACGGCATAAAGGAGTATCCTTTACTACGATAAAAGCATAATGATTATGCATATGTATTCACACAAATATGTTATTTTAATTTGAAAAAAAGAAAGACATCTATGCATCTAAGTTATTTGTATGTGTCCTATGCTAAATTTTTGTCTCATATGGAGGGTATTTGATACTGTAAACGTATTACATTTAGCGGTGTATTCTTTTTAGTGATTTTGGCAGAAAGAAGAGTTCGCTAATTCAAGTACATTGCTTAATGTCTTGTATATTAACTTTTATAACTAGCAAATTCAGACAGCGCTAAATCAAATCTACGCTAACTTGTCGAAAATTGAATTTCCGCTAAATATCGTACACGCCAAATGTAATACATTTACAGTAACTGATGAAAAAATTAAAATGAAAATTATTTGAATTTGAAGAGAATAAAAACAGTATTGAAGATGAAACATGTGCTTTGAAATGGAATAAAATAAACAGTGGTTACTTTATTTGAAAGTTACCTGATTCGCACGTGAAATCCACAAGTACCGTTCTGCTTGGCTGGTCTTGACAGTATGTCCATAACTGTTGTTTCAAACCAATACTCTCACATGACCTTTGACCTTCGCAAATCGACACAACTCGGTCTTTTTCGGGACAGGTGTAATTATTGGGCATGCAGATAACATCTTCGATTTTCAAGACTTGGTTAGCTTCGCATTTCAGAAACTTCCCGCTGTTGTTGCAGACGTCTGTTCTTCTCACCTGGTCACCTACGAGTAAACCAAACATTCAAACGACACTGATGCCAGTAGCTGGATTATGCTCTTGTTTTTGTGTTATTGTTAGTAAAGTGAAACATTATCCAAGGCAACAACATTTCAAAAAATCGTGCCTTTAAAATGGGTCTACTGAGTTAATAAAGTCAATTTAAAGTATAAAAAAAACTGCATTTGACATTGGCTCCCAAATACAGCAAAATGTAAATAGTCTTACTTTGTACTTTTGAAGTGTTTACTTCTTTTAAATTGTTAACTGAAATCGAACAGCTTATTTGCATTTAAATCATATATAATAAAAACATGTCAACTTTAATGCTCCATCAAGAAGTCTGGTTTTGCTAGAAAATTTAGATTTTCATCCTGACAGCTGACTTCAGAATAATGAGTGATACAGTCCTTGGGAACTTGTAAAGACCCTTCTTATAGCAAGGAAGCTTTATTACAAATTATGGTCTAGCACCCATTCGTTGCACCTTCGAGACCCTTATAATTATATAAATGTAATTTTAAAAAAGACAGCTAAAACAGATCATAAATTCCCTCAGTAACTTTTATTCCTCGATTGGCTCGTGGTAACTCATCTAATGAATTGCTGATCTGTTTTGTGCTGCAGTTGAATTTATATACTGACTCGAAGGTATAGGCATCGCAAATTAATTGACGTTTGTACTCAAACAGCAAAAATCGTGTGTGGTTCTTATTTATTTACGTATACTTGGTAAACCTTCCTCTAGTGTATATCCTATGGTCTTGCATCACGTTACTTTCGTGTTATTAATGAAGTATATTGAGTTTTTCACGGGTAATATTAAATAGCCCATTTCAATTCAATTATTTAGACAGGATGAAGGACTGCCATTCAGTTAAAATCTGACTGAAAGTCCACTGAAAGTTGAATGAAAATATCAGACCTTTCAGTGACCATTCAGTTAACAGAATTGTTTACTTACTTTACGTGTTATATATGACAAATAAAAACAAAATACGATGACAACGTTTATTTTAACTTGTTCCTATAGATGATATCATTGGTTGAATAGTTTCTTATGCACACATTCTTGCTTTTAAATTAACTCTTTGAACAACATCTCCTGAAAGCTTATTTCAATTACTTGTTTTGCTTTGAGAAATCATTATAGTTTCCGAGTTTTATTTTTCTGTTGTTGATATTAACATTATCTAATCAATTGTTTTACATGTATTTATCATTTCAGGATGTTCAATTATAAAAACCTTGTACTCAGTATTTATTTTATGAATCTAAATATATCGAAATGAGACTTGTTAACATATACATTACTTTAATAAAATATGTAAAGCTTTTTACATCATGAAATATGGTATTATTACTTTTTTTTATATTTTAATCATGTTTGCAATTCTATAAACATTTCATGATCAAATGTAATTATACTAAGAAGAAAATCTTATCGACATTTTCTATATCGTTCGAAGGTATAATATTAATGCTTTTTACTTTGAATACAAGTTTATCTAAATTGATTTTGCTTCACGCGGATTTTGTCAATGAAGTAAGTCAGAATATATTATCTATCGTCCCTCTATTCACGCCATATAAATATGGCATACTGTACTGTCTTACTACGATCTTCCCGTTGTTAATTCAACCTTTTCAAGGATACTCCGTTAAATTAAAAAAAAAGTCGACAAAATTTGGCCGTCTTGGACCTTTAACTCTGAAAAGAAGGGGTATATGCAACGAAATAAAAGACTAGTAAAGTTCAAAAGGTCATCTTAAAAGCATTTACAAAATTTGTAATACATTCCTGGCCCGAAGATGATATCTGCCTAAGGTTTTTAATGGCGTGATTAAAAGACGAGTCGCTTTGATGCAGGAAGTGTATGTCTTTTTTTTTTTGCAAATACGTAATTATGCTATTTTGAATCTGCTTTAAAGTTTCTTGACACCTAAACATACTGGAAAATTTTTATACTATTTAATTACATGGCTAATCACAACATGATTAAATCTTTATCATGCGTGTTCACGAAGCATGTTTTGAAAGTGAAGCAGTTAAAATATTCAGAGAGATATACACGCTTTGTTTACATTATCTCCGTTTATTTGTATTTAACGAGGCTAGGGGGTGGCAGCCATTTTTAGACTATTTCAATCTCCTTTAAAAGGAGAGCTCCATATAAAGATATACAAAATGATGAAATTCTAAAACTAAAATATATGAATTTTTTCTTTGTCAAATGATAGTTGACAGCTAAAGATACCGTGTGTAAAAAAATAATTTAAATCTGGTGGTTAATTTGGGATTAATTTGTTGACCCTCCAGCCTCCTTAAACAGTTAAATATCTTCGCTTATCAAAGGGAAACTGTTCCAAAAAGGGATTCCACCGTCCTATATATAAACGTGGGATCATTCTGACTTCTAATTGCCCTTATCAATCACAACATCGTAATGCCCACTGTCAAAATATAATCAAATATATATCTCAAATTAATTAAACATAATATGTGAATTTGTAATGAATAAGTAAATCAAAAATCCTACCTTGTGTCCATTGGGTGAAGATAAATAGCAGAATCCCTATTAATAAAGATGAAAACATTTCCTGTGAATTCAGTTTTCAAGTCTGCTAAAGGACAAGAACGCAAAAAGGCAGGTGAGAATTCGCTCAAGCGTGGAAAGGAAATTTAATATATGCATCCCCTGGTGTCAGTTTCATGGTGTCAATATCGTCCTAAATATTTCTTGAAAGTTGAAGAAATTTTAATGTAACAATATACCTGCTGCCATCGGCACTTCAAAGTGTTTAAAGCACAACCACTCATTCACTGAGTATGTAGATCTCTTTCCTGGTGAAATATATCCTTTAATGTTTATTTCGACGGCTGTGTAACATCAAACACAAGGGCGTGTGAACTAAACAAAATGGTGAGCTGATAATTTTCTGTATATTTTGGACAGTTAAACACATACCTCTTGTAAATCTCTAATTCTTGACACTGAAATAAACCTGACATCCAAAGAAACACCTTTAATTTCCAAGGTGTCACACGGTAACATTTCACAGTCCCCAGTAACAGGCCACACACATTATCGCAGGTTATTTTTACTGGGATGAATTCATTTCCAAAGTGAGGACCAATATATTCCCTATCCACAATTGAACACCGTTTCCGTATAGATATCCTGTGTGTACACGCTACTCTCCGATGAATCTAGAGCTCGTGAAAAACTCAATATACTCCCTTTAATAAATCACCGTCTACCCCGTGTTGTTAACTCGGTATTTGAACAGAACGCTTATGTCCAAGATTATTTGGTTATTACGGCTAAAGACCGGCTAAGTAAACATTTGGCCGATTTTATAATTCTTATGCCGATATTAAACCTATAGCTCCTCAGGACAAGTGCCAGCATAAATATCCATTTTGGTCCGCGATCAATTATTCATTCCGCAGTTTCTGAATTCTGTTGCAGATTTGTCTACACTAACAATAACTCGACGCATAAAAAGATTTTCCTATAATCCGCTTTGCACTTTATTTAAAATAAGCTGGCCATTTCCCTTGCATTGGAAAGTTCTTGCACTCTTTCATTGTTTTTCTATTTAAACAAAGAAACGTAATCTTGTTGTTGACAGCCGAGTGTAGAAAGAAAACAGTAGCCGATACACGGTCGGATATATTAATTTTCTTCCAGTAGCGTCTCTCAGTGTGTAATTACAAAAATGTCTAAAACAATGCCGGCTGTGTTCCTTTTTCTTTCTTTCCCTGTTGGATGGTTGTGATAATCTAGAAAGAAACAAGAAACATAAGAGAGATAGAGTATACACTCAGAAATAATCACCCGGTAAATATGGGATAGGGATTTAACTTTAAGGTTCAGAGAGTTTAATTCAGTTTACTTGTTAAACTAAATTAAATATCTTTCATTTTTTGTGGAGTTTAAAATATTACAAAGTCAATGTTGTTTCACACTAAAAAAAGTTCCTTTATATTACTAAGTGCCAATGTCCACACTTAGAAAGGCATCAGTGTAATGAGCAATACAAGCACAACAAGGAGAAAATTTATTATTTATCCAATCACATATAACGTTGTCAAAATCAATACATTAGCTATAGGAAATATGTGAAAAAATCATAAACATTAATTGCATGGTTTGCAAGACAGGAACGTCAACACTTTGATAAAAAGAAGCTTCTGTCCAATTGAACCAATATTAATTAATGCATATCCTTTATTCCCATAAATATATGCATTAATATTTTCCATCGTCTTGAAAATGAGTCATTTATCCAACAGGAACTACTAAAGCAACAAAAAACAGAGCAAGCATGAAATCTCATTTGCCATTTCGCTACCTTTCTCCTATCTCTGTTATTGATCTATGGACACTGTAACAGCATTCGATGCGATTTCTTTTACACTTCTATGAAATAGTTATGAAGAGAAGACCAAAGTATCCGTTTAATTAAATCAAACGGTAATTTTTAACTTCACTAAAAGATACAAAATCCAAAATGAGACTGAATTGCAGATTCAATTGTAGACAATTTCAATTTAGATCGAAACTCTGTTTTTTTTCTCTCCAAAATTGTTGAAGTTATGATTTGCAATAAAACAAAAATAACAAAAGAATCTCTTGACAGTGTTAACGCTTTTGCCCACACATATGACGCAACGTTTGCCGATGTGTCTTACTTCATAAATTGTGCAGAAGAAATGACATATTACAAATACCGTTCTAAGCAAAATGCATTTTGATTTCTATCAGCACAGAGCACAGAATGAGAAGTAAGAAAGAAGAAAAAACATTCGTCATTTTTTAATCAATTGTTACAAGAGACTGTTTGATTGCATGGGACTCATATTTCAAACTGCCTGTGAGTGACATGTTGAATCGTTACAAAAATGAAATTAGGTCAGATGAAGAATTGACAGATCATAACGGATACCAGCGGCTCACCAAATGATATACTGCCAAGGGAAAATGTATTTTGGATTGAATATTAGTTGATCAATATAAGTGTCAAGTTCTTGATACGGAATTAATAAAAATTTTGATAACAAGTTATCACAGAGTCTTTTTTGAGTGTTTTTGTTTTAATAATGCAATAGCAAACCATTTAACTTAGATGTTAAAAAATTACATAGTTACATAACGTTTGAGGATTACAACGTAAAGAATTGCGATGCTCTGTATATTTTTCTCTTTTTATGCTTTATGAAAAATCTCCATGGCCCGCAGCTGCATGTATCTTCAAGGTTGAATCTATTTCTAGAGGTTTTGTAGTTGCTTTAATTTGTTTAAGTCCCCTTGGCGCTGAATCAGCTCACATTCAGGAAAAAATTAATTAATACCAGTCTTAATTTAATGCCTTTCTTTACAACTTGACAGTTAGAAGTAGGCATCTTTCCAGAGTTTAAATAACAATTTATGGCAAAAACGGTTTCAATAAGTTAACATTTACGTAATGAAATATTAGAATGTGTCCTTGAAGCTTTAAGACCAAACGCAGCAAGCAGAGCTAAGCACCACTTCTCACTTCAAGCTCTTATTCAATAATTAAAACAACGCCTGGACGAAGAGAAAATTCAAACTGTCTGCACACCGATCAATTTTTTTTCTCCAAAGTATACACATATTAAAAATACTTCATAAATTCCATATGGCGCCCAAACTTAAGTTTACAAGTTAAGAAATGAGCTATGAAGTACTAACATGTGACGTCACAGTCTAGAGCGGTTTGACGAGGCATATCTTAGTTTTAAAAGTAAAAAGGAAGAATATCCTGATTAAGGATGCAAAAATCAGCTTCGCACAAAGGGTTGCATCGTCAACATTCAACTTATTATGTAAAAAAAAAAAAAGTCTGACATTTATTGCTAACAGATTCAGTCATATGTCTACATTTTCCATTTTTCATTTTGTTAAATAACACTACTGAAAGCAATGTGTATCTGATCCGTACAAACAAGGGTTTCTCGCGTCATAAACGCTCGACGTAATTTCTCAATGGTATTGCGTAAAGGCTCGACACACAATCAGTAAATCAAATACGTGCTGCTGAGTTGAAAAATAAAACATTTTACGTGTAAACGATAATAATCAGGCAAATATAAAATATGAATAAGTCACAAATGCAAATATAAGTAATAAATAGGACATCATTCTAAAACATTTATCGGGATACGAAGTATAAATACGGGTAGGTACGAAATCAAATTTATGCTAGAAAGGAATTAATTTGATCTCGTGACCAATTCACATTTATATCCCGATATGTTTAAAAAATAATCACATTTCTTACGAAAAAATAACTCGATCTGTGACAGTTGTCATCATAGTGCGCAGGCCAAATAAATATAAAGTCCGTGATAATCTGAAAATGCATTGCAAACCAAAGATTTCATAGTCTTACACATCTGTTTCATATTTGGATATATTTTACTAGAAAAGACGCAAATGGTAATCTAACAACAACACTTTATGATAAACATGATGACGTCATTTTTCCTCATTTATGTTGCAACCTGTTATCACCTGCATGTATGTTGAATGTTGATCTCCCAGTTGATTCAATACGCAATAGCCTGCTTTATCATACGATCAAATAAGTTAATGACACAAAGATATCAACAGGCTCGTTTAAACTTTACATTTTGCAAATTCTATGGTCGATTTAATGACATTGTTAGCAAATACAATCTGGCATTTAGTCGCATATTGAATGGCGTTTTTCATACACATTGTAAAGGCCAGTATTTTCATACTAAATTAATCACTGTGACGCATTTTTCGCACACGGTGAATTTGACCTGTTGGAAGTGGATCCTTACTCGCCAATGGCACCTGATCTACACTCAAGATTCATCGTGGTTTGTTTCAAACTGGACAAAATAAACAATATATTGTATTTATTGTTAATGTTTTTCTTTGTTTATTAGTATTGAATTGTTTATATTATTGATCTCTTATCCAACAATCTTATATGATCTAGTAAACTGGAAAACCCTGGATAATTTATGTGGAGGAAAATGGTCTGACAATTTGTTTGAAATAAGAAAAAAAATTGACCTAAAGACAGATTGTATATAATGGTATTGTAGTATTCATAAAATTTGCGAAATATTGACCTTAAAGAAAATAGTGCTTATCCTTGTCTTATCAATTTCTTTGTCAATAACTTTCATCTTTTTCAATAATTTGTACGAAGGGGATGTTCTTATTCAGCACAAAACTACAGAGCAGTAAAAAAATCTTTAGGTTTCTAAACCCTTTGCTTACTCATATAAAATGTTACTAGAACCTTAATGATTTTCCAAAAGAAATGTATTTTATATAAGTTAACTACAAACAATTATTGCATAGCTTGCGGGGCAAAACTGGACAAAAAAGACACTTCAACTTGGCAAATCTATAGAGGAATAATGAACATTACTGTCATTAAAAGTTATCTCTCTTATCAGATTATCAATGAACCTTAATAAAGGTACCTTGTTACTAATCACTCAAAATGATGAAAATAAATTTCCCGACAACAGTAAGTCATGTTCATTCATTTGCATTCAGATAGAAATGGCTGCAAAATGTGTATGAGAAAGAAAACAGAAGAATAATTAATGACAGAAAGCCGATACTTACACTGCCAAATAATCTCCTTTTGTTTAGCGTCCATTTTCTGTTTGATTTTGTAAGGTCCTTACAAATACCCAGTATTTCGGAGAAATCCCTTGAAAATTGAACTAAAAATAGACTACCATCTGAACACGTCCATCGAGATGTAATAGATGTTAATGTTTTGCAGAAATAAACATTTACAACATAACCACGGATTAACTTATTTCTGATCCATTCTCATGCTTTCCGTCCAGTGTAAATATAAATTGACACGGGAATTAAGCCACAAAATTGATCAGTAATTTCTCGTCAAGATGGTGGCTAAATGAGCATAATAAAAACCGATAAAAGGCTTTAAATGTCCCTCGGTAGACATTCAAGTTCACATCATGATGAGACGTCCGGCTGTTTGATTAAGTGATCGAAAATCCTCGTGTAATGTCCTTTATTGTACAGTCGTGTTCTATTATCGGGAGACCTGTTGGATTATAAATGAAATTCTCAAATTACAAGGATCCATGACCTTTAGAAATTATGAAGACAATATTGCAGTTACAATTCTAATCTACAATTACATCACAGAGGAGAGGGCTTTAGTAATTCACTTACGGTTGCCAAAATGAGATTTTTTGTTCATATCCTTCACTGAATTTATTTTGTGCATTATATTGGTAATATTATGACATAAAACTATCAAATAAACTTATGAAAAATTTACACGAGCCATTTCACCAAATAAGTGACGTTACCAATATTTAAATAAAGTTGTATAGGAAGATTGAATTTAACCACGATATGGATGTAAAATAAAGTTCATAATGCAGAATTTATTTCATTTCATAAGGCGTCAAATGTTATTTGTACTATAAAAAAGAATTTTATGTCGCATGGACAAAAACGTTTTCAGGATATTTATTTGTAGATTTCTTAGAATTGAAATTCTTTAAAACCATGTTGTCTTTGGAGGACGTTGATTGGTCTATCACTGATCGACCATCTAAAAAAATCCTATATTTACTCAAAATATTCATTGTTTAAAATGAGTCACGGTGTATGATATAGTTGACTCATTTAATATTGATCATATAATATGCCATCTGCAACAAGTTTCAAATTGCAGAAAATCACGTGACTGATAACGCTTCAATTTTCTTGCACGTGTAAGTCCTTTCTGGATTAGAAAGTGCGTCATGCAGTTCATTGTTCCTGAGACGTGGCGACATCGTTATTTTATTGTACTAATTTATATAATTATCTAATGAGGAAGGCTAGAATTTTGTAATTATACGAGAAAAAGACAATTTAGATAAATCACGCTTGTCTGAATATCGGACTTAATATAGAATTCACTTGTCAGATTTTGTGTTGCAATTTATCACATCTTTCGGTAGATTATTATTTCTTGCACGAAAATTATTAACAATTTTGGCAAAGAAAAGGTCTTTGTGATGCCTTTATATACATATAGTACCCAGCACGCAACGGATATTCCATCTTTTCTTAGTTTTGTTATGATTGATGGCAAATATATCATTTCTGAATTAGATATTATAATAATAATTATCAGGAAAGAAAATTAGATGGACTAAAGCTTTTTGCGGTGTCTACTTACTAGATAGGCTTTCAGTTTGGTCAACCTCAACATCAAACAGTTTCAGATGTACTTTTGTATAGTTTATATTCTCTGTATTTCTTTCCTTAAAATCAGCAATGCATGAAAACACTTGATTTTTTATTTTCTTTAAAGAAATATTCGCTGCAACCTTGATCTCGGAATTTTTATTGCAAAATTGTAATGAACCATTTAAAAAAAAACAGAAAAAAGATCTTTATAATCTTCTGTTGTCCATATTTGAGAGGGAAGAACTTTTTATGTTATGATTGAAGCAAAATGACATTATTCTCATTCTGTACAATATTGATTTCGTGAATAATTAATACTATATATTTGATCAAAATTTATGTAATAGTTAGATCATATTACGTAAAATTTTAGTGGTATATAGAAGGGGCGGAGGGAGGTAGTCGCCACACCTAACCACTAAAAGTTGACAATATGATCTAACTTACTAATCGCGCTTTTTCATTGGCTAATTAGTCAGCCCGCGGAGTTACTGCATTAACATAAAATCTTAACAATTAAGTGATCAACTTAATAGAAAATTTAGCAGCTGCTGATTGGAGGAAAAAGTGGGTTAGGTTCTAATTATTTTTAATGTCACTATTTCCTTCTTTTTTGTATTTTTCTTTACATATTTGTTCTTTGCACTTTAGTTGTTTACTTACTCTGTTTTGCTGTTTGTTTGCACTTTTTTATTAGCTCACACAGGCACAAGTGAGCTTTTCTGATCACATTGTGTCCGTCTTCCGATTTACGTCTGTCCGTCTGTAAACTTTTCACATTTTCGACTTCTTCTCAAGAACCACAGGGCCAATTTTGGCCAAACTTGGTACAAAGCATCCTTGGGTAAAGGGGAATTCAAATTGTTAAAATGAAGGGCCAAATCCCTTAACAAGGGGAGATAATCAAGAAAAGACAAAAATAGGGTGGGTTCATTAAAAAATCTTCTTCTCAAGAACCACTGGGCCAGAAAATGAAACTTACGTTTGTCCTAGGGTAGTGTAGATTCTACATTGTTTAAATCATGACCCCCGGGGATTGGGCGGGGTCACAATGGGGAATCCAAGTTTTACATAGAAATATATAGGAAAAATCTTTAAAAATCTTCTTCTCAAGACCCACTCTGCCAGAAAAGCTGAAACTTATGTGGAAGCATCCTGGGGTAGTGTAGATTCGAAATTGTTCAAATCATGACCCCCCCCCCCCAGGGTAGGGCGGGGCCACAATGGGGAATCCAAGTTTTACATAGAAATATATAGGAAAAAACTTTGAAAATCTTCTTCTTAATAACCACTGGGCAAGAAAAGGTAAAACTTATGTGAAAGCATTCTTGGGTAGTGTAGATTCTAAATTGTTCTAATCATGACCCCCTATGTTATATGGGGCCACAATGGGGAATCAAAGTTTTACATAGAAATATATAGGAAAAATCTTTGAAAAATCTTCTTTTAATAGCCACTTTAAATTATGTGGAAGCATCCTAGGGTAGTGTAGATTCTAAATTATTCAAATCATGACCCCCCGGGGTAGGGCGGGGCCACAATGGGGAATCCAAGTTTTACATAGCTATGTATAGAAAAATCTTTGAAAATCTTCTTCTCAAGAACCGCTGGGCCAGGAAAGCTGAAACTTATGTGGAAGCATGCTGGGGTAGTGTAGATTCTAAATTATTCTAATCATGACCCCCAAGGGTAGGGTGGGGCCACAATGGGGAATCAAAGTTTTAAATAGAAATATTTAGGAGAAATCTTTGAAAATTTTATTCTCAAGAAACACTGGGCCAGAAAAGCTGAAGCTTATGTGGAAGCATCCTGGGTTAGTGTAGATTCTAAATTGTACAAATCATGACCGGGGGTGGGGGTGGAGGGGGGTGGGGGGTTAGGGCAGGGCCACAATGGGGAATCGAAGTTTTACATAGAAAGATATTGGACAATCTTTGAATAGCTGAAACTTATGTGGAAGCATCCTGGGGTAGTGTAGATTTCAAATTGTCTAAATTATGATCAGTGGGGTAGGGTTGGGGATACATTATGTATAACAAGGGTGAAATCTGGTAAAGAACAGAATGGTCAAAGCTTCTCAGGTGAGCGATGTGGCCCATGGGCCTCTTGTTTTTTTTGTCGTTATATTGTATAGCGAGTATACCATGTATACGTACTTACATGTAATAATAACGCTTCTGTATAATGTAATAGGATTCATTTTTTTTCTTTTCTTTTTTCCCACCTTAGATAACAAAAGAAATTAATGTAACTTATAAGGAAATTTTTTTCATCATTGTAAATCATTGTCAATTCTTAACTTTTGTAACCTTGACCTTGGAGAGGACTTATATAGGCCATGCCTGATGTCCAATTCAATTATGTAATCTTACTTACATAATAAAATATTGATTAAATTAGATATATATTTGATTGTACAGAGGTCTTCTAAAACAATTTAAAACTTTATTTTAGTCTTACTGAACATAAAATTTTAAATTACATACAAATCTATCATAATAACACATTTATATAACACAATAAAATTAATCTTATATTGCTTTAATTCAGAATTACATTATCATTAATTTTATGTTTTTAAAGACCAAAATCGCCGCTGTTTTATTACCCGCCAACTTTTCCTCTTCCTTGTTCGTTTTAAAACACCGGGTGGTGTTGGCGGATAGAAACATATGCTTGCTATTTATTAAGGAAAGAAGAATTCATTTAATATTCACAACTAATATGTGGAAACATGGGCTTGAAAGTTTCATTTTTCACACTAATTAATTTAAACAATGAAGTTGTACATCCATTCTACTGTAATCATAAATGCTTTTAAATGTTTAAGTACAAGTAACTTGACGTTGTCTTGCCACTTCATTAAAATTTGAGACAAATTTAGAAATAAGTATAAATAAAAACTCTCTAAAACAAAGTTGTTGAAAGATCCTTGTCTTACATCAGAATTTTTCCTACGTACTTTACATGTAGTTCCTTCCAGAATTATAAGAAAAGAAAGGTTAAACTCTAATTTTAGAAATCTACAACTTTTAGAAAGCGATTAATATAGCTGTTGGTCATATTAGGACGATTAAATACGACCAAAAAAGAATACTATAAATACTTGAGAGTTTTCACACAGACCGGGGCACATAATGGTGAGCACTCTAACCCGTGCTGACGCAACTCCACTGTATTGATCAAATACATACATACCAGGTATAATTATATAATTGAGTCACCAAAATCCCCTCTCTTTGGCACAACGGCTGAAATACAAGAAAAGTTCGGATTGCGATAATATTTCCTTTTTTTAAATTTTTTTCCTAACGAATTCTTAATTTTTCGGAAACATTATTGAACTTTTCGTACTTGAAATTAAATAAATCTTAACCTATGTTTACCCTTATAAAAGTCATTACATCATATTGTTAATGCTAACAACATGGATTCTGGAATGCAATATGCAGATAGTAAACTGTTTTCAAAAGAGCTCAGAAAGCCTGTTGTGACACGGGGCCTCTGTTTTTTGGAAATCTCTTAACTGAAAGACTAGCAACTTTACTTTTCAAATTGCTGAATGCTTGGCGAACGAACAGTTACCACTATTTGTAATCGAGTTATCTCAGTCGCGGCTGGGCTTTGAACCCATGACCTTCAGATCACCGAACAAGCATTATTAATAATACATGTACATTGTATATATGTATCAATAAAGTTCTTCAAATTTAGACATTTTCATGACATGCGGAGTCATTGAGTAATATGGGTTCCTTATGTGCAATATGACCTTCCTTGACATGTCACTTCGGTTATTAATTTCTCCTTCAAAAAAACGTGGCTTTCATTTTCTTGCCGGGTGTTTGTTAACAGATTAGTCACTTCCTAGAACCCAGGCCACCCGATCAAGAAAAAGCCGCCCTTCAACTAGGAAAAAATATGAAGATATGAAGAATAGAAAAAAATTAATGATATGAAGAAATTACATCAATCGCTGAAAGCAATTAAGCCATGATTTTATTGATAAAGCAATTTACCAGTATAATAATGTCTATTTTGTTATATGGGTTGCCATTCGTAGATGATGTTTCATATTTTTCTATGTGTAAGTTTGTTATGTAATTTTAAAATGTGACATATCATATTCACTGCACTGTATGGGGAAAGATAACCAATGTTTCTGACACATGTGTTCAATTCTTATGTTTGATGCTTCATTGCCGTGGTCTTATCAACTTTCTTATGGCGCTGTCAACTGTCGCTAGGCTCCTTTACTCTGGATTTTTTTCGTCTATTAAAATTTGCCGATTATCTTGGCGTTCTTCGGCTTGAATTTGTTTTCGCCTCTAAAATAAATGTAAACAAATTAACATTAGATTATATGAAGATATTGTGTTTCATTGCTTTATGACCATTTCGTAAGACTTCAATATGTTTATGTTTATATCTGTGTTCAATCTATTTGAACGTTTCAAATAAAATTAACTTTTGTATAAAAAAGAAAGATGAATTTGTTAACAACCTAAAACTTATGCGTATATTGATCGATCATTTAAAAAAGTGAATGAATGTACAATACAATAATTCAAAATTTAGTCTGTGATTTTTGAAATGTCAAAATGTGCAACACATGAATTTGTATTAACACAAATAGATGCTAAGAAACGAAGACATTTCAGTAAAAATCGGCTATTTGACCTTGACTTAGGCAACGTAGATCTCAAGAATCAACGTTACATACCTTTGGTATTCTTGTTCCACAGGATAGAAAATGTTTCACGTTTTCTGGTAAATATGGAAAAAATTGTTCAATAAAACTCAAAACATATCGTGCGTCTACTTCTTCTTCTTTTGGAGCTCCTAAAATAAAAATTAGACAAGTTTTTAAAATGAAATATGCAACAAAATAAAATGAAGAATTTTTTCTTTCCTTTTATGTGCATTTAACTTTAAAAAAATCATTTTTTTACTAGTTTTTTTTTTGGACATATCTCGAATCCATCATCAAAATTCTCGATGCAATCATATTACCATATTTCTATGAAGTTAAATTTTCAGTGTTAGAGTATGACATATTTGTGGGTTTTTTTAATTATTGATTATGAATTATTAAGTAGTTGTGCCAATGAAAATTGTATTTCCTGGTTGGTATAAATTCGTCGGTTTCTTCATGCTTTTAAAACAAGAGAAATGAAACCCTAAAGTATTTTGTTCTCTCTTTTGTGCCCTTCTGATTTTATATTATTATCATTAGAATATTATTTTAAGAAATTCAAGTATCAAACTCTTTAATTAATTACAATGAAAAAAAGCTTTTCATTAGTCCATTATTTATACACTTATTTGACGATGGACTTTTTAGTTATTTCCCAATCATGACAAGGAGCACAAAGCGGATGTGACCGGTCAGCAAGAGATTTTTACTCCTCCATGTCACCACGTGTTTGCTCCGCTCCTATTTTGTATTGTTTGATGGACATTTGATCTTGGATACTGTTCGTTATCTACACATGTTTCATTAATTTCAAATCTAACGTTAACCCCCCCAAAACTATATAATTGTATTTATCTACCTGCTTTGTTGTACTAGTAATATCAGCTTACCTATGATTCTGCTGACAATCAGGCCAATTACAATCACAAGGAAAATGGCGATGACGTCAAACCATTGAAACGATAAAGTGTAGATTTTATTGAAACCTTCTCTAGAATTAATAAGCAAAAACATTATGAGATTTTTTTTATTCTTAAATTTTCAAATTACAAATTTGATGGACCATTAAATTATTTATTTTGTTTAAAATTCTAATACTTTATTGACTATTTTTGACAATTTGTTCAATGCAATTATTATTGCTGTTAGCTTTTGTGCAAGAGCTAACTCTTCATAATAACGGAAGGTACGTTATATTTCTTAATTTGCCTGGAATCATGCAAAAGATTTCTGGATTGTTTTCAACAAAAATTTGTACATAGCGGTATATAAATTTCTCTCTATTATATAAAGTTCGTTGTGCTCGATATGTTATTAGCAAAAGGTCTTAACAAATATGTCACATTTGTTAAACAATCATACATCAGAAAAAAAATCTGACATGAAATTGTTTTCTTCAGGCAAGAATATGTTACTATCTTCCTTGAAGAAATGTCAAAGCCCAATTATATGTATATCTTAGAGAGGTGTTCTCCTTCCACTGTTTTGGGGGTTCGTGTCTGTTCTCAATTTGAATCAATATTGTTTGATATTACACTTTGAGATTGGCTACCCTCATGCTTTATCGAAGCTAGTGTGGGTTCTGTACTTCATGTCCTTAAAATCTTTAATTTTTTTATTTTCAACAAGCATAAGTACTTTTATCTGATGTTTTATTACTCACAAAGTATAAGGTACTGTGTTGCCTGTAAGATTGGCGTTCAGGCTACTCATGTTAGAAACTGCTAGGCTACTTAACATAGAGGTATTGCTTATACACTGGTCTACAGGAGCCGGGGAAAGCTTTTTCTCAACAGACGGGGGGCTGACCATGATGTTTCCAATGGCCATCCATAAGTAAAACGACAGCGACGTCAGACCACCTACAACAGCTCCCTGAAATAAGAAAAAAATAATCCTTGATATACTGTAAAATCACATACATTTGTGGGGTCGTACTGGAGTGGTTTGAGTAAACACTCTTGGTTCGTTGGGATTTGAATTCATGGATAAAGAATTGTTGAGTAGTTATGTATGGAATGTTTTACATTTCGTTGTGGACATGAATTCGGAGGTCTCTTCATACCTCGAAAATAAAAAAATGAAACCCACCTCGAAAACAACAAAAATTAAACCCCCAACGAAAATTTGTGTATTTCACAGTATATTTATTTTCGTTGATTTACTATATGGACGGGTGGTGAAATGAAATGACATTTGTATTAAAATATAAAGAATTATCTTGCTTTGTCTGATTCAGTTTTGAACTCTCTTCCCTGCTGTAATAAAAATAGCATTTTATAAAGCTGTGCCAGAAAAAAATCTTTTGGAATTTCTGCAGAGGGCAAAAAAGGGACAAAATACAGGAAAAAGCAAATCCCAAATGCAATGAAAATTAATTAGAGTCATTTCCCTGAATCTCAGTTTTGAATGGAACTAGATTTCATTCATAATAATAATTTAGCAAATAAAATATGCATTGTTCCTATGAAATTAAACACTTATCTTCATAAATAATTTAAATTCACTAATTATTCTATATCCATATGTTTCATTTAGGTTGTTACTACTTTACCGCTGTCGTTGCAGATGTGCAAAAAATACTGTATAATATTATTCCAGTAAATGGTGCTGTGGGAATAGTCAACACCATTTGAGCTAGCTGAAAATAGATTGAAGCTAATTATGCAAAAGATAAAAATCAGCTAATTATATGTATGTAATGGCTTTTCTTAATCAATGGAATATAAACCAACTTTGATGATTTTAGAGGTTCGAGTTTACTCTGCATCTGATTTGTATAGTTTCAATGAACTTTAAAGTGATCACTTTTCCATATCTTTATATATTTTTTCTTTCAAGTCTTTTCTTACATAGAGTTTATAATCAGACATCAAATTATCAAAATATAATAATGCGTATTCATAATAAAAAATTCCATGTCAGAATATAGATTGAATTCATTTGGAAAAGTTTTTATAAGTATGAGTGATCAAAAATATTATTAATAAATCATACTTTTGCAATCAACATAAATTATAGTGATAAACATATCCTACCTTTAAAAGAGTTCCTTTAACATTGGCAAGCAATAAAGCCATACCGGTCGTCAGAAACGAAATAACCACCACTATACAATTGAATTATTTTATTTTTATTTCAATAATCTTTTTTTTTTTAATATTCTGATGATTGTGCATTTATAAATAGAGATATGTATATTTACGGTAATAAAATAGTTAACTTTTCATAGACATTTTGTATATATGAACCATTTAGTTCTATTTATAAGATGTTCAGGAAATGGAAATTAATCCTTTACAAATGTCAAAATAATTCATAATTGTATGATTAACAAGAAATAATTCATCAAACATTTCCTTAAAAAGCTTTAGGTTTTAATAGAAAACGTTAAACACGATTTCATTTTTATTATTAACCATCTATTCTGCAAAGTTATTTAAATTGTACTGCATTTACTTATGTGAACACATTTTACAATATTTACATTCTTCACAATAGACAAAGTAAAAAACTGTGTACAGAAGTATGGTTTTACACCTGTAAGTTTGGAGGTGATGGTCGACTTTCTCTCTGATAATTTTCTCCACCTCTTTTTTATAATGTCTTGAAGTGTCATAGAAGATAATGCTGCATAACCACTAGACACAGTGCTAAAAATATAGTAAGTTAAAATGATATGGTTTAACCACTGGACAGTCATTGTCGCATTAACCACGACCAAAATGTACGCTCCTCTCCCATCTGGCCGTGGTTGAACGAGGAGAGAATTCTTCGTAGCTTATTAAAATATTGACCAGTGCGAGTAAAGCATAGTCAGATGATGAACTTTATCGCGACCTTTCAATATCCAATCGCAGTATAGGAAAAATATTTCTTTTATGCTGTTGACATCAGTTGTTGATTTCGATTGCGATTGAAACAAAACTTGCTACTGAATGAATATGACGTCACAATAGAGAGGCGTAAATGTTCAAGATTACGACACTTTTTGTGATCAAGCAGCCACAGGTAGGAGAACGCTATATGTGACTCCGGACCGTGGCTTGAGACGATGCTGGACACTGCGCTAAAACATAGGAAGTTAAAATGATATGGTCTAGAAATTTTCCATGAGAATGCTATTAAGGTTTATATCTAAATATTTAAGCTTCAGTACTTTTTCAATCTTAATATGCTGGAATACACATTTAATACAAAATTGACCTGCGCATAAATTTTGTGTTCGGAGTACATACTTATAAGAAAACAAATTATCTTTTCAAATGTCATAAAAAGCAAATCCTTATTTGATTTAGTTATTTGGACATTTCCTTCATAAGTGCTAAATTGGAGGTATTTCAAGAATTCATATAGATAAAAAAAAATATCAGCAAATATGATGGGATATTTTTCAGAGTCAAATGCTTATGAAAAGGAAATATCACTTTTTATATCTTTTATATATAATATCATATATAAATTTATATGATATTTACCTTAGAGTCGCACAGAAAAGACCGGCAATAAAAAGCCCAGTCATTCCCGGATTTTCCAGAAATATCTCCGAAACAAGTGTAGGCAAAATCTGTACAAAAACAGAAGAATTTATTCTTTTTTAATAATTGAACATTTAATTGAAATACCATTTCAGAATTTACACGAGTTTATACTAGATATATCTTTATTCCAAAATTCCTAATTATCCAGTTGTTTGTTCAAACGGATTTTAAATGTTCATTTAATTAATCTATATATCAATTAGATATTGAAAGATTGAAAAATATGCTCCCTTTGAAAAATATTTTAACATGATTTATCTAGTAAGATAAATGATATTTTTCTTAAAAATGGCACTCCTTCACAAACCTTCTATGGTTTTATATCAATTGAATAAACTTGAAATGTTTTAGTCAACAAGAACACCATTATAATTATAATACTCGTATATACTAGTACCTGATTGGGATTTCCAATGAATTTGGATTTTAATGGATCACATCTTACTTTAACAAAATAGGCATAAGCAACTAATCCCATACTTCCCCCAAAAAAGAAAGTTAAAGCCGTCAGTGGAGCAACGATAAAATACATCCTGTTGGAATAAACGATTCGCAATACATTACAATATGACTTTATTTCTTTAATGTGTTTTATATTAAATTATTCCAAAAAGCTTTAAAATATTACAAAGAACATGTGTTTATTAGTAAGTATTTATGAAACTTTAGAAATATTTGAATTAATATTCTTGAGAAAATTTAACTTTTACTTTGAAACGAAAAAAAAAGGATTATATGTCTAAACTTTGGACTACCGAGTATTAATTGTTCTCACAAAATGATAGTTAGAACTTATTGAAAGTCTATTTTCTAACTTGAAGCCTGGCTTTATATAAAAACCAGAATACATGTAATTATATTTTTTTGTCATTTTCTCATAATTAAAATTATTATAGTACTTGTAGGCTTCCTTTATTGACGGCATGCACCCGATCCTTTGTACTGAGGACTGAGACAATGGAAATGCGAAGAGCTTGGCAGTGTTTCCAATGACAACATTCCACAAGGTGTAGCGGAGGGTAAGGTCAGGACTGAAACTGAAGGAACAGTAGAGGTCGATATATGAGTACTGAATGCCTCATTGTTAATACGCTTTAGGTTGAAGTAATAACATACACTCAGAGAAAAACACAAATTTAAATTATAAATTATATTAAATTATACAAAATATGGGGGGGGGGGTGTAGTTTCTCTGGGAAAATACTACCATAGTTAAATATAGCTTAATATAGTTTAGCTTAATTAATTCTCTGATACTCTCATTTACTATGAAGCTTTACTCTCGAATTTTTTTTAAAGATTAAGCGCTTTGAAATTTCTTAAATTACATGCTAATAATGAAATATTTTGCAAAAAATGTAAATATGTAGGACTCGAAAGTGCAATGGGACTCCAAAGTCCGATGGTCACGCCAAAGTCCGATGGTCTGCGCCAAATCCGGATGGTTTGACACGCCAAAGTCCGATGGTGCCCAAAACAATTAACGTTCATGACGTCATAGTAATACTGCGCCAAACCTCTATGTCGCTGCCATGCCAAGGTCTTAAAAATAAGTGTAAATAAACAAATAAATGCGAAAACTAACCCTTAGCTCTCAAATATGTGCGAGACTAAGCCTAAACGCTCAAAAAGTGTGTATCAACTTTAAGCTAGATATCTTGGGTGTTTGCAAGACTAACCCTAATCACTCGACTAGTGTGCGAGGACTAACCCTAATCAATAGAGTTGTGTGCGAGGACTAATCCTAATATATCTGGTGCAAGGAATAAGAAAATTCAATATTTTTTTTATTCGAGGACGAATTCAGAAATGATGGCTTTTGAATGCAGGACAATGGCGTCAAGGATTGACGTCGGATTAATGTGACGTCATAAACACTGATTGTTTCTCCGCACCATCGGACTTTGGCGTGTCAGATCATCGTACTTTAGCGCAACGTGTCTCATAGGAAACGAGCCACAGGACTTTGGCGTCACCATCGGACTTTGGCGTTCGCAAAGACAGCAAACCATCGGACTTTGGCGCAGACCATCGGGGTTTGGCGAGACCATCGGACTTTGGCGTCACCATCGGACCTTAGAGTCCTACATATATACAATAAATGCTTCTATGTAACATCAGAAAACTATTTGTAGAAAATTTCAAAAATAAACATATCTATATGAAACTCATGGTAAATATACTTTGATTTACTACATTGAAACGTTGATTTACAATTGTTAACGATATAGTTTAATATAGTGCTTTTTGTTAAAGACGATGCAGCTCATGATATTTTCACAGCGAACAATTTCAAGTACAAGTAACTTATCTCAGTTTAAAACGTTGCAGTCTGTTCATCTTCAAGATACATTGATGAAAAAATATACAAAAATTCTATTAATGGTACATGTTTCATTCACTTCGAGTAAAAACTGTTCAAACTACCGGTAATAAATATACTCTCACCTTGTCCTAATCAGATTAAATGTGATTGACGAAAAGGAGAAAAAAAAATCTGCTTGATATACTCGTAAAACCTACTTCCATATATTGAGCCTGTCTCCTTCCAAATTTACTCGAAGGACTTCAGAGCCGCCTCCAACCTTCGTTGAACCCTATACATAAATATAGCATTATAATAAATTATCAATTTTAAAAACAAACTTACGTATACGTATTTGTTAACTATTTTTTTTTTTATATTTTTTTTTTAAATACCAGGTATCAGTAACTCATTTTCATGTAGATTGTCGTCTATTATCAAAGCCTAAAACCACGCTTATTTCAAAATTATGTTTCATAATTTCGAAGCAAATTCCAATAAATGAATTTGTAGTCATATTTCTTAAATGTAACAATTAGATTTATCCAGTCACAAAATTTGAAAACTTTTCAGAATTTATTACATCAGATAATAATGCCAAATAATGCAGTGTCATGTGTCAAGAGCAAAAAAATACTTGTTAGAAAAAAGAACTATAATTGTAACGCTCAGGTGTACCAAGGTATGCATTTACCGTAGATGTTCTATTGCAAAGGATTTTCTACGTTATGATATTATGACGTTACGTAACAAATAATGACGTTCCTCATGAAAATTTCATTTAAAACAATGCCATACTGTCAAATCTCTTCTTGAAAAAGGATTATAGATATCTAAAAAGGAAAAGAGTTCTGAAAAGCTACAAGTCTACACTATCTTCACTGAAATTTTCATTAATTTTGTTAATTTAGACGCTTTTAAATGGTTCGTGGTTTAGATCTTTGTGTCTGGATTTTTTTAATCTCACCTTAATAAGTATAGCTAGAAGGGAGATCAGCATTATCGTATACTGAATTACATCTGTCCATATAACAGCTTTGATGCCTCCCTGTACATGAAAAATACATAACAATCAATCTCCATTCTGTTACTGTCATATCAAATACTATTTAAAGAGTAATTATTGCCCCTTCTTTCACAAAAAAACTTTACAATTTCTAAGATGATGGAAAAATATTTCATATGAAATATATCTATATCGGTCAACATTTTTACAAGTAAATGAACAAGCATTGTGGAAGAAAAATGCATAATTCTATAAAATTCTGCCTTGTAACAGACATCTCAAAACATTTGAAAAACGACGGGAAATTGGGCAGTATGAAGTTAATTCTACTTCACTGATGGAGAGAAAAAGAAGGAACAAATTAAAACATTTTGTTAATGTTTATATATACAGAATACTAAATGCATTAATTTTTTTAAAATTGGCATTATCTTTTTTTTTTATCCTTAAGTACAAGCATGCTAAGCATGCATTTTCTGTGATGCTTCACGTACATACATGAACATAAGATCGTCTATATGCATTCATGAATACTTACGATAGCTGTATAGATCATACTTCCCGTGGACACGATTATTATAGACAGCCATACTGGTGCTCCTAAAACTTCAAAACACAATAAAAATATTCATTATTAAAGATCGTCTTTAAAATTTCAGATATAATATTATACATATTAATATATTTTCAAATTTATTTGGTGGCGCAGCGTCTGCTGTAATGTCGCGAAGTAAGGAGTTCATCCTTAAGTCGCGGGTTCCAATCCCACGGTGGGACGTGGAGACCAGTCATTTGGATGAGACCGTATAAACCGAGGTCCCGTGTCGCAGTAGGTGCTGGTACGAAAAAGATCCCTCCCTTATCAATGGCCCCGAGTGCCGAGTATAGGAAAAAATTTGCAGCTCTCCACCGGCAAGTGGTGGCGTCTCCATATGAGTGAAAAATTCTCAAGAGGGACGTTAAAAAATATACATTCAATTAAATTAATTGTTCCTAAATATTACGTGGTTTAACTTATTGGACACATTATCAAAACAGAAAAAAAAAATATTTTTTTGTATTTGTTATTTCCAAGAGAATCCAATATTGTTTTTACTTATACCTGTTTCTATCGCTGTGGACACCCCGTAGGTAACAATTCCTATGTATATGAACTGAAAAGGAATCGAAGTATTTTGAACTTAAAAACTAAAACAGAAACATGAAATATAAGGTACTCCAACATAGTTTAAGGAAGCTTTAGACACTGCTCAAGAAATGGTTTCAATTCAAAAGCAGTTACAGGGAAGTTCCCTACACATGATGTTAAACGAAATAAACGGACCCTTATACCGGTACCGTAAATAACACAATTTTAAATAAATTAGAAAGGGTTTTTTTGGTATTATTCGTGTTTCAAACTTTACAGATTAAAAAAAAAAATTATGGAAAACAACGAACAGTAATCATGATCAAAGTCCATGTAAAAAAAAAAAAACAAATTAGGAGCAGAGCAAGCATAATCTCTAAACACATCAGAAGTTGGATCATGTGCCATGAATGAGTAATAAGCCGCTATAGATCGGTCAGATCCGTTTAGCTCTCCTGATATAATACGTAAAAAAACGGAAACGATTCATTGTGGAAAAAAATGGCTAACAATTAGTAAAAAGGTCAGTGGGCATTCGATTCCATTTGCTGACAATGTAATTGTATCAAACATGCATTTAGAACTTGCCAGATTATGGCTTTCAGTGATTTTGTTTGCATTCATATTTCATCAACTTGTTTGTCACTAGCTTGCCTCGTTTTGGAAATTTTTCGTATGTAAAACAGGATCCTACTTATCGAATTAACTGGGAATCATAAATCCCAATTTCAAAGGTACAGTGTACATTGCTAAACAAGAAAAAAAAGTGTTTAGACCTTCCTTAAGATTGAAAATAACAAAACAGACTTTTTAATCTTTTTAGACATTACGTTGTTTAACAGGTCGAGATCACTAGATTTTCTGACGTCAGCATAAATTTGCTTGTAAATTAGCTATCTTTTTACTTTACCAACTGATGAATGAGCCGCAATACATTGTGGGCTACTACAAGTACTCAGCTTTGTTGAATATAAAGGCCAACTTGAATTGTCCCTTGGAAACTTATTTTAAATACTTTTTTGAGATTTATGAAAGAAATGTTTAAAATGATGTAAAATCTTTCATTTCTTTGCTCACATTTACAAAATTTGCTTTATGAAGCCTTATATCAGCTTATAATACATCGGCCTAAACTATTGTTCGCAGAGACGTACATGTAGGTGCTATCGTGTCGATAAAGCCTTGAGTTTTTTTCACGTGATATACGTGAACATAGTTTTAGACAACAGTACAAGGTGCGCAATTTTCATTTAACCCCTAAATATTATCAAAAAGTTTTGAATGCACATGCAAACATCAAAGCGTTTGCACGGTATTCAAACTTTCGATGAAGCTATTAATCATCTAAAACAACTCCAATATCAAATGTTAGCATGGAGCAATGTCTTTGGAATGTAATATTTCAATTTTGGACTTATAAAGTGATAAAGAAACTCTACGGTTTTTCCAGTGACGAAGTGAATATTATGCAGTAAACCGACGAAAACCACGTGTCGCCATTGAATCGTAATCACTTAGTAGACTGTCATGCTTTGGGACTCATTCACTTGATTGGAGAACGGGTGTGACGAAGATGTCATCACGAGTTAAAAGCCATTCTCTCTAATGATTTGAAATTTTATATAGGAGCTGTGGCACGCTATCAAAATTTCTCCAAACTCTCTAAGAAAAAGTCATTGATACTCTACACTGAAATCAGGCAAAAATTGGTTGCTATGTTTTATAGTTACCATGGCAACATGTCTTAAAGTTCGAAAAATGGCATTTTTTAACATGTTTAGAGAGATAGTTAACATTTGCGGCAAAACAAACAATTGGCAATGACTGTTTCCAAAAGTTCTCAGATGTCTCAAATGCACGATAAACATGTTTGGTAAATCAACTATTACATACGTTACTATGGTAACAAAGTATTCAGAAGTTAAAAAAAATATTCATTGAATTTTATAAAGTCATACACGTAAAAATAAAAAGCAATGATAAGATGAAATATGAACAAATAATAGAAAAAAGAGCCTTGAAACATATACCAAGAACAAAATATGATATTTCATTTTGGTTGGCAATGGTTGCCAAGGTTTTTATACCATAGAGAGCTTTCAAAGTAACAAAAGATGTTTAAATCTGATCCTATCTTTTAAAAAAGCACATTTCCTCATCACTAATGATCAATTTTTAAAGATGTTGGTGTGCTCCTAGTTTTCTTATTTGAAAAAATTCAGATTTGATTCTTTAAATGGAGCGTTGCTATGGAAATAAGCAGAAAATATATGCTTGAAAACCTGAAAAATATTTTCTTTCCTTGGATACGTACCCTTAAATGTAGATTCCCAAAACTTTTATGATTGATATTTATTAACAGCTAACCTGGCTTTTAATTTTGACTATCATCCAATCTCTAAGTGGATGCAAGAAGTTGGCACACAGGGTTTAATATTGATATAAAGTTCACAAAATCGAACATTTTCCCTTCTTGGTATATATAGCAACAGTGTTGTTTTCTTCATCAAATTTTATCAATATATGATATTCAACTTCAGTTCTAACAGATAAGTACTATTCAAGCTGAGTCCTTCAATTTGTTTCTTGATCAAATGGCAATTTAATTCTTAATGCAGCACAAAATAATTCACTTTTAAGCACTGGTTCTTTGTTTCCATGGTAACACTGCAAAGTAGCAATTATACCCAATTTTTCTTATGGTTTTTGGTGTTGCAAGGTCCTAAGGATGCATATTTGCCAGTCTTGAATTTTCATGTTTTCCCTCAAGACAGTAGCATTAACCCAATCTTAGGTACTGCTTTTGCATGGTTACACTGTGTTACCATGGCAACCATAAAACTGATTTATAGAATAATATTGCTTATACTTATATACTTAAGGTCAAACATTTACATTGTATTTCTTAAGTCGTTGATTGTGTTTGAGCATGTAACACCTACCATTAGTGAATATGGAGTGTTTTTCAGCATATTTCAGCATTTTAAATGTATTCCAAATGTACCCTTGGTTAAAACTTACTTAGAGATATATTCTAAACAGTTTCTTTACAGTATAAGTGACATCAAGGTGTCATGTTTTTGTGAGAATGGTTTGTTTGCTTTTTCTAGTTTTTATTAAGCCACAGTCAAGATATAAAGTGGCTGAAAATCTCGATTTTTTAAACTTTTCCGGCTGTTGCCATAGCAACCGAGACACATAGCAACGAAATTTTGTTTGATATTTGTTTCTGGTGTCAAATACTTAGCATTGGTGAAGTTTCATCAAAATCGGTGACCATGCGTGGCAACGAAGTTTAAGTGGTTACCGAGAATGGCTATTAAAAATTGCCTTCCATATAAGGTAGTGGTGTCGACCTGTTTAAAAATACCTTAAATTATTTTTCTCTACTCTGATATAAAAAAGTGCATAAAACAATTAACTTAACCTATCAAAATCTTTTCTTAAAAAATAAAATTTCTACATTTTGAATAATGCTTAACAAGTGTCATATTGGGCAATGTATTGATTACTTCTAGTCTGAAAGGAATTAGAGAGAAAGCAAATGATAGTAAAACTTAACCAATTACCAGTCTTATTATACCCCTTCCCTCTCTCTATTATCGATAATGGATAATAATTTTAAGAGTTATCCTTCCTGGCCAAGGATCGGATATCCTTAATCCCCCCCTCTTTCTACTATAATAAAAGAGGTTTCTTTCAGACTGTCACACTACACGTACATTTATTTATCCATATCTCTTATTTGCTTTCTTTTCTATCAGACAGGAAATCAGAAGCCAGAAGTTGTGTACAATATAGCATTTAAGAGTGATTTAAGTTTGCGTAAAGGTTACCTTGAAATACCTAAGGACTTACCCAAAATAAAAAAGAGAGGAAAGTCGTCAGGATCCGAACTCGATTGCTTTTGTAACGTAGTTCAAAATACTATAAATAAATATATGAAATAGTTTATTTAATTCAATATGTGTAATTTTGAAAGAGTTCATTTATTGCATTATACTGTTTAAGGACATACGCAACGTAGTTTTAACATTTCTGTCTTTTTCCATGGGATAGTTCCAATTCTTGAAGAAACTATCTTTTTTAGCTTAAAGTCTACATATGGTGTTTTACACTTCCTTTCAAACAATTTTGGTTAAAAGAAAAATATATGTAGAATGTATGTTTCATATTTTCTTATATACACTATATTTTACGTTGAATCATCCATGAATTTTCATCAATTGATATTTTTCAAACACCCTGGTAATACATGCTATTTTTTTCTATGAACATCTGATTACATTATATTTTTAAATTAAGAATATTTTGAACAAGATGTGTTTGTGAAACACTATGCGCCCGGCGACAACAAAGTTCCAAAAAGTATTTTAGCATATCGGTCACAGTCAAGGTCACAAGGTCATTGACCTTGGTGTTATTTGAAAGAACTTAATTAGTGAAGTATGCATATTAATAATGAAGTCTCTACCTCTCATTGTTAAAAAGTTAAATTTGACAAGAGACAGACAAAGAGATAAACAGACAAACAGAAAGTACAAAAATAATATACGCCTCGCGGATCTATCGATCCTGGCGCATAAAATATATCAATAGGTAAGGTACGTTGCGAATGTCCTAAAGAATTACTATTCCTAACTTCGTTTACACTGGTGATCCGGAGTGGATAAACTACGGGAATAATTATTCGTGCTGAAATCCAATAGGCGCCCAAGAACCCAAAACTAGCTGCAAACGTTGCCAGGAAACCAAAGAGATAGGTCTCTGCTGGAACACCCAACATCAAAATGGATGATTGTGACGTCACCATCAAAGACAACATTACTGGCAGGAAGTTGAGATTTCGGTTTCCTAGGTGATATTCTGCGGTGGTGACCTGTCGACCTCCAGAAATGGCATAGTATATACCAATGACAAGCGAGACGCATAACGCCAGCGCGCATACGACATAGTCCGCCGTGGTAAACTTCACTTCTGACAACATGGTTTTCTTAGTTGCAAAGTGGTGTCATCGAAACTGGACTGTCGAAATAATACAGAAATATCATAAAATATAATTTTTTTTTTTTTTTTTTTTTTTTTTGCAAAAGCATTGACAATTAACTAGTAATGATTTCTTTTTATAGCAATAAACATTTAACAAATATTGCATATCATGTAAATAAATGATACCTCCCCTCCAGCTAAGTTACAGATATGTGTGTTTTAATAAAGAAACATGTGGAGAACAAGCTAAAATTTGTTAGAGAGATGTGGACTATTGTCCTTTTAACATTTTAAGAACATTTTTCTGTTATTACAAAATTTATTGCATTGAAATTTTATATGCATGCATGATCACAGGTAAAACTTTGCTCATACCAAAGCCTGACACCAGATACAATAAAACAAGTATATACTGACAAAACGTCAGATATACTCAAGCTGAAGAAAGTCAACTAGGAAAAGTCATTATAATTTCCTAAAATGGTATAATACTAGTATGAGCTATTGAGTTCTATCTTCTGTTGAATAATTTACACGCATATGAAACAAAATTCATATAATGAATTTAATTAGAATAAATATAATTTATCGCACTACTTTTTAAAATTTACGTTACCCACTTTCAGGAATATTAATAGAGCATAGTAGCCGTTTCTTAATTAAAAAAAATATATTTCATATTAGTTTCAACCTAGGGGATAGATTCAGGAAACTTGAGACATGCCGTGGTCAGTCTACTTGTACTTCAAAATTGTCAATTTTACAGAGGGGGGGGGGGCAATTTGTGCAGGTGTGCACAGTTCTATTATCTAAGAACAGCTTTATAATATACATGTCTGAAAAAATTATTTAAAGGAACATTAATGCTCATGGAAATGGGATGTGAATATTTCTGCATGATACATCTTCTAGATATGAATTATTTTTTGGACTATTTTTACCATAAGTGACAACGAAACAGGTAGAAATGAAACATTTCATTCCTATATGACCATGATGAAATGTGCGTATGTTCTTTGAAATATGGAAATTTTGTAGATTTTGTGTATTTTTTCATCAGCTTTCTTAAAAAAATTTAAATGTCCCATAAATATTTTTATGTGTTTAGACTAATTTATGCAAGATCTGATCTATACAATGCACTCCTTCATGAATTTCAAATCAATGTGCAAAGGATAAAAAACACTTTGAAAAAGGGTTTAAAATGGGAATTTTCTTCTTTTTTTTTTGACAAAATGCCAAAATCCCCAAAGATAAGCGTTGTTTAGGCATTATGTAGAATTACAGTTTTTAAAACATTATGTTGTAATACTACAATGGAATAATTATAGTTTTAAAACAAAAGTTGGTTTTCCCATTCTCTTGTTTCTTTTAAGCTCATTTTTATGCAGTGAAACTTATAAAATCACGTTTTTTGGTCAAATTTTAAGAATAACTTACAGGGGGGAAACAATGGGTGCCGTTACCATAGCAACGAAACATTTTTTGAAATAAAAAAAATATAAAACCATTAATGATGTGAAAATATGAGTATACACAAAAAATATTATTAAAATTGAAAATTGAAAATGTAGTGTGGCCAGGCATTATTGATTGTTTGATAATTTCAGAGAACTGATATTAATTATCATCATATACATGTATCATAACTTTTCATATCATTTCCATTTTCTCCAATTATTTCAAGTACCAAATCCTTCGTATACCGTAAATCTGGAAATTTTTACGTCGATTTTATTTTGCGAATCTGGGTCAAAATGCTATTGATTAATTTTTACGTTTCAAAATTTTGCGAATGACCACTACTTTGTTTACATTTTCTAATTGTTGAATTATTTTTAAGAACAAGATGTGTTTGTGAAACACTATGCGCCCGACGGCAACAAAGTTCAAAAAAACATTTTCAGAAGATAAGTCAAGGTCATAAGGTCATTGCCCTTGGTGTCATTTGAAGAACTTCATTATTGGAGTATGCACACCAAATATGAAGTCTCTATCTGTCATGGTTCAAAAGTTATGGAGAAAGTTTGTAAACTCTATTTTTAGCATAAAGGTCACCGTCAAGGTCACAAGGTCATTTAAAAGAGCGTCATTGGTGGAGTATGCATCTCAAATATAAAGTCTCCATCTCTCATGGTTCAAAAGTTATGGCGAAAATTCGAAAAAGCTATTTTTAGCAAATAGGTCACAGTCAAGGTCACAGGGTCATTGACCTTGGTGTCATTTGAAAGAACTTTATTGGTGGAGTATGCATATGTACCAAATATAAAGTCTCTATCTTTCATGGTTCAAAAGTTATGGCGAAGGTTAAAGTTGACAACAGACAGATAGACAAACAGACAAACAGATAAACAGAGAAACAGACAAACAGACATACAGACAGGACAAAAACAATATACGCCTCGGATCTATCGATCCGGGCGCATAAATATATTTTTGCGAATGCAAATAACTCGCAAATTTGCTAAAAATTTATCTACAGCAAAAATTTCCAGATTTACGGTATATGCACATGCCTACACTAGTATATATACGCACAATATGAACTACTTAACTGATACACTTTTATTTAATTACTATTCAATCTGCATTTTATATAATGTAAATGTAGCCCTAACATGAGGTCGTTGACTTCACAGAAAAGCATATCTTGTGAGGTCGATACGATTTTCTGTGAAGTCGATTTATACATGTATCTATGAATTGACAGAATGAAAGGGCTACATTTGTAATACAGTGTATTATTAACATCGGGTCAATCAGTCATATCAACACGTGCTTTAATGACCATTTTCTTTTTAGCAATAAACATTTAAAACGATTATTATGAAAATAAATAATATCTCCAACTCAGTATCAGAAATGTTTGTGTGCTGGAGCACAAGTTAAGATATGTTAGACAGATGTGTACTATTGTTCTTTTAACATTTTAAGAGCAGTTTTCTGTAATAACATTATATTTCGATTTTATATGCATTCATGATCACCAATTTTGATAAAACCTTGCTCATTTTCATAGCCTGATACCAGGTACAAATAAAACAAAACTTTTGATGAATGCATATGGCTCTGTATGTCTCAGTTACAATGGACAGTGCATCAATTTAAGAAACAAAAAATTCAGATTATATTAAATGTCAATTAAACAGAAAAGCAAATTTGTTTGCTTCTTTGTATGTTGTTCAACGTTCCTCTGGGGATGGAGACGCCGATGGAGAGTTGCAAATTTTGTTCTTTACTCGGCACTTGCATGTACGGCCATTGAGCAGGGAGGGATCTGCCTGTACCAACTGCGAAACGGGACCTCGGCTTATACGGTCTCATCCGAAGGACCGGACTCCGGTGGTGTTACCCGCAACGTAACGATCAACTCCTTACGCGACTCTGGAGCAGAAACTTTAACCACTGCATGCGCTAAGCCATCGTCGCAATCCACGGCCAAAATGTACGATCCTCTTCCATTCTGGCCGCGGTTGAACGAGGAGAGAATTCTTCGTAGCTCATTAAAATATTGACCAATGCGAGTAAAGCATACTAATAGTAGTCGGATGATGAACTTTATCACGACCTTTCAATATCTAATCGCAGTATTATAGGAAATATTTGTTGAAGTCAATTTTTTATTTCAATTGGAAACAAACCTTGTCACTGACTTAATATGACGTCAAGATTACGACACTTTTTGTGATCAAGCAGCCACGGGTAGGAGAGAGCTACATGCGGACTCCTGTCCGTGGCTTGAGACGATGGCGCGCGACGAAAACCTTTGAAATGTTCGATGGTTCGTATCAAGCAGACAAGTATATGACAGCATCAGGTATGTACATATATAGTACACGTTTTAAAAGAGGTGACAGGGATGGGTGAGAGCAAGAATAATGCGTAAACGTTCTCGATGTGTTGCCTTTGACTTTTTTAATTATCATCATATATTATAACTTCTCAAACCATTTACTTTTCCTTCAGTTAATTCAAGTAGCCAATCCTTCGTTTAATTGTATGCCTATACTTACACATGTACTTGCAATATGAACTACTACAGTGATACACTATGCTAGCCATTGAATCCGCATTGTTATAGTCCTTTTTTTAGGTCGATGACCTCACAGAAAAGCATATCGTGCGAGGCCGATACGCTTTTCTGTGAAGTCGATATATCTATTATATTTTCATATTTTCTGTTACGGATGTACAGTAAAATACAGAAAAATTTTCTGATTATCAAATATTTTCAGTCATTGCTCTTTTGTTTTGAAAATAATACTCGTGTTTAATAATGGTTTAAGAATATTGAAATTTTCAAAGAAGTGCGACAAATTCATTTTTCGTCAAAATCGGACGGGACGTGTAATAATTTTTGACCGGGATCGAGCTTTAATTTTCAACAAAGAAATTGTCCTCAAATTCATGCATTGCATTCTAAATCTTCTTATGAAATGTGGGGTTTCCGGCTAGAAATAATTATGATTAAAGATATTATAGTTTAATGAAATGCGTGTAGCTACGGAAGGATAACGACACCACCTGCATTTGTATAACTCCAACATAAATACTGATTTTTAAATTTACTACAAAACTCAGAAAAGTGTTATCGTCCGGGTGCAAACATTACCAAATTGATATGTTTGCTGCAAGCCTGCGGCAAATCTGCCGTAAGCTTGCAACAAACAAAATTGTTCGCAGGAAGAAATTTTTTTTTGTTTGCAGATGATTGCTGCTCGCTACGATCTTGCGGCAAACATTGCAGCAATTGCTGCAAGCTTGCAGAAAACTCGCAGGAACTCAACATGTTTGCAGGAACATTGCAAGAAACATACACGCCAATTTAATGTTCGCAGCAAGTTCGCAGGAAACATTTCATGATTTGAATGCATGTTTGCAGGAAGTTCTCAAAAACAGTAAACAAGTCAAATCAGCCAATGAAATGCAGATTGTAATGGGGTCAACACAGAACTGGCCATTTTGAAATGTTTGAATTGAAGTTGTACATGTTTCAGTATTTTGACAGGAATATACGGTTTTGAATAATTAAAAGTTCAAAATTCCGGATATAGGTGTTCATTGGCATCCATGATATCTAATTGGTTAGATCTGATTTTGTTTTATTCTGATATAAAAAAAATATTTCTTAAAAGCATGTTTGAGTAACTGGTGTAACTACTAGGTCAAATCTTAATCTATTTATTATTGAAATCAGTCCTTATTTTAATATCACATATGTATACTTCTTAAATGTATTAATGGGCCCAAATCAGTTACATGTTTTCAAATGAATTTATTTAGTAATTGTAATCACGGTAATATTTAATGAAAACTTATATGCAAAGTTCTAAATCTTCTGTTCATACAAAAAAAGGCTATAATGCACTTTTATTCAAAATAAGTATGGAAACTTTGTCAAGGAACATAAAGAGAGCCCATCAAAACTTCATAAAATTGCATAATTTAAGAAACATGTAGTGGATTTTCTCTAAAATTTACAGATTTAGGTCAGAACAAAAGCTTTCTGCAATCTTGCTGCTTATACACAGGACTATGCCAAAACAATAAGGAAATTATTTGCTGCAAGTTAGCAGCAATGTTTGCCGCAAGCTTGCAGCAAGGTTTCCATATTTAGAAAATCCAGTGTTTGCTGCAGACTTGCAGCAAACCTCACTTGCATGGTAAAATGTTTGCTGCAAGCTTGCTGCAGACTTTCCGAAAACTTGCTGCAAACACCAAGGCGTTGTATAGACTGTCATGCTTTCTTTGGCTACATTGCCGCAAGCTTGCAGCAATGCCTGCTACAAGTTTGCAGCAATGTTTGCTGCAGACTTGCAGCAAATATTTGCATGAAAGCAATATTTTCGGTAAGGGACATCATCGGCCATGTGCAAACATGTGCACAAATGTAAATAAACCCAGAGCATTGTTCTACGATCATCTTCGAAATAAGAAGAGTTCATTTTGTTTGAATTTCGAAAATAAAATTATTATGCACATACCTTTTACTGCCAACAATCTTTCGGCCTTACCCACACAGTGTTTATTTTATTAATGCTGAATAAATTCATAATCTACATAAACAGTGAAGCAACACACAGGAATTTTGATTGGATACACCATGGCAATTTTTGAGACAAATTGTCATTTTTGTTGAAAATGGAGTCAAGTTACATAATATAAAGTATATCATTATGCCTTAGTCTCATAAAAATATGACCAAAAAAAGAAGAGGGAATCAAGTTGCATAACTAATATATGAATGAATGATCAGCAGGGCCTTAGCTCATTTAAAGTCCTGTGCTCAATCTTGCACCGAAAGAACCTACAGACACCCCCCACTAGTCTGATAAGCATGTTAATTCAAATCACATGCTATGACAAATCATAGACATATTTTAGCAAACCCTTCGCTTTATGTGTATAGACCTATAGACAAATATACTTTAGATTGAAAGTCCAACACACTGAATAGATATTGATAAGTGTATTTGGTTGCATGGTTATAAAATTTATAACAACACTGCTAGATATAATTAAAGTATTAAAAACATGACGTACGAATGATTTTGTCATAATCCCTGTTTTACCGAGGCTGGGCGGTCGTGGCCATTTTTAGACCATTTCTATCTCATATAGAAGAAGAGCTCCATATAAAGATATACAAAAATGATCAAATTTTAAAACTAATATATATATGAAATTTTTCTGTGTCAAATGATAGTTGACAGCTAAAGATATCATAATTATCTAAAAATTTAAGTTATATCTGGTGGTTAATTTTTTTTTAATTTGTTGATCCCCCCAGCCTCCTTAACAAATATTAATTTATTTAATAAAATTTTAAACCATGTTGGCAGGTACATTTCGGATTGATATATTATAAGTAAACTGACCAGTACATATAAATGTATTTAATATTCTTGTTTTAATTATCAATTTTTCAAGAAACGTTTCATTTTTGATGACCGACAACTTTATTGAAATAAATGAATGCAGTTTTCAAATTAATAAGTGATGAATTGATTAACAGAAAAAAACCCACATATCTCAGTTGTTATAAATAATTTCTTCATGCTTTTCTTAACTAAAAAAGCTATCAATCCGAGATTAGGTACATGTATATATGTCTCGTGGCCTTAACATTTATACACCGACTTTAATTTGAAATTTTTTTTCATAGTTTAAGCAGAGTGCAGCTCGAAAAATATTAACGAAGAATATCAATGAAATCCAAATATAATTCAAAGAATTACAACTTCCATAACAAACTACTTGCCTGACTACAACAAGATAAAAGTTTATCTTTTTAATTTTTATGTTTATTCGTTTGTCAATAATTTATTTAATTATAATGATAAGTTCTAACAATACTGATTTTGAATTGAAATATGGAAATAATGAACTGTATTTTAGTCCAAAAGTTCATTTAAACTATATAAATCAGGTGCAGCGCGAACATGGACCTCCAAAATATCAAAGATGGGACCAGGCGCAATTCACACCCGTTGTTTGCTTTTTGTCATGATCGGGAAAAATGAAAAGAAACTTAAAAAATCAATGTGTAAATAATGGTTTTAAAAGTGACTTAATGATAGATTGTATTTGCAGAGATGGCAAATGTACCGACAAAACAACTTGCAAAATGATGATCATCAACATACATTTAATATTCCTGCATTTATCAAAATGTTTGTAAATAACTTACCACGTTTTTAAATCGTCTGTAAAGTATACTTTTTCGTATCGAATCAACCATGAAACATCAATATCTATCGGCAAAGGGCTTCAAATTAATATTTTAATATCTTATTGTCACCCAGGGCCTTTTATCGTGCCAACGACGGTCGTGACCCGGGGCCTCTGTTTTAAGGTCTCTCCCAAAAGACTAGCAACTTACACTTCAAATTGCCGATCGAACGCTTGGCAGACGAACGGTTACTGCCTATTTTTGTAATCGAGTTATCTCAGTCACGGACGGGATTTGAACCAATGAACTTCCGATCACTGATCACTATAACAAATCAATAAAGTTCTTCAAACTTAGACATTTACACGACATGTAGGGTTATTGAGCGATACTGGTTCCTTATGACGATGTGCAATCACCTTCCGTGATATGCCACCTTTGTTATTATTTTTTCATTCGAGAAATACCCGTGACTTTCACTTTTGCAAAAGATCATCATTTTCTATGTTTTCGTGTGAGGTTTGACGCAGACACAGGACAGACAAGAATCGAACCTAGGTCTCCCGATCACGAAGCAGACGTCCTACCACTGGACATGAAATATAAGGATATGAAATTATATAAAATAAACATAAAACATTGAAAGCATTGCATAATTTTATTGATAATGCAATTTATCACATAAAGTATAATATTGTCTTTTTAGTTATTTGGGTTGTCATTATAGATGATTTTTAATATTCCTTCTATGTGTGTATTTGTATTGTAATTCTTTAATGTGGCTATTCACATTCCATGTTTGGAAAAAGATTACCTTTATGTCTCTGGAACTGTTTAATTCTCATGACATATATAAATAACATGTAACTTTAAACTAAGTTCCTTTGTAAAATTCGGCATAAAATGACCTAACAATTAGATTGAAACGTGTCAGCCACAATACGGAACAATGATCAATAATATTAAGTAAATGGTCGTTATAACGACCATAGACTGTACGAAATGCTGACAAGGTTCTTGTTATCCCTGTAAGATCAACTTATTAGGAATCAAGAACATGAAACAATGCATGACATATAGTGTAAACTTAAGGACATGCAGTGTGAAAAAATTCGATACTTGAATTTTTTGACAAGTTTTAGAATAACTGGTAACCCAATGACAGCCTGTATACATAAATGTACTTTAAAATGTACATGTAAATACACATACTACATGTATATACCAATTAAAGCGTGAATTATTGTTAACATTTTACACATAAAACACACCTTTTGATATTTGAGATGACATAAAACTAAGAAATTCATGAACACTGTGGTATGAATTGGTTGTTTAATGCCCCATTTTCGTAGTCCCATCCACTCTTCTTACAGCTCTGTCAACTGTCGCTAGGTCTCTTTACACTGGATTTTTCGTCTATCAAAATTTGCTGATTATCTTGGCGTTCTTCGGCTTGAATTTGCTTGCGCCTCTAAAATAAAATTTTAGAACACTTGGTTAGATGAAAAGTTCGTGTTTCTTATTTTATGGTCATTTCGTAAGACTCCAATATTTATTAGTTTATATCTGTGTTCATTCTATGTTAACGTGTCATATAAAGTATAGTTTTGTATAAAGTCATTCAAAGGGAGAAATGAATTCGTTTACAACCTAAAACGTATGCGAATATTGATCGTCATTTTGGGAAAAAACATGTCAATTAATTCAAAATACACTAAGTTATATAAAACTAGGGCTAATTGTAACGGGGACCGTTACAGATGTTCCCCAAACGCTCCTCAACTCCCTTTTGGTGCCATATTCGCTGCAAGCGCTATTAAATAAGACACACTTTATGCAATAAATTTTAGCATTGCACGCGTGCTCATCTGAATGCATGTGCGTAATGACCATATCGTTTTGTCTACACTATTTATATATTTTAATATACTTAATATCAAATCAATTAATCCAGAAGTATTAAGAAATACACTCATTTAAGCGTATTTTTAATTTCATCCATTTCACGTGCACGCACGTGCATGCACGTGCATGAGGACTATACATTCTTGTAGGAGTCTATTATGTCTATGTTCTAAATCCCATCCTGTTTGGTTGAAAAACAAGGGAGTTATAGCCATTTACATTTTTAGCCAGTAAGATTGCAGCGCACGTGCATGCGCGTGTTTTCACGATAATTGTTATACATAATATTATAGTACATCCTAAAGTATATATATATATTAGATTTCATAGCATTTCGTCAAAAAACAAAAAATATTGAGATTTTTGTTTCAGCCAATCAGAACGAAGCGCACGTGCACGCACGTGCCTGTATGTGCATGATGACCATACCTTCTTGTAGGAGTCCATAATATGTGTCTATGTTCTAAATCCCATCCTGTTTGGTTGAAAACCAAGGCAGTTATAGCCATTTAAAGTTTAAGCCAATCAGATTGCAGCGCACGTGCATGCGCGTGTTTTCAAGACAATTGTTATATATCACATTGTAGAGCATCCTAAAGTGTGCCTATATTTTAAATTTCATATCATTTCGTCAAAAAACAGAAAAGATATTGAGATTTTTGTTTCAGCCAATCAGAGCGAAGCTCACGTGCATGCGCGTGAGTTTGTGCTAATTTGACAGTGTCATATTATCTACACTATTAATATATCTTTATAGAATGAGTTTCAAATCATTTCATTAAAAAATGTAAAAGTTATAGCTATATTAAGTATATCGGTCATTTCACTCATATCACGCGCACGCACGTGCATGCGTATGCGCGCAAAATGACCTTCGTTCCGCACACCTACACTACACACCTATTAACCCTAAAAAGGTTTTAGCTTAGTTGGGTGAACAGTTTCTGAGAACACTCGCGGACAAAAAAGTACCGGAGAACAAAGAAGAAAAAAAAGAATAATAATAATAATAATAATAATAAGAAACCGAGTAAAAACAATATGTTCCCAAACTCCGTTTGGGGAACATAATTAGTTCTATGATATTTGAAATATCAAAATGTGCAACATGTGAATTTGCATTAACAAAGAAAGAAAGAGATTTCAGTAAGAATCAGCTATTTGACCTTGACCCTACGTAGGTTTTCAGAGGTTTTTAGAGTTAAATACCTTTGGTATTGTTGATCCACAGGAAAGAAAATGTTTCACTTTTTCTGGTAAATATGGAAAAAATTGTTCAGTAAAACTCAAAACATATCTTGCGTCTACTTCCTCTTCTTTTGGAGCTCCTAAAATAAAAATTAATTTAAAAAATGGACGAGTTTATAAAAATATAAAAAATATAGGCAACAAAATAAAATGTTCAAACACTTGTATGCATTGTATGCACAATTAATTATAAAAATAAGAAAATCCTTCTGCTTGTTTTTTTTTTTAAATCATGCAGCATTTGTTATTGAATGGTTGTTTTTTGATTTCACATATATTCTACTCGGAAAAAATTCTAGATGCTATTTGATTCAATTGTGACCGATAAAGCACTTCAATGGGGAAAAATATAGCCGAGAACATAAAATTGACAATAAAATATCTTCAATCATTCATCAAAATTCTCTATGCCTTAATTCTTCATTTTCGACAAAGATTTCTTTTTTTCATTTTTTTTTCAGCATAATACAATATTCTATGAAGTCAAATTTTCAACGTTAGATTAAGACCTATTAGTTTGTGGGGATTTTTTGTCATTGATTATGAATCGTTTAGTAGTTGTGTATATGAAATTTGCTTTTCCTGGTGGATATAAATGCGAGGGTTTCCTCATGTCTTGAAAACAACAGAAATAAAATCCTAACCAAAATGAGTTATTTCAGCTATTTTTTTTGGTACCCTTTTTATTCCATATTATTATCCTAAGAGTGTGATACTTGGATTGCCTGTATGGAAAAACAAAGAATATGTCTTGAACTATCTGAAATTCCTTTGCTTGATACATTTCAACACATCTAGAACAAGATGCAATTCTGAATTCTGTTTAAATAACTTGAATCTTTGAAAAGAAATTTAAGAAAATTAAAATGTCTCTATTCGTAGATTTGTTCGTTTAGATAACCTCTATCATCGTTACATTTAATCTCTTAATCACTGCGAAATTGCGGCTGCATCCAGCTTTGTAGAGTTCAACCAGACCTTTCATTTGCTCTAAAGCTTCACTGGCATGTTTGTAAACTTGATGAATCTTGTTTTCTTAGGTCTTCGTATTTCTTCATATTTGATCATAATGGCGAGTGATAACCTGTCCTAAAATTGTCGTAACACAATTTGTTTAAAAAAAAAATTTTTTTTAAATAATTTCTAATTTTTTTTTTCTAACAGTGATTTTCGGACCTTCCAATCTCATTTCCAGGCTATACATATGCTTTAATAATTGGTTAAAATTGAGCATTAAATGTGTGTGAGGTTTAGGGAAAAGTTAATGACAACAAGGTGCAGACAAATTTCAAAGTAAAAAATGATGTGAATGAAATATTAACTTTAGTAATAGGTTTTCTGTCGTTTAATTTCAGTTCTAACCAAATTTTGTTGCATAATAATTTTACTAGTCAGTCCATTTCTCAGGATACAAATGCGTGATAGTTTTGTAGTATTTTGTGTACATATAGGTTTTTTGATTTATTGTCATTTATTGAAGGAGTGTTAGATTTTTTGTACCTGTCACATCATTTATATGCTATTATGTATTGTGAAGTTCTTATGATTTGTACTCCTTAATAAATGACCATTTTTATTCTTTATATGGTAGTTGATTCTTCTTCTTAAACGGAATTTGGGCACGCAGGCATAAAAATATATTATAATATATGTATCTACCTGATTTGTTTGTGTAGTAATATCAGCTTACCTGCGATTCTGCTAACAATCAGACCAATTACAATCACAAGGAAAATGGCGATGACGTCAAACCATTGAAAGGATAAGGTGTAAATCTTATTGAAACCTTCTCTGGAATTAACAAGGAAAAAATTATGTTTTTTTATTCTTTTAAAACTGGTTTTTGACAATTGTTCAATGCAATTATCATTTCCTTTAGCTCTGTGCAAGAACTAACTCTTCATAATAACCGAAGGTAAGTTATATTACCTAATGGAATTATGTACATTATTTCTGGAGGGTTTGAAAAAAAAATTATCTATGAAATGTGTTGATCTGATCATCTCTCTCTATTCTATAAAGCTAGTACGCGTTGTGCTTGATGTGAATCATAAATTTGTAATAAGCCAAAGTCTTAACATATATGTCACTTTATTAAAGTATCATATATCAGAAAAAAACTTACACATAATTGTTTTATCGGTTTAAGTGTGAGTATCTTTCTTGAAAAAAAAAAATGTCAAAGCCAAGTTATATCTTATAGAGGGGTTATTATTATTATTATTGCAGCCCGGACGACCGGGCTGCTCTATACATACAAGTTTAAGTGTTGGTGTATGTGGATTGGGGCGGGAGTAGTTATTCAGAATTAAAGGTTTTCTAAACATTGAAATGATTGCTAATCAGAATGTTCTTTCCTTTATAGATTAGGAGAAACATAATATATTTACTTCCATAAAGTAAATCTGTAAAAATATGTATGTTTTTCATATTTAACATATAAATTTGCTTATCATTTACTATGGAAAAAATGACAGGTTCCTTTTTTTAGAACATCGAATTTTACTTCTCGCATAAAAACGTACTCTGCACAGTTCGTGTTTTATATCTGGAAATTGAAAATTGAAATACATTTTTGAATTTAGGTGATGCATGTGTCTAGCTTCAATTTATATTTTATGCAGCCAACATTTACTTGAGGAATTGAACAAGTTTAAAATTGTATCGTTTTTGTTTGATTTTTATCCGACTATGAGTTTTCAAAATATTCGCCACTATCGTCTCCATCAATTAGACGCATGTCTTTTCACACATATCAAAACGGTTTGATGATCAAGAATGATTTTCATTGTTTACTTTATATATATATATTTCCCGGGCGACAATTGATGGTTACATCAATGTTTTCTTGTTACTGTTTGTTAGAGTTCGTGCCTGTTCTCAATTTTCACCCGTGTGGCGCTGAGGTTAGAGCGTCTGCTCTAGAGTCGCGATGTAAGGAGTTGATCCTTACGTCAGGGGATAGAATCCCATTGTGGGGTGTGGAATCCAGTCCTTCGGATGAGACCATATAAACAAAGGTTCCGTGTTGCAGAACGTGCTGGCACGAAAAAGATACTGCTCAATGGCCCTGAGTGTCGAGTATAGGACAAAATTTGTAGCTCTCCATCGGCAAGTAGTGGCGTCTTTATATGAGTGAAACATTCTCAAAAGGGATGTTAGACAACATACAATTAATCAATCTGTTCTCAATTCGAATTAATATTTTTTGATGAGAATTTTGAGATTGGCGACATTTATACTTTATTAAAGCTTTCAAGAGTGGGTTCAGTCTTTTATGTACTTTATCCCTGTCCTTAAAATCTTTAAATTATTTATTTTTAACAAGTACAGTACAACACATCTGGTTTTATTACTCACAAGGTATAAGGTACTGTGCTGCCTGTAAGACTGGAGTTCAAGCTACTAATGTTAGAAGATGCTAGGCTGCCTAACATAGAGGAGTTGCTTATACACTGGTCTACTGGAGCCGGGGGAAGCTTCTTCTCAACAGACGGGGGGCTGACCACGATATTACCGATGGCCATCCAAATGTAAAACAAGAGTGACGTCACACCACCGACAATAGCTCCCTGAATAGAAAAAGAAATATATGAATAATTAATACTTTATATATTTGATTTTCGTTGATTACCTTAATGGGATGGGTGGTTAAATGAAATGACATTTCGTATTAAAATAAAGTGAATCATCTTCCTATTCCTGATTTAGCTTTCAACTCTCTTCCCTGCTCCAATAAAAGTAATACTTGTAAAGCTTTGTCAGAAAATAATTCCTTAATTTTCTGCACAAGGTAGAGAAAAGATGACAGAAACTAGAAGCAAATCCCCAATGCAATGAAAATTAATTACAGTTTTTTCCCTCTTAATTATCTCTGAATTTTACTTTTGCAAAAATTAAATTAACTTCATTCATAATAACTTAGCAATTGAAACATGAATTGTTCTTATGAAATTTAACAATGGTCTTCATACTACATTTAAGTAAATAACTAACTATTCCAGGTGTTACTACTTTACCGCTGTTGTTGCAGATGTGCAAAAAATACTGTAGAGTATTATTCCTGTAAATGGTGCTGTGGGAATGGTCAACACCATTTGAGCAAGCTGAAAATAAATTATAGGTAATTTTGCAAAACATGTGTTAGTTACATAATTAATGCCTTATTTCATCAATGAAATAACGATATGGAGTATTCATTTCGCAAATTTCTTTGGTCGAGAAAATGACCTTGCCAGCAAATACATCATTAAACTGGATACTGACTACCAGTTTTAGTAGAAGGTGCAGAGCCATCATTTTTACTTTGAAATGTATACAGTTCTTTCGAATTCGTTTACTTGATCATGTCAAAGAGGACACGGCGGGTGTTACCGGTCGACAGGGGATGCTTTTTACTCTAAGGTACATAATCCCATCTTGAAATGATTTTAGAGGTCCGTGTTTGCTCTGCTCATTATTATTCAGTTTCAATGAACATTTGGAGCATGATTACTGTTCGTTATCTACATATTTCATTCTTTAAGGTTTACAGTTTATTATCAGACATCAAATTAGCAATATAGAATTATGCATATCCATAGAAAAATACACAGTATTTCTCAGTATATAGATTGAATTGTTCAGGAAATGTTACATATATGAGTGATTAAAATCATTTTTTAATAAATTATTCATTTGTAATTAACAATAATTAAATGAAAAATATGGAGATAACGAACAGTATTCAAAAGTCCCTTAAACAATACAAAACAGGAGCAGAGCAAACATGGACCTCCAAAACTTCAGAGGTGGGATCAGTTGTCATGGAGTAGTAAGCATCCCCTGTCAACCGATCACACCCGCTGTGTGCTTCTTGTCACGATCAGGATATAACGGAAAAATCCGTCGTCAATTCAGTGTATAAATAATGGACTTACAATAAGTATGAAAAACGTCAGTCAGCATTTGATTCAATGATAAATTGTATTTGGCTATTTGCTGACACGGTCATTGCATCGACCATAGAACTTACGAAATGATGACTTTAAACGAGACTGCTGATATTCTTGTTTCATCAACTTGTTTGTCAATAATTTAACTCGTTTTAGAAATTGTTCATGCGTAGAGCATGCTATTGTGTATCGAATCAACTGAGATATATAAACTCCGTATGCAGGTGATGATGGTATATTGATGCATAAGTAAGGAAACTTGACGATAGAAGTGATAATCATCTCTCACCTTTAGAAGAGTCCCTTTAACATTGGCAAGCATTAACGCCATACCAGTCGTTAGAAACGAGACAACCACCACTGTAAAAATAGGTTTTTTAAAAAAGAATTTAATTTAATAATCAAATTTTAAGATATTCTGATAATTGCGCATGTCTACAAAGTGGAGAGGGTACATTTACTATATAAAAAATAGTTTACTTTGCAGATATTTTTTTCTGTGTATATGGACCATTTAGTTATATTTGAAAGGTGTTCGGGAAATGGAAATGGACCCTTTACAAACTGTAAGAATAATTCATGACTGTACGATTAACAAGAAATAATATTATAATATTATAACGTTTTATCAACAGTCTTCAGATTTTCCTAGAAAAAAAAATTGAAGGCAAATCTTCATCATTTTTACCACCTATACATTGCTCAATTATCTAAACTGTAATACTTATGTACAATTATTTGCAATATTTACATTCTTCACAATAGACAAATTACTTTGTACAAAAATGCTGTTTTTCACCTGTTAGTTTGGATGCGATAGTCGACTTTCTTTCTGATAATTTTCGCCACCTCTTTTTAATAATATCTTGTAAGGTCATAGAAGATAATGCTGCATAACCACTAGACACAGTACTAAAAAAAATATAGTAAGTTAAAATCAAATGGTCTAGTAATTTTCCATGAAAATGCTATTTAGATTTATATTTAACTATTTGTGTCTCAGTAGTTATTTCTTTATACACCGGAATACACATTTAGTACAAAATTAACCTGCGAATACATATTGTACTAGGAGTCATAATTATATGGGGAAAATATTTTTTATGTTCAAACAAAGCTATATATTGTTATTTGGATTAGGTTCAGTTAAAGGGACATTTACTTCATCAGTGCTAAACTGAGGGCATTCCAAGAATTCAGAGACACTGATAAAACAAAAATAAATACCAGCAAATATCATAAGATATTTTTCAGAGTCAAATGCCTATTAAAAGAGAAAATCCATATTTTATTTTTTTATGTATACAAATTCATATTTACCTTAGAGAGGCGCAGAAAAGACCAGCAATAAACAATCCAGTCATTCCCGGATTTTCCTGAAATATCTCCGAAACAAGGGTAGGCAAAAGCTGTACAAAAACAGAAGAATTGATTCTTTTTTAGTAGTTGCAAATCAAATTGAAATACCATTTCAAAACAAAAATTAAACGAATTTAACTGGATGTCTTTATTTCTGAAATTCCTTTTCCAAGTGTTTGTTCAAATGAATTTTGAATGTTTATTGAATTACGTGGTAGATTTTATGAAAGATTGAAAAGTATTCCTTTGACAAATATTTTAACATGAATAATTAATTGCCAAATACGGTATCCTTTTCTTAATAAAAAATGGCATTCCTTCACAAAATTTCTATGGTTTTATGTCATGCTGAACGAATTTCAAATGTTTTAAGTAAACAAGAACGAAATTATCATACGCATATATATTAGTACCTGATTGGGATTTCCTATGAATTTGGATTTTAATGGATCACATCTAACTTGGAAAAAATAGGCATAAGCAACTAAGCCCATACTTCCCGCCAAAAAGAAAGTCAACGCCATCAGTGGAGCAACAATAAAAAACATTCTGTGAAAAAAAAATAATGGTTTACAATACATTTTAATATAATTTGTTCTTTTTAATTCATCTTTATGAAAACTATTCCACGATGTGAAAAATATTTCAAAATCTATTAACTAGTACGAGGGGCGTTCAATAAATAATGTCATAAGCTCTATGACATACAAAATAGCAATCATATGACATTATGCTTGACTTTCTCTCATGATTTAATCTTTGATAAATTGATTAAAGTTTATTTGACTACTTTTCTTCACATAGTTTCATTGCGAGAAGCTGAAATACAATGGCTATTCGAGACACTGCATTAAAAATGAATGCTAAAGAATCAGTAAACAAGAGCAAAATTAAACGCTTCATGAAAACTGCTGTAAAACTCGTTAAGAATCCCAAAGAAATAGTCACTGAAATATGTAAAATTTACAGCAATCAATGTGTGTTTTATAGACACATGAGCATGTGGATTTCAATGAACAAAAATAATTTAATGGGCATCAAAAATAGATACCATCCTTGGGGACAAAGATTCACAACAGCCAAAATTCAATAAATTATAACTGACCATGTTTGTTTGACTTCAAGACACATAGCAAAATTGATAGGCATTATTTGGGGTAGTTGACACTGTTTTACAGAAACATTTGACAGAAAAAAAAAGCTTAGTACTCAATGGTCACCCTACTAGTATGTTTTGAAAAATGAGTGAAAACGACAGCGTGTAAGAATATCTAAACAATTATTTTAAAAAATCATAAATTGTAGTTATCAACATTTGTCTGAAATACAAATAGATAGTGAAACTTGAATCCATTGTTCTAAACCCTCAAAACAAATTTAAAATAAGATGCACTTGACAAAAACAGCCAAGTTTTGAGAAAACTATGAATTGCAAAAGCACAAAAACAGTTTCATATGCCATTTTCTTAAGTATTAGTAATATTTTTGTTCCAGTTCTTATTATTGGAGAAATTTCGATTTCTGGAGAAGTCTAAAAAGCAATTTTTTGCAAAAAAAAAAAATCGACAGGTTTACGAGAGGCAGGAACCAAATCAGGAATCCACTACATAAAATTTCTTCATGACAGCGTTCAAACCAACACGCCATGAAGAGTTAAGGAATTTTAGGATAAACGGAAAGTTAATGTTTTGTCTTACCAACAATATTTGCCAGATCTTTCACTCGTTGACTTGTTTCATTTTCCAAACTTGAAAAAACACCTTTTAGAAAAAACAAGTCAAGGAAATTGTAGGATCTGCCTTATTGCAGTATACAAAGGGTCATACCCAAAAATGTGTTTTAAAAAGAGTCAGGAATTGGAGAAAAATGTCACAGACATGTGTTTTTAATTAAAAGAGAATATTCAAAGGAAATTATTAAAGCTAAATCATTGAAAAGCGTTTTTGCATCTTTCGGAGCACCAATGACATTATTTATTGAACGCCCCTCGTATTTATGAAACTTAAAAAACTTAGGAATTAAACGTCCTTAAGAAAAATTGACAAAAAGTATCATGTGTATAACTTATGGAGTATTGTTTCTAGAAACTATTAAAAGTAAAATGAAGAATTTCAATATGAGGCAGAAAAATTACTATTGATATATCATTTAATATTTTTTATATAACTAAAGACATAATAGTATACTTGTAGGCTTCCTTTATTGACGGCATACACCCGATCCTTTGCACTGAGGACTGAGACAACGGAAATGCGAAGAGCTTGGCGATGTTTCCAATGACAACATTCCACAAGGTGTAGCGGAGGGTGGGGTCAGGGCTGAAACTGGGGGAACAGTAGATGTCAATTTATAAATATTCACATCTATATTATTTCCAAACTTATGATTAAACAAGTAAAAACATACAATCATAGAAAAACACAAATCTGAATTATATCTAATTATAAAATATATTGGAAGGGGGGGGGGGGTGTATGTAGTATGGCACAGTTTTAACTTATGTTTTTTCTAAGCGAACAATTTTAAGTACAATTGACTGCCCGATTTAAAATGTCCCACACTGTTCATCTTTAGATCTATTGCTTTAATTTAAACCAAAGAGTAATTCTTTGAATGATGCTTGTTTCATTCGCTCTAATTAAGAACTGTTAATTCAAAACTGTCGGTAATAAATATTCTCGCCGAACAAATCAGATAAAATACATGTATGACTGACGCAAACGATGAAAAAATCTGCCTGAAATATTTGTAAAACATACTTCCATATATCGAGCCTGTCTCCTTCTGAATTAATACGAAGGACCTCAGAGCCGCCTCCCACCTTCATTGAACCCTAAACATATATAAGCAAACTTAGGTATTTGATAACAATTTATCTTCATATTTTTTTTACTATTAATAATTCATTCCCATATATTTTGTCATCTATCATTAAAACCTGACACCACTTATACTTCAAAAATAATGTTGAAGCTGATGCCATATATTTGCCGATTTATTTTTGTATGGAATTTTTATTTTTAATCTCACCTTAATGAGAATAGCTATGACGGATATCAGCATTATCGTATACTGAATTACATCAGTCCATATAACAGCTTTGATGCCTCCCTGTACATGAAAATACATAACAATCAATCTCCATTATATTACTTTAAATTCAAACACTATATAAAGAGTTATATTTGCATATACACAAAAATAAATATTTCTACAACAAAGATGGAAAAAGTTTCATATGGACTATATACCTTGCACATATTTTCAAGTAAATGTGTATATATGTATTAAGGAAGAAATTGTATAATTCTATTAAATTTTGCCTTATAACACTTCAACACTCCTAAATTTTACAACAAAAGATAAACGGAGAGTATGAAATTTGTTCTACTGAATCGAAGGAGAGAGAGAAGAGAGAACAAACTGTTTTATTATATGATTGAATAATTTCCTTCTCTCTGATTGGCTGAAATCCAACTATGTTAGAAAAATACTATATAGGTCAATATATTGCAGGTCAATATAAGGAATTATTGACCTGCTCCATTTTTTCTGTTACAATGTGTTCTTGTTGAAATTTCTTGTTAAAACTTTCAATAAAAGCAAAGAAACAGTTCTGTAGGAGTTTGCTATCGTTTAATCATATAATAAAACAGTTATTGCTGTTTTTTACGGTCAATAATTTAGACACCTTCGAAGTACAATATTTTCGCCCTTCGGGCTCAGTGAATATTGTACTCCTCAGGTGTCTAAATCATCGTATTGACCTTAAAAACAGCAATAATTGTATAATAAAGTTTTTAAGTGCCTACATAAAATGAAAAAAAGGACAAACACTTTCATTTGAAATCTTATAATACATTTCAAGTGGAAACTTTTTTTCATATTTGACGCCTTTCATATAGTATTTGAATAATGAAATTCTGAAATATTAACACTACAGCAGTTACATGGTACATAAATTGCAACTTATGTTGTATGTCATCAGCATACACCTGTCACTGATTTTACTAGCAGATAGCTAGAACATATTGTTGAATTTGATATTAATGTCAACTACGTGTTTTAAGCACAGACCTATTCACCATACTGCAGTGTAAATTACATTAAATTTAATGACTTTTGAGTATTTGCAACATTTGTTTATTCTGGGCTTGGATCAAATTGTACATTTTGCATTGAACCACTTTCGGTTGTAATAATCTGTCTTTCTGAATATCAGTCGTATTTTCATGTCTAGGTTACTGATTAAAAGCTGATTCAGATGCCTTTTTCCCTCTAAGTTTCTTTATTTAAATAAAATAATTCAATCTATTGTAGATAACTAAATTTTCGCGACACCTTATTTTCAAAAGGTAGTAATTGACTCTTGATTAGCGAGTCAAAAGAAGAAGGTATGGTTTCCATATAAATTTTGCCCTGTGATTTTCTAAAAAATGAAACTGGTGTAAAAGTTGAAAACTCATGCTTTTTAAATAATTGAAATTCAATGCAGAAAAATCATACAAGTCATTTTTCTCACATGTGTTTTTAAATGCTAATTATGACGTCATAAACATGTGCATTTTCCCGTATTTTCTTAAAAAGTTGCAGAAGACACCAATTTTCAATGGAATTTTCTTTCAAATAACATTGTCCATAGGCATCGCCCACAAAGATCTTGAAATATGAGATTTGTTATTGAATTTTGCACAAAATCAAAAAATTAACGTGGGCGACGGCTGTGGACACTGTTTTCTAAAGGAAAATCACCCCTGAAATGTGCCATTTAGAGTCTTTTTCTGTTGAAAATAGAGAAATGCTTCACATTAATGACGTCATATTTGCAGAATGGTAAACCTTCATGCCATATTCTTTCCTGATTTATCAGAGTCATTTATTCAACTAATATTTACGCCAGTTTCAAAACTTTTTGATGTCATTTCATTTTTAGGGCGCAATAAAGCTAAAACCATACCTTCTTCAAATTTTCACGAATTGTGGTTATTGTTCTATATAATCTTAAAGAAATGCTATTATACGCGAGAATTAAATTTTCGCGAGCACACTGTGTCGTGTAATTACGCGAAAAAAAAGTTCTCGCGAATAAAAAGTGATTTACAGTAAATGATACAAAATCTAAGTACACGTGTATAGGTTAAAATGCATAAAAGAAAGATGGTACTCTTCTAACTCCGACCATTCTTTGCTTTTCTAGATATTCAAGTTAGAGATGACGTATTTCAACTGTAATACAATAAACTCATTACATTTTGAGCCTAGAAACTAGACATTTGGCATATAAACTGTACGTTTAAAAAAAATCTCTATATATCCATGTATGCTATAAGATGTACTTGTGAATTGGCATTATCCCATGTACAAGCATGTATTTCTTTGTGTTGCTTCACGTATATACATAAGATCATCTTTATGCATGTCGGAATACTTACGATAGCTGTATAGATCATACTTCCAGTCGACACGATTATTATAGACAACCAAACTGGGGCTCCCAAAACTTCAAAACACAATAAAATTTCAATGATTAAAAATTGACTTTAAATGTTCAGAGTCATTTTAATTGCATGAGTAAACCTTACATATTTAATTATATCATATTTGTAGTCTTAACAACATTTGATCAACTTGAACGTTGATCATTATTTCTGAGTGGTTGTAGCAAGAGCTTTCATGTTTCAAAAATTAATCAGGTAAATATTTTTTACCTTTTAGGAGATACCATTATTTTTTATCTTAGAGTTTAACTTGCATTTGAAAAACCGTAGCCTTAAAGTTTACAATTAGCAATTACAATTGCATCAATGTTTCACAAATATATGCATCTCAACCATCCTCCCCATCTCTTTTTCAATCAATACATTTAAAACTTTTAGTTAACGTTAATGATTATTCACAGAAACTAATTTATTTACTAGTATTGTAACTGGGTCCTCTGATGATATATATAACCCATTCATGAGTTTATATAAAGACATTGAAAATTAATCATTGAAATTTTAAATGAGCTCCACAATTTTTTTTTCTTAAAGTCAGCATAATAGTGACATGTTCGAGTATAAGGTTAAGATAATGAAGTCAAAATTACTGTTACTTATGAAAATGTTTAATCATAAGAAATATATCTGTGAAATATGAAAGTCCTTGAACCAATATCCACAGCTTGTAAATTGCTTGGATATAGATTGAGCTTTCATTTTCCGCCAGTGTTCTTCACGTGAAAAGGACATTCTTTGCATGGCAAAATTTTTAACCTTTTAACTTTTATCTTGGGTATTGGCATTTTTTGAAAAAACATTTTTCTTCTTGGTTGTAGGGCTTTTATATTTTATATCAATTTCGTTTTAATTTCATTGCATATTTAAAATCAAATATCCTTAAATTATTATCAAAACTGACAAATCTATAATTTCTTGAGTACTACATGTAAGTAAGCTATTTCCTAGAAAATTCCTGATTGTTTATACTCATACCTGTTTCAATCGCTATGGACACCCCGTACGTAACAATACCTATATATATGAACTGAAAAGGAATTGAAGTATTTTGAACTAAAATAAGAAACATAGAATATAAATTGCATTAGCTCAGTCTTAGGAAACTCTAAAACACTGCTCAGTAAAGGATTACAGTGACTTTCTCTTCCCATAATGTTAACGGAATAAACAGACCCTTAGAGTAAATAACACAATATAAAATATATATAAAAAAGGATTTTTCTTGTATGTCTCGTGTTTCAAATTTCACAGTTTCAAAAAATTGATATACATGTATAAAGATAATAAACAGTAATAGCGATCAAAAATCCATGTAAACAATGTAACTCAGGAGGAGAAGAAACAGCGACCTATTAAAACATCAGAAGTTGGATCAGGTGCCATTAAGGAGTAAGCATCCGCTGTAGACCGGTCATTTAGTACTTCATATTCAGTAAAAAATGGACAATCCATAGACAATTATAATTGGCCTAACAGTTAGTTTTAAAAAGAAAACGTCAGTGAGCATTCGACTTAATAACAGGTTAGATTTGCTGAAAAGGTCATGTATCGTCTATGACTCAAACTTGAAAACTCATGACTGAACGATACTGTTTGTATCATTTGTATCATGAAACATATGGAAATAAAAAAAACTCTTTGTTATTTCCATATGTTTCATGACAGAAACTGTTTTATGGAATTTTTATCTTGAATAATGTTACAGTATTCAAGATAAAAATTCCATAAAACAATACAAACTAGGAGCAGATCAAACACGGACCTCCAAAACATCAGAGGTGGGATCAGGTGCCATGGAGGAGTGAGCATCCCCTGGCGACCGGTCACACTCGCCGAGTGCTCCTTGTCATGATCGGAAAAAACGGAAAACCCCGTCGTCTATTCAGTGTATATATAATGGACTAAAATTAGTATGAAAAACGTCAGTCAGCATTTGACTCAATGATAAATTGTATTTGTTGACAAGGTCATTGTATGGACCATAGAACTTACAAAATGTATTGACTTTTCATCTATCACAAATAGTTTAACTTACTAAAGTTTATATTTGACCATGTATCCAAGAAAACTTGAAATGAGAGAAACAACAAAGTCTGTCACGTCTGTTTCATGTTTTCCTCAGTTTTTTCCCCCCATTTTTATTAAATGTAGAGCTTAAGAGCAATAAACAACAGTTATTTCTGTTCAATTATACCTTACACTTGAAATATTTGGGGATTAAATATGACAGGTACCCTTTGTTGAAAATGAAAAAGAAAAAAATAATGTGAATACTTATGTGATTAAATTTTCTCAATGTTCACAAAAAATTTTTTCGGTGTTTAGAGCTTCCTAAGGTTAAGTAAAACAAAATCAGATTCGTCTTTTTTTTTTTTAGATATTTATTTCAATGTTTTAAAAAGCCTTTAGTTAAATTATCTTTCTCTACTAAATAAATATGCTGCAAAAGACAATTAACCTAAAAAAAAATCTTACATTTAAGTAATAATTTCTAAATATTGAATAATGCAAAACAAGTATCATATTGGGCAATGCATTGATTACTCTTTAAAGAGCAAACAGAAAAAAAAGATTTCTCCGACTCCAAGCCCCGCTTTTATATTATGGTATGTTTGGGGGTACATGCACATGTCATACTATCGGGTTAGAGTCAGAGGAACCTCTGATTAAAAAATATCGTACAACTTAAAGATTTCAAGTTAGCGTACGTCAAGGTCACCTTGAAATAAAAAATACCTTACCCAAAATAAAAAGGAGAGGAAGGTTGTCAGTACCCGAACTCGGTTGCTTTGGTAACGTAGTTCAAAATACTACAAATTTATAATTGAAAATATTTATTTTATACACATAATTATGTATAATTTTGAAAGAGTATATTAATATATTGCATTAATTATTATCCTTACTTCGTTTACACTGGTGATTCGGAGTGGATAAACTACGGGAATAATTATTCGTGCTGAAATCCAATAGGCGCCCCAAAACCCAAAACCTGCAAACGTTGCCAGGAAACCAAAGAGATAGGTCTCTGCTGGAACACCCAAAATCAAAATCGACGATTGTGACGTCACCATTAAAGACAGCATTACAGGCAGGAAGTTAAGATTTCGGTTTCCTAGGTGATATTCTGCGGTGGTGCCCTGTCGACCTCCAGAAATGGCATAGAATATACCGATGGCGAGCGAGACGCATAAAGCCACTGCGCATACGACATAGTCCGCCGTGGTAAACTGCACTTCTGACAACATGGTTTTCTTAGTTGTAAATTGGTGTCATCGAAATTAGAATGCTGAAATAATGTGCAGAATGATTATAAAATTTGAAATTTTTGCAAAATCATTGAAAGTCTTATGCACACTTGCTTTAATGAACATTTTCTGTTAAGCATTCAACATTTAATAAATATGTTACATATTATGTACATAAATGATACCTCCAACTCAGTTACAGAAATGTTTGTGTTGCTGGAACACAAGCTTAAACGTGTTAGACAGATGTGGACTATTGTCCTTTTAACATTTTCTGAAGAACAATTTTCTGTAATAACAAAAATTATTGTATTGAAATTTTATGTGCATGCATGATCGCCGATTTCGATAAAACTTTGCTCATTACCATAGCCTGACACAGATACAAATAAAAACGAAACCTTGGATGATATGTGGCTCAGATACAATCAAATTTTTAAAGTGGAAACAATTCTTAAAAGAAATAAAATTTTCTTTGTTAAACAGAAAAGAAGGTATGGTTTCGGCTTTATCGTGCCCGAAAAATTTAATATTTTCAAAAGTTTTGAAACTGGCTTCAATATTAGTCGAGTTTATGACTGTGATACAGAAAAGAATATGGCATGAAGGAGTGCCATTCTGGAAATATGACGTCATTAATTTGATGCATTTCTTTACTTTAAACAGAAAAAAAGCCTCAAAATGACCCATTACAAGGGTAATTTTCCTTCAAAAAATAGCGCCCATTTTCCTTGGTTAGTAATTTTTTATTAGATTGGTTAAGAAATTATTTATTTATTTGTTTGTATGTTGTTTAAAGTCGCTCTAGAGATGGAGACGCCACAACTTGACGATGGAGAACTGCAAATTTTGTTCTATACTCGGCACTTACATGTATGGCCATTGAGCATTTTTCGTACCAGCACCTATTGCGATACGAGACCTCGTTTTATACGGTCTCATCCAAAGCCTCCAAGAACCGGTCTCCGCGTCCCACTGTGGGATTCGAGCCCGTGACGTAAGGACCAACGCCTTACTTTGCGACTCAAGAGCAGACGCTCTAACCACTGCGCCATGCGGGCGACAAAAAGCAATTTGAAAGCTTAGAATTATTTTTTTGAGCTTGAATACTGTTCGTTATCTCCTCAAGCAGACAAGTATATGACAGCACCAGACATTTTCACATGGACTTTTCGTCTGTGAACTTTGGGGAAATTAGCTTGGTAGGATAGCTACTCGCTTTCTCTATACTGTATATGCTAAATTGGCAAAGAGAAACAATTCCGATTAAAGTTGAATGATGTTTATTGTAGAGTCAGCAGATATAGACTGAATTTGCTAAATTCATAATCTATCCGGCCTCGACTTCGGAACTGAGCTCTTGACCAACCAGGATGTTTGTTACAAAACATATTACGGGTATTATGTCAGCCATTTCCTTTGATATATATAGGTTTTAAATTCTCTGAATTCTAAAACTTTAATGTAACACATATACATATATTTAGCATACGTTTTTGAAAGTGGTGACAGTGGGGTGGGAGCAAGAATAATACTCGTATAAGTTCTAAATGTGTTGCCTTGGACTTTCTAATTATCACCATGCAACTTTTCATACCATTTCCTTTTCCTCCAATTAATTCAAGTTGTAAATCCTTCGTATATGTGCATGCTTATACTTATACGTGCAATATGAACTTCTACAGAAATACACTATACGATTCAATACGCACTTTTTAAAATAATATAAATGTAGCACTATCATAAGGTCGATGACTTCACAGAAAATCATATTGTACAGTCTGTCGTACGAGGCCGGATACGCTTTTCTGTGAAGTCGATATAATCTATTAATTGACAGGATGAAAGGGCCACATTTGTTATCATTATATTAAATTTGGGCCAATCAGAGGGCTTAGAATAATAGAGAAAAATAATATTATTTTGTAATTTTTCTTCAGCGAGAACATTTTAATTAAATATAAGATCAGTTCATCATGAACGTACTTCTATATATATTTCTTCATTAAAACTTGTAAAAGTTATTTTTAAATCTGTTTTGATCCCTTTTTAAAAATTTTATTAGTAATTGTGAAAAGTGGGATATGAATTATTATGCTCAAAATCTTCTTTATTATATCGTGTTATTTTTGCATTATATAGATTCTACTGCTACGGATTAATGAACCGATTTCAAATTATGATATTTTCAGTATTTACTCTTTTGTTTTGGAGCATAGTCTAATGAAAAATAATACTTGTGTGCAAGAATGATGTGACTAAGAATGTAATTAATATTAAAGAAGTGCGAAAAATTCATTTTTCTTCAAAATCAGAGATAAACGCGTATTATTTTCGATCGGGATCGGGCTTCAATTTTTCTACAGAAATTGTCCACAAACTGACAAAGTCAGTTTAGAAACAATTGTGATTAAATAGACTGGTCTAGAGAAACGTTTTAACGAAACAAGGATTGCGACACTTCGCCTGCGTTTATAAAGCTCCAAAATATAAATTAAAACACGTACAAAACTTCATAAGTGTTATGGCGTCCATGTGTACACATGTTTACAAATATTAAAATCCGGGCCATTAGGCGATCATCATCGAAATAAGACGACTTAAATTTGTTTAAATTTCGGAAATAAAACTATCATGCACGTACCTTTTACTGCCAACAATCTTTCGGCCTTGGCCACACAATGCGTTTATTTTATTAATGCTGAATAAATTCGTGACCTACTTAAGGATATACGATCCTCAGCCAGGAAGGATAACTCTTAATTTATAATTTAATTCAGAAAGTCTTCAAATAAAGCTTGAAATTGAATTTTTTTCATGCAACAATTTTCATTTTATGCCTCTACGTATGATTCAATGCTCTTTAAAGTTTTAACAAACGGTATTTAAAAAGTTGACATTTGTACCTCATAAAATAAAGTAAAACTTGCACATTTTCAAAAAATCAGATTTCTTTTAATTTAGCCTTATTTACCAATGTTACTAAGCATGACTTGAAATTAGAAGTGATTTACGGTGTTATCTTTGAAAGGAAACACTTCATACACTATGCATTAACAAACGATGGAAGTAAGAAGGAGAAAGTAAAGTATCGAATAAGTGTAAAATTCATGCAATTTTCCTTAAAAGCCTGGAGACCTATGATTTTTATTCCTAAAATGTATTTCTAGATCAATTATCAAAAAAAAAATATGCAGTAGGTAGTTCAAATCGCATATCCTGAAAAATTATTTGAGATTTACAAATTTTCCCTATATAATATGATTAAATCTAAAGATGAAGTTAAAAGAAACACCGTGGGTAAATACATTTTAATTTGATAATTTAGAGACATCTTTGTGAGCATTTTCAATTACTCAATGCCTGATTTTCAGAACCTGAGGATCGGATAACCTTAAACAATGAACCAGCACAGGAAACTCTCTCTGATTGGATGCACACCATTGCAATTTAGGAGGACAATTTGTCATTTTTGTTGAATATTGGGTAAGTGTTACATAATGTATGCCCAAGTCTTATTAAAATTATTACCATAATTAACTAGGGAATTAATTCCTTAACATAATATGACCATAACTAATTGTTCTTTAACATAATATAAAGTACATCTGTATATGCCCTAGTCTTATTAAATTATGACACCACCCCCCCCCCCCTAAAAAAAAAAAATTGAGGGAATTTTATAGTTCCGTAACTATTACATGAATGATCAGCAGGGCCGTAGCTCATAGACCAGTGCTCAACCTTGCACCGAATTCGAAAGACCCAACTGATTTACATAAATTAAAAAAATATATATACGCAGACTGCCCCCCTCCCGTTCTACTAGCCTGGTGAGCATGTAAATTCAATAGCAACTCTTAACTAATAATGATTTCTGGCATTTGATAATATGATACAGAGTATAATTGTGAAAAAATCACATGCTAAATCGAAAATACATGAGACTGAACATCCAATTCACCGAATCAATAAATATTGATATATGTGCATTTGATCCATAGTTTGTAAATTGAGTACTACACTGCTATATAGATATAAAGTACAAGACACAGATTGATTTTGTCACAGTTCTGTCAATTATTTAATTGTTAAGAAACTGCAAAGTTTAATTTTTGAATGACCGAATACTTTGTTCAAATAAATAAATACATTAATTTCTCTAACAAATGATATGAATTGATTAACAGGAAAAAAAATTAAATCCCGGTTTCATAAATGATTTTCTTTTTCTTTTTTTTTTCCTCAAATATAAAAAGCACATCAATTGGAGGTTAACCTAAGTACATTTATTTATATATGCTGAATTTCTGTTGCAGCTCTAAATCAACGCAATAGTATATTCCAAGAACGACAACTCCCAGAACAAACTGCAGAAGGATAAAACGTACGCCACCTGACTGGCTGGTGATATCTAGTTGGGGGCCGAAGTACCAAGAAAAATACTTACGGCCACGAAATAAAACAGAAAAGCACTGTACGTGAACTCACTAATTTTCGTTTTACTGAGAGTATTCAAGAAATAATACGTGTTGCCATATTGATCCTAAAATCAAAATAAATAAATAAAAATTAAAGTTTGAATGCAATAAATTGATTATCAATTTATCATATAAAATTTTCCAATCGTAACCTCAGATGTGTACACAGGTTCATGCTTTTTCTCTTTCTCTCTTTTTTTTTTTTTTTTTTTTTTTTTTTTTGTTAATCGGGGAGGAGAGAAAATGTGATGTGCCGGAGACCAGAAATTGAACGTTAACGTACCCTGGTCCCATGAATCACAGGTCAAGTGCGGTTTTGAACTGAGCTTCAAGTACCATCAAGCATGCCTTTACACCACACTTCATCTCTGCTTAACCCAACCCTTTTTTCGAAAACACAAAGTGACTAGGCACAGGCTCTTCCAAGGCAGGTCTTTGTAAAGTAAGACCCAACAAGACTCATCTGCCCGTGAATTCAAATGTTTCATCATACATGTATTATATTCAACGTGCTGAGCCAAAAATGAGGAAAGATAAACAACTGGGCTGTTAAAAAAATGAACCCAAGGTATTAATTTCACCTCTCTGACACATTCTGGTGATCGCGCCAAATTATCCCGGAGAGAAGAAAAAATACATCGGGTCAGCTGGGGCAAGATTTGACTACCGGCCATGAATCCATCGATTTACTTTCGGTGCTCTACAAACTGAGTTTTCAGGCCACTTCTAGCGATCGAACCTGCAGAACACCACATCTTATATATTTTCTTATTCTTTCTTTATATTTGTAATTTTCCTTTTGAAATTTGTTCCTGTTTTCATTACAGAAGTGAGTTTAAGACGCCTATGCATTGATCATTAAAAGTTTCACATTTTTGACACATCTTCAGTCTAGTCGAACCCTCAAACGGGGGTATACCCCCAAACGAGGGTTTTCCTTTCCTTAATGCAACGCGCGAAATTTAAGAACGATAACTCTTCTTATTTAAAAAGTATATATTTTTTTTAAAAATCACAACATGCAAAAATGATTCGTCTACACCTTTGTTTTCAATTTTAAAAAAATAATAAATTACTTTTCGTTTTTATTTACCTCATTTCTGAAGCACAAAAGTTTGTTTACAGGACAGAGGAAATTCGGACGGGCACAGAAGAAAGTGTCGAAAAATAATTAATAACATGTTCATTACACAAAATTTGTAATACCGGGGAACGGAATTATATGTAGTTTAACTTTAAACTAAACATTGTTTGTTTATCCATCCGTTTTATTAAATTATGCATAAAAAATCTAGTTGTATCAAACATTGTGGTCAAGGCACAGAATACGCTAACTTTGGGAGAGAAAAAGTCTCGATTTTTATCAATAAACATATATTTTTTCGCAATACAATCTCTTTAAACATCTTTAATCTATCAAATTTGAGTACATACAGAGCTACGAAATAATCCATCACTTTGCACGAGTATATTTGTGGACCACACGTTTTTCCGTGAAAACGGCACTTTTTTGAGTGTCTGCGCATGCGCGTACCCCCGTTTGAAGGTACGGATTTCCTACTTCCGTTTACCCCCGTTTGAGGGTTCGACTAGACTGATCTTTGCGTGAAAACAGCAAGCACAAGCTTAAAACATGAAGTTTACTATTAAATCGCCACGCCACAAACCTTTTTTTGTTGGGGGGGGGGGGGGGGGGGGGGGGGGGGGGGGCAAAATCTAAAGTTACTTCCTGGTCACAAAAAAATCTCATTTAATGTTCCTTACCAGTTACCGTAAAATTTGCTTTGTCTACTTTCGTTTCGTATTCCAGGTAGGAGTATCGCCATTATGTTCACAGGTTAAGAGACAGGCGTACAGGTAGGGTTTACAAAAGTTTGAGCCATTAACAGATTAAGCTTAAAAAATTATTACTTATTTGACGTTTGTTTGCCCCTTAGACTCTTTTTCCTCCTCAATGTCAACTGACTGTTAAAACTTTTTAAAAAAATCTTATTAAAAGCATTAAAAAACCTGTTTTACCAAATGAAGCCAATTTTTCAAAAATAGAATGATGTGAATTGAAGTTAATGTATCTTGATTTTCGTTTGAATGAAATGTTTGAATTTTTCTTATCAAACGTCAATTGTTACATAAAGACACCCAATTTCTTTAGAATCGAGAAATTAAACTGTTTTAAGGCATATCTTGCCCTCTGTGACTAGCAACATGCCTTTAATGCTGCAATGTAGATTTTATATATCGTTAGGAGAAAGGGTATATATCCCCGACTCTGTTAACGAATTATACATGTACGTTTTGCAATGAATAAACATGAACTTTTAATTTTTCAACCTTATTGATGTTATCACAACAATAATATCGATCGAACACGTACGTGTTTACTCGGTGTTTTCGTAAACTGCCAATCTAATTTGTCATCATACATATTTATCGAATATTCGAAAGAAGCATGTGACAGCTGCTAAACTTAAATATTTTTTCGATTTCTTCTGGATTTCTTGGTTCATACAGACTTATTTTACCATTGTTTTCAAGCATATAAAAATAATTTTTACTCCTTGACATTGTGCTAATCAAAGGAAGAAAGAAAATCACGTTCTAATTAGGTCTCAAATTTTTTACAATTTCTTCGAGAAAAAAATCTACTTGTATTCTTCTATGGATCTGTTCCCTCTCTCACGGAATTATCAGTCTGGGGTCATTATTCTTTAAAAAGATGAAAGAGACAAGAAACTCGCTCGCTTTTTATCTGTTTTGGCGAATCCTGTACTTCCTTTCCAAACAAAAAATGTTTATGATCGATGTTAACTTTTTGAGTGTTTTAATACACTTCAATAAAGAATTCTCCTTTTTTTATGGTGCTTCATAATTATTATCTGTCCGATGATGTTGGGAATATTAATACAAAACTCTGTACCTAGAAAGAACACTTCCTTTTTGCCTTGGCTATTTTAGGAAAGAGGGAAATATGTGCAAATATCTAGCATCATCAGGAGAGGAACTGAAAAAAATCCTGATATTAGTCTTTCCTGATAGAACTAAAATCCGTGGTTGTCTATAAAGAGGCACATCCCACATATATGGTGTTTAAAATTCATTTTCCGTATTTTTTCTTTATTTCCTTAACCCGTATGTGTGTGTTATTTTTTGCAGTTACTTAACTGTGGTTCCTACGATGGAAGAGGATAATCAGCTTCTAGGTTTAGAACTGTCAGACAGCGGACTTGATGAACTAGAGGAGCTGTATTTGACATGTTCCCGATGTCGTGGGGACTTTATGGACGGGGATATGCTGCTTGCCCACCTTCTACCTTGTCTCCATACCATCTGTAGCAGGTGCTTGGATGATTTACCTCAGGAGCAGGCCAAGCAGATAGAGTGTGACGTATGTAAGGAAAAAATTGACGTCAAGACAGATGATGACGTCAAGAAATCATTTCCGCTAGACAATACACGTCGTGATCTGAAGGACTTTCTATGCATGAAGAAGGGTGCCGATTGCATCTCTTGTAATGATGATATCAACATAGCTTCCACAAGATGTGTTTCTTGCGCTGAATTTCTGTGTGATGCATGTACCGTTGCGCACAGAAGAACGACCATGACTCGAAACCATGAACTCAAAGATATCTCTCAACTCAGAAATACAAATGAATTGGATGCTTTTCACAGACCACTGAAATGTCCTTTGCATGGTGATCGTGGTGAAGAAACTAATCTTACTGTCTACTGCGACAAAGAGACCTGCCAGAAACCAATATGTCTTGTTTGTGCACTCATCACTTGCAAACCATCAAAAGGTCACACGCATCTCGATTTAAAAGAAACAACTGCTGCAAAGAAATTTGACATGGAAGAAAGCATGAGGCAACTCCAAAACACTCAACAAGAAATTCAACCAGTAAAAACACTCGTGAAAAATGAGATTGAGGACATTAATGAACTAGAGGGTACAATACAGGATGACATCGATTTTACTATTGACCAGATGATCAACATTTTAGAACAGAAACGTTTGGAACTGAAGTGTGACCTGAGGAAAAGGATGGAAGACAAACGGAAGACACTTGAAGATCAGGACATATTTCTGTCTGAAAAAGAAGAGAACATTTCCCATGCCCTTAAATTTGCAGAACAAGCCCTTCGTTCAACAAACGATGCAGCATTTTCACAAATAGACAAGATAGTCATGAATCGCCTATATCAGTTGCAACATGACCCTTTTGACAGGGTACCCCATGAACGCGCATTTGTTACTCTCGAAAAGTCTAAAGCCATGTCGGAATTACAGCAGATGCTCACCGAAAACTTAACGATTTGGTCCTCCTCTATTTTCTCGCCTTACACGACGATTGAACTTTCAGGAGAGGCCAGGGAAAACAGTCTGACGCGGTTATCGGTTCACCTCAGAGACTACCGGAACCAATCAGTGAACAGCAGTGATAATGAGAATCTGAGGATATGTGTTGCAGATCCTTCAGGTATGAAAACGTCAGTGTAACTGAAAATTGACATACAGCAAGTAGTAAGTATAGTACAACTTGCCTACAAAGAATTTTGATATTTGGGAAAATCGGTTACACGAATGTAACTAGTACATATTGTTTCTGCATTTTTATTTCAAAACTCTTTCTTTAAAAAAAGATGCACGTCACCAAACCTCATAAGCAAGTTTTACTGTCAGAGTATTTTTACTAAACAAGAACTTTTCCTAAATTGATATAGGGTATTTTGTTATTACTGAATTTTATGTAATCTCTTGAATTTAGGAAGGAAAATCACACTCACACCGAAACAGGAAAGTAAGTCTGCTGCTGGTGTTCTGGTTGTTTCCTATGTACCGTTCACTTCCGGTAAATTCGAACTGTCCGTAGAAGTGATGGGGAAAGACGTGAGTCGTTTGGTTTTTGACGTGGATCCAGACGACTCTCATTCACGGCGGCTTTGTGAGTAGCTTTAAAAATGTGGCACGTGATTTTCAATAAGAATGTATGGTTTTTACCGTTTTTATCATCCAGAACTTTTGGCATGAAAATCAAAGTTGAATTCAGAAATATTTTCTGCATTCGACATGTTCAAAAGCATTTTGCATCTTTTTTCTGCATTGAAAATATCATTCTATACCATTGATCAACACATTGAACACATGTATCGTTTTAAAAGTATTTTCGAAAAAAGAATTTGGAGCATGTACTTTGGTTATGTTTACAATTTGCATGTACAGGCGAAGCTGGTTTGAATTCCATCATGAACAGAGATGCATGCAGTAAGTTTATCAAGCATTTTTTATAAACGTTTATGAGTAAGAGGTTCTCTATATTCAAACATTTATTCATGCTTTAATTATACAAAGAAATTGATATAACAAAATAATTCATGTGAATTAGAAAAACGATTATTTTTAGGACCAAATTTCACCTTTGACAAGGGCAGGGCACATCCGGATGTTATGGTTTCAGATGAAGGAAAGACATTCCAGAATATTTCATCAAATTTTGCAAAAGAACCCATGTCCAATACACGATTCAAACGTTATAAGGGTACTTGCGGATCGATGTCATTTAAGAAGAATGACATTTATTTCTATGAGATCGATGTTCGGTTTTGGCTGAGAAAAGTGCTAAACCATACAGATCTTGCATTTGAAATTGGCCTCGCTTTGGAATCATCGATTGACAACAAACATCACGTGGAAGGTCAGCCTTCTTGTTGGTCTCTGATTGGCTCCCATAACCCGGATGGTGACGCAATCTGCATCACAGTTGCGCACAGGGGTCGTTCTGTACTTCACCAGAAGATTTCAGACAACGCTGTTGATACCGTTTTTCAGAAGACATATGGGTTTTTAGTTGACATGAGAAAGGGTCTTTGGCAAATTTTTGACAACAACCAGTTGTTATGTACCGTCGATATAGACACCGAAAATGCATTATTCCCGGTCGTTGCAGGCTATAACCACTCTCGAGTAGCACTGAATATGACGCTGAAGTACTGATTAAATTCCCGGATTTTTAATGAAAAATAAGACTTTATGTAAGGGATGCAAAACGAAGATATCTGGTATAACGGGTAAGGGACGGGTACGAGCTGCACCAAGTGTGAGTTATACCTATATATCTGAAATAATGCATCTTGCTTAAAATTTCTTTAGGAGGAGTGAACCGTTTTTATTTTGTTAAATTGAATCATATTCCATTTCTTGCTATGGCAACTGTACACATGCCTTAATAATATGCACATTGTTTTAAGTTGCTGTTTTGTTTGTTTGTTGTTGTTTACAATGATATTTCACAACATGATTTTGTTATTTTATTAATTACCGTGTATACAATGTATGAAGGGAGAATGTATTGCATTTTCCTTGATGATCAATTCTTTGTCCTTTTACTAAATATTATTTAAATTAATATCCAACTTGAAAAATATTATGCTGAACATTTCAAAGATATATGCATTACGTGTATTCTTGTCTTTTAAAATATTTAATTTGTTTAACAATCATTAGACAATCATTTAATCCATTTAATTTGCTTCCAGAATTGATTGTCGTGAAATTTTTACTCTACTTGTAATTTCAAAACATTAATCAACATAGTCATTACCAAATTAAGTGTGTGCATTTCTGATAGCGCTTTAATATGTTTATGTAATTTCTATTTTATTAATTGAAATCATTTGAAATGTACTCAATACTTGTTTTAGTTTCACATTATGCATTTCAAATATCAGGTCACCCGATTAAAAGATGCTGAAATAATGTCTGGAACAAAACTTTCTAAGATTGCAGAAACCGAGAGATCTGAATCTCTGCCAATCTTTAAACGAAATGTAGAAAAGTATATCTTCAACAGCAGAAATTTATTACTGTGAATAATGTATATCTTTTGCACTTGTATATAATTATACAATGTTAAATCTTACTCATGTGACATTATATTACTTTTTATGTCATATGAATATATTTGTTTATTATTAGAATTTTATTATGATTATCATTATAATCATGTGACATTGTGTATATACGTGTATTATATAAAATTATATATGTAAAAAAAAAAATACGTGTATTATGATTCACTTTCTAAGTTGTTTATCTTTGCTAATTTGATGTAATATTGTTGTAATTAGAAGGCCATTAGGAAGAATAGTGTCACACTAATTAGGCCACCTTCTCTAGATAAAGTATTATTATTATTATTATTATTAATCATGTCCTTCTGTTACCTACAAATGTACTTCCTGACGTCGCTGGTTCGATTCCCGCTGTGGGATGTGTAGACCGGTCCTTCGGTAGTTAAAATTATTTCGGTACAATTTAAGCCCTCGCCACAGTTAGAATACGTTCCATATTCTTGCTTTGTAGCAAATCGGAGCGGATCCGCTCCGAAACGATTTTGAAGAATTTCAAAAGGAGTTGCATTGAAAATAACTACCAAAATAATCAAAACAAACCTTTTTGAGATTGTATATGTCTTTTATCCCGAAAGATAATCCAAAAAAGACGTAAATTCAGCTAATTTTCTCAACGATTTTTCTCACTTCAAATTTACCTGCCATATTTACATTCGAAACTCTCTGGATTGTTATCAGTAAATGCAGTGAGTACGTATTATCAACCGTGTATATTTTGCTACATTGAAAATACACGGAACGAATTTTATCGTTAAACCGGGTCCGTAGGACATTTTCATTTTAACTATAGAACGTTTTATCTAGTCCTTCGGATGAGAACGTAGAATCCCAGCCCTTATGTCGCACTACTGCTGGCAAGAGAAAGATCCCTCACTACTTAATGGCTGTAAGTGCTGAGTAAAGGACAAAATTTGCAGCTTTCCACCGTCAAGTGGTGACGTCTATATTGAGTGCAAAAATTTTGAAAGTGACGCTGAACAACATACAAGCAAAAAAAACCCCACAAAACTTACTAGCCTCTTCCATTCCACTGAGGACGCATAAGGTCGTTCACAAAGAAGTCAACTATTATGGGGGTCTTTGGCAACAACCCACCCTTCCTTCCAGCTGCCCCAACCAAGTTCTTCTCTTTCTTTATGTAAAACTCAAACAATGTTACAGTTACCGAGTTTATTATATACAAAAGGAGTTCTTAACAGAGCGTCATCAGGTGTTCTTTTCTGTTCCGTTCTCTTCATCGTCTTCCATCGGTGGTCCATATATATAAGCTCTTCTTAAATGCGAGCTGGCTTCTCTTCCAGTCTTGTTCTTTCATTCTCCATCTCCCACTTTTGATCGTCCTTAATAGAGTTTGGATCTTGGCTCTTACTCTCTTTTAGTATTGTTGCTCTGTTTAAGACATTTTCTCTCCTAGATAATGCATCTCCGATGGTATGTGTCCAGGTTTTCATCGTCTTTTTCGGTGGTTCAGAACAATACAGCACAACAGATAAAATATTTGTATTGAAGATCTTAAGTTTGGTCTTTGTGCTGTATTGTGCCGACCTCCATCCTTTGGTAAAGGATGCAAAAGAAGTCCTTGCTAAACCTAGCCTTCTCTCTATGCCTGCTCAGTTTCTCCCGTCTTGTCCATTGTGACATTCAGGGAAAGGAATAATTCAACATCTTTTACTTACTTGTTATTTTCATGCTTTTTTTTTTATCTTGTCGACATTAATTTTGAAGCTTGTATATTCAGCGAAGTCGTGTAATCCTATCTTGCACATCACTGTGTTGTTTTTTTTTTTTAGAAATAAGTGCGAGGTCGATTGACTGCATAATCCAGGGCTACTAAGGAGAACATTAATTTCCCACATTTACTTCTCTTCCTGTCGTTGGTAATTCTAACTATCCAGTCTACCACAATGATGAGCAGGAACCAAGACATAACATCCTTCTCTCACTCCTGTCTGTACCTTTACTGAGCCTTGAACCAGTCTGTTGTTCTTTCAATGTCTATATTATTATACATATAGAACGTCATATGTTTTTAAAGGGAATATTAGTTGTTCTTAGGTGCTTCGTACATCAAATTTTCCTCATTTTCACATATGGTAAAGAAGCCGTATAAAGCTACGTATACAGAATGATGCAAAAACAAAATGTTTTGACGGTTAAATAATAGAGAAAAACATTTCTCACTGATTACAAGACTGTAGTTTGTTTGAAAAATCATATTTTAAAATTTGGTCCGTAATTATTAATTACAGAAAATTCTTTTGAGCCATTGATATAGTTTAAAAATGTTAACTAACTTCATTTTTCCTTTATTAAGGTCAAGATCTAGTAAATGAAAGGTGCCTACAGATTTATTAAACTTGAGAAATAAATTCTTTTATTGATGTTTTACAAGTTTAGCTTGGTCAAATAACCCAGCAGGCACACAACATTGAATAAACTTTGAATCAACGTTGTTTTTCTATGTTGATTCAACATTGATTTTATCTTAGATTTTGAAAATTTGTATCAACGTTGAAGTCTTAACATTGAATCAACATTGATAATCAACATTGATTAGATGTTGAAAAACAGTTGGTTCAACATTTATTCAATTATTTATTTTGGAAAGGGGGTGTCATATAGTAATAATATACTTACTTAAAATTTCAACCGTTTTATTGCACGGTTGCTAGGATGCCTTGTTTATTGTTGAAGGGATAGCGACCCTCTGATAAGACAGATAACTTTCAAAGTAGTAATACTACTCACAGTTTTCTTAATCAGTTTCCTGAGACCTCTGAGTTAGTCAATTTGAAAAGATTAAACATAGGATGGAAACATTACTTTCTATTTCTTTTGCAAATTTCTTTGTAATTGTTTTATTATATTTAACAATAAAACATTTAAATCCAACATTAAATGCCTTATAAATTGAATAAGTTGTATCTTTTTAAGTACCATTTTAAAAATGGTTTAATATTTTCCAGTACTTAATACAGTATTTAATTAGAATGACTTTTTTTCACATGAAGAAATATTTAGAAGAAAGATAACTCCTCATCACAGATATATTTTTTTCTTACAACCACATACAACATTGTGTTTTTCTGACTTAGGAAACATCGCTTCATGATGTTTTCTAACATGATTTAAATATTCTGAAAAACAATAAGCAGCGCTTTATACGTCAAACTATTTTCCATGTGGCTCTGATGTTATTGTTGTTTATGAAAATCAATATTACAAATTAAAAACTTTCTAAGGTGAAATTTATAGCAGAGGGTCAGGACCCCTTAAATGAAAACATACGGTATATCACTATATGAAAAAAAAAATTATATATTGTAGACAGTAAGTGTTTAATTTCTTATCAATAGTTAATTGTGTTACAATAATTTTCACCAAAATACATTTTATAAATTAATCATGTTACAAATCCCGAGCATTTACAAACGTTTTGTATTTTCACACATGGTCAAGAAATAGTCCAGAACATGAAACCATTCCAAGGTAAGATGCAAATCTTATACGGTACAACTTTTGATGCACCAGATATGCATTTCGACAAAGTATGTCTCTTCAATGATACTAGTACTCTGACATGCCGAAATGTTTTCTTTAAAGAGTATTTTTTTAATTAAATCTTGGTGTTGAGTCCTGAGGGTTGTGTTATAGCGAGCGCAGCGAGCGTCGCGAAGCGACGCTCGCGAAGCGAGCTCAATAGACTAACGTGTAAGAACAGAGGAAATTCAGATTGAAATCTGTACATGTTTCCCAGAATTCCTGCACTACCCAATGTCCTTTGCGCAAATAAATCAAAAATAGTAAAAAAATAAAGGAACATTGTTTCTTACCGAAATCTTAACGAAATGATTTTGCCTTACCTTATTCAAAAAAATACCCCCATGCCACAACACCGGCTTTCACCTTGCCCTTCGGAAATGATACAAATGACGTCACCGGAAACTTGAATTTTGACGATATGCTAATTAAGTCATGTCGGTTGCTTCCGTGAAATAGATAAATAAATAAACAATAACGTAAAGCATAAAAAGCTTTCAGTTTGTAGAAATCTTTCAAAGAAACAAAAAATATGCAATGTTTTTCGACCAAAATTGTGCTAGGTCTATAGTTTAAACCAGACGCTTGGCCGTTTCCTTGAGCTCCGTGACGTCGTGTGACGTCATAGCTAGTCGAGATGTACGGTGTGCGACTTGATGTTTGGAGTGGCTGATCAATTTTTCAAGTACAACTGCGCTCGCCTCAACGGTCACACCGTAAAACATATTACTGTCTTTTTGAATATTTTCCGGATGTCCTACTGCGTATCCTCTTAATTCGTACTTTGGCAAATTTGTACTGAATTCATATTTATCATTGAATGTGTAAAATTTCTATATTTACCATCCTTGTTAGTTATAATAGTAATGATATACGGTAGTGCGACTTTGTCAAGTCCGACCTCGTTATGGTCCGACAGTGTTACAGTCCGACACTATTATAGTCCAAATTATCTATCAGCGAAAAAATAGGTTTGGCCCGCTCAGCGAAGATCCGACGTTGAATCAATGTTGGCAATTCAACTCAATTTGAATTCAATGTTGATTCAACGTTAAATTTTCAACGTTGAATCAATATTGTATCTAGATTTATCAACGTCTAAACCCAACTTCAACTAATATTCAACGTTTAAACAACGTTGTGTGCCTGCTGGGAAGGTGTTTCGGGGCATAATTTGTAGATAAACAAGATGAAAAACTGTATTTCAAACTGTCATTTTCAATGAAAAATTAAGAAAACCAGTCATGAATTTGGAAGTATTTTTCATATTTGACAAATGAAATGTATCCAGATTGCCTACAGTCTCTCATTAAACGGTAATTAGTATGTTCATGGCCTCTTTTTTAAATCAATATCAAATCTAATGTAGGTATCCGGAATACTTTTCATATGATTTCAAATTAAATGTCATGAAAATACCCTATTTTCTACATAATTCTGCTAAAGCCGTAAAGTACGGGAAAAAGAAAGTTGAAATTAATTATGACGTCATAATGGATCTAGCACCAAAAAATTTGTCTAAAGTTATTTACTAGATCTTGACCTTAAGGTAAGTCACTCCTCAGCTTTTTAGAAAAGTTCACGCAGAAGCTTTTACTTCAAAACTACTTATTAAAATTCAATTTTTATAACATATTTAAATTCAACAATGTAAATTTTTTAACATTCAATGAAAAAACTGCTCAAAAATCTACAAAGAGGCAAGATTTATGAGGTACTATTTCTTTTGGTGGAAGGATATTTAGCAGAAAATACTGCAAATCTGCACATTTATGAAATTTAATGTAATGGAAATTTAGCCTCACATACTTTTACTCGGAGAATATTTTCCGTTTTGATATTGCTAAAAATATTTAATATAGGTCTTAATTAATATTTTTAGACTAAGTTTTACACCTTCCCTCAACAAACTTTTCCAAAAAATGAAAATATATTAAAGAAGTCAAGATCAAATTTACACCATTTTTTACCTGAAAATCACATATTTTGACAAATATTTCAAAATTAACATCACTGACCCCACCTTTTTCTTTCATTATTTTAAACTACTCGATACTTGTGACTGATCAGCACTTAAGTCGTAAAAAGTTTGATATAAGAAAATTTTTATTGCCTATTAAGTTTTTTAATACCCCAAATATGTTATTTTTTAGTGCAAAAGGGTCACACAATAATTTACGCGCATTAATTAGCAAGATTTGTTTAATGATAAATATTATTCAAACTATTTTACGTAAAATAAGATTATATTTATTGCCATGCTTACATCTGATCAAATATAATAAGGGATAAAGTAATTAACCAAAGAGATGACATTTAAGTGCAAAAAGGTCAACTTAAATGTACCGTAGATCAGTAGGATGCACACTGACCCCCTATTTTCTTTGCGATTTTGAGTTACACTTTATGAGTACTTATCCAAAATATACTTCTCAAAAAATCCTTGATTTAACAAATTTCAGGAGTGACTTACCTTAAGGTCAAGATCTAGTAAATAACTTGAGACTACTTATTTGTTGCTAGATCTATTATGACGTCATAATCAATATCAACTTTCTTTTTCCCGTAATTTACGGCTTTAGCAGAATTATGTAGAAAATTGGGTATTTTCATGACATTCAGTTTGAAATCATATGAAAAGTAAACCGGATACCTATATTAAGGATAAATAACACAAACAAACTTTTTTCAGAAATCAGCATTATTTCTCATAGATTTACATTTCAATTGACAACCTGAATAATGTTTACCAAGTAGAGTGGGAGAATTTTATAAGATTTTGTCATAAAGTTAAAAAAATGTGCAAAATTTTGTATGGAATGATATAGAAGGCAAAATAAAATCTCAAATCTAAGCACCAAGGAAAACCTACGATTTCTTTATATTTCAGGGATTTTTTATTCATATCAATACAAATCAAAATCAGTCAAAAAATATATATCAACCCGCGCATCCATTTTTTGTTTGTGGGAAGTACCCTTAAATTTGATATTAATTTAAAGAAAATGCCATGAACATACTACCGTTTTCTGAGAGACTGTAGGCAATCTGGATACATCTCCTTTGTCGAATATGAGAAAAACTCCCATATTCATGAATGGTTTTCTTAATTTTTTATTGAAAATGACAGTTTAAAATACAGTTTTTCATCTTGTTAACCTACAAATTATGCCCCGAAACACCTTATTTGACCAAGCTAAAGTTGTACAGCATCAATAAAGGAATCTATTTCTCAAGTTTGATAAATCTGTAGGCACCTTTCATTTACTAGATCTTGACCTTAAGTTGAAAAAAAAATATAGAATGATAGAAGCTACTGTTCCACCCAAAATATAGTCCCTGCTTGATTTCAAAGCCAGTTTACCAATTTTATTTAAAGTTTACAGTTATGAAAAGGAAAGAAAAATAAACTGTTTTGAATCCTTAACATATAAAAAGTAAGGAAATTTAAGCAAATATTCCCTGGCTTTTTCATTTAGTCAGAAACCAGACAAGAATCCCTCTTTTACAATTATCGACACAGTATTGAATGTCGAGCTAAACTTGTTTATTAATTTATCTAGTTGACTTAATTTGTATCAAATCCTAAGCTTTAGTCGTTAAATATTTTCTTAATTTTTCCCCCCTAATTGTGCACGAAAAATCTTGTTCTTTCATCGTTACGGAAATTTAAACTGCAAGAAAATTGTAGTTTTTCAATAATCAGGAATTATCATGTGAAACAGATCTATTAACACTCTCATGTAAACTGAAGAAAAGATAACTATTACATGTACTGATTCATGTATTTACATATTTAGCTCACATACATATATATTGGCCAAAGTATGTAAAAAAAGTGAAAACCCTTACACCAGTTTTTAAGTGGCTTAATTTTTTTTCTTGCGCAGCACTTATCAATGCTAACCCGTCAAGAGCTAAAAAAATTGTAATCAAATGTGTAACTACTCATGATCAGCCATGACCGTACCCGGTATTTATAATTAGCAAGAAGTGCGAGTTCCGTAGGTTTTGGGGGGTGTATTTTCACTATTTGTTGTTTTGTGTTACTGGAAGTAAAGACCTTCCTTCATGGAAAAGACGTAGTGTAAAGCTACTTCAAAAGACTCATTACTCTTAATGGATCACTTAAGTAAGTCTAAACATCATGTGCAACTATCCTGTAACTACCCTGCACATATTGAAAATTCAGTCTCTTCAGAGACCAAACTGTATGGAACAAATAGGAGGAGCGCGGGAAATGCGTGCAAGAAGACATTACACCATCATCTTCTAATATAATAGATATACCTTTTAAGCCATGAGTCTATTCTGCTCTGTTTTTTGCCAAACGGATAACATAACACATAGTTTGTCGAAAAAGAGCATTTATTATTGAAAATGCCAAAAAATATTTCACATCTTAAAGTACATATGATACATGTAAAAATCTTAGGCACAAAATAGACAGTAAATCTCATGTAAAAAATATCACATTACATGTATACAAAGATAAATGTGCCTTAGATATACACAGTACAAATACTGTCATTAAAATAACAAATGTATTGCCCATTGGACTAGTTATGGCAAAAAAGATGGGACTAATTCTTAAAAAAAAAAAAATGTACTGAAGGTAAATATTGTCGGCAAGGCACAGAAAAAACCTCGTAAAACCTCTTGTAATCCACATCTCAACTCTAAAGAGCAGATATGGGACAAAATATAGAGAGTGTGAGACAGCTTTTCCAGCGGCAGAATCTTGCGGGAAAGAAGACCCAATCAACACATGAAATGACCTTCAATGAAGATTTTTGACTTTGTATACGTAAGAACTTTTTGAGGAACAGGTGCCTATCTATAAATTCCTTTGAATTAAGGAATAACTGTCTAGTTTTGGGGTTTCATGATTTGCAATTGATCATCGTCTTGAAACTAAAACTGACGGTTATTCCTTATATTTACATACTCTTAATTCCGCAAATCCACGTGCTACAAGCTCCTCTTCCGTCTCTTTTTGTCCCGCCCCGCACGTATTTTTTTTTATTAAATCTAAGTACGCCTATCAATAAACCAGTAGATTTATGCAAAAATAAAGTATTTTTACTATTTGTAATTTGATCTCGAACAAAGACATTGGAAATGTAGACATTGGAATGAAAATATTGGAGGATAAAAATGTCCAATGTTACGAATTTTAAATTCTAGGTTACCTAAACTTTTTTGAATTGTATGATAAAGCGCTTCATTAAATTGGATGAAGTGAAAATTTTTGTTTTGTTACTTTTTATCCTATATATACTTCAATCAATTTAAATTGTCAAATTAATTTAATATAAAAACAATGTACAGCAAAACCTTTTTAGGGTGAAAATTTGACTTTTAATAGTATAGTTAGAATAACCTTTTGTTACCTATTGTTAAATCTTGTTACATAAAAGCTTAACAGAACTTTAACTGTCTGTTGTTTATAAATATATAAATTATAAGAAAATGAACTGAATGTTCAAGTGACAGTAAGCCTCGTTTTTCAAAGCAGCAACGGAATGAATGTTTTATAGGTCCTTTTTTCTCAATCTAATTAAAATTAGATTTTTGATCCGCTCCAGTTTGATCGCTTTGTGTAGCGATCAAACTGGAGCGGATCAAAGATCTAATTTTAATTAGATTGTTTTTTCTCAGAAGACATTCAAATCATGATGTGTTATCTCTCGTATTTTCATCAGCGTTGCCATTTTTATTCTATTCTCATTCTTCTGTTTGAATGACTGCGTGTAGGAGTAAAGAGCATCTGATATGTTTTCGTTGAGCTCTTGGCATAACCCCAAAATATGCCATGATATGTCCCGGATATTATTTGGTACAATAACATCTCCGTTAAGGTTGAGTAGGTATTGTAGATCATAAAGAACAAATTGTGCTCTACCAGTGTCAATATGTCTGTAGCAGAGAAACTTTAACATGTGTAACAGTATCAAAGGTGGAATGTGAAGAGTGCACCACTGGCTTTGATGACTATGATTTTGAAGATTTATTAATTCTTCAATGTAGGGGATACTATTGCATATATCGAAATATGCATACGATGCTGTACACTGTTTAATCTTCGTGGACAGGGACTTTTCACTAACAACCTCTATATACGTCTCCGGTCGCGATAGTACTGCCTCCATCTTCTCTATTACAGATAAAGCTTTCGTGTATCGAAATGTTTTGTAAAAATACATGATGATGAACAAAGTATCGAATGTGTATCCGAACCTAGCCGCTAATTTCAGCACTTTAACGGCCATTTTGTCAATTATGTACTTCTTTCTGTTTTCAGCCTTATTAGAGCACATGTGCAATATAAAAATAGTACTCTGCAGAATTGTGGCTGTTATTTTCTGTACCATAATCCCTTGATAATGTGTGAGGGGCCAACATACTGTTTCCTCTAATGATTGGAGAGCAATCAGACACTGTTTCAGATTTATAACTTGTGCTGAATCATTTGCAGAAATTTCTTCAAATAGCTCGGAGTCAAATTCACACTGAGGAATCAGGGTGTATTCTAGTGTATGAACACAAGGCCTAAGATTTTGATATTGGCTTGTAATCAATGATCTGATTTTGGGACTTTCCAACAGGCCTAGAAACCCCTTTTCATACAAGTCATAAAGTCTGTGAAACAATACCATCTGCTTTGCACCATAAATTTTATGAATAAACATGTTGTTTTCGGGTATGAAGAAGTTCGGACATACACCTTCATAAACCCATTTCAGGATGAGTTTAAAACAAACCCAGAAACACTCAAGGAGATTTTGCGGACACCATTGAGACATAGAACTCTGTTGAATCGCCCAGAAAACTGAAGTTTTGATGTGATAAGAGCTCATATTTTGGTCTCCAATTTTGCTCTTAATGACCTCCTTCAAAAAAATCTTTAACAAGCCGTATGTTAAGAATTGGCAGTGATTCATTGAGAATACAAGTTTCTGTTCGGCCGAAGAAAATGAAATTCTCCATTCTAAATTTTCTTGAAGTCCTAATTTGTGCCCTGTTGGTACAAAGTGACATCCATCTCTGACAATTTTTTGAACAATATTAACCGTTGGCCATGATTGTTGACTCCTTTTAATCCAATTGGTTGCAGGTGGTGGCCAAAGGTCACTGACAAAACCATATGCATTATCATAACTCTCGGATAGTGCTTCTCCACTGACACACGGTCCATTTATGAAGGAATCGGGTTGGATTAATGGACACATTATTTGCTTAACGCTGTAGCTAGGTATAGAAGCTCTTTGTTTGCTCTTCACAGGAGAAGAACTACTTATTTTATCTGTTGGATACAGTAATGCATACCCAGGTGGACTGATCGAGCAATCACTTATAAAAAATCTTGTATTTCTATGAGAATGGTAAAACTGAAGTTGTGATGATTCCCAGATCACCCGCCAGTTCTTGAACCAGAGCATAGAATCAAAATCGGAGTCATTAAATCTGAAGCCTTCCTTTTGACTTCCGGTTTTGAGTTTACTCCATTCATTAACTTGTATTGCATCGTGGATATCCATTACGTCTCTCCTCATGGCAATCTGCCGTTTGGTCCCAACTTCAGAACACAGTCCTATGTACAATGTCTCAGACATGACTTTAATATCTGCTTCTCTGTAGAGGTATTAGAGAGAATTTAATAAAAATGGTTGTTTATAATTACATATAAGTATCATATAATGAAGACATGTTGGGTTTTGGTTATGTATTATAGAAATTTTCAACTACTAAGCTGAGATTCATCGTCTGAGGAAAGCATGACCGCAAAAATGTCTAATATTCTTCACCAAAACAGTAATCTTACGGGTTGTAAGAATTTATCAGCCTCCAAATAAGTGCTATTATGATCTTTTTGAAAGCGTTACAAATTTTGCAAACACTTCTCGACAGTTTAAATTTCACTGACGCAGAAACATTTATAAATATCCAATTTTATTTGCTCTTTGCTTTCATCTAAGGCTTATCTTCTTGACAAAAAATAAAGATCCAGGTACAAAATATACTTTGTATTGGCGTATTTTCTTTCTTTAATTTTGATTTTTAAAGAATACAGAACTGTTACATGTATATAGTAAATAAGAATTCTGATGTGCCTAGCACGGTTTCATTTCTCCTGTGAAAGCGGGTTTCAACTCAAGGATTATATTCTAAGTATCATTTAATTTGTTTCCTCTTTTATGAATGTGTATTTACACCTACTGAATACAAGGAAGAGACAACTGACCACAATTTTGAAAAAATACTATGCATGTACATTGTTCTAACCGCAGGCAGAACCGTGGCAACGGTTTTTTTTCACTTTTCATGACTTTGCTGTTATTCAGAAGATTTTTAAAGATTTTTGCTATGTCACAATTCTTATGGAAAACTAGGTAGCCCACTGTGACCTCATCATAGCCCTGGGGGTCATGATTTTAACAAATTTAAATCTACCTAATGGTATAAATTAAGCATTTGCACTTGTTTCATCTTTTCTGGCCCAGTAGTTATTGGGAAGAAGTTTCTTTTCTAAAGAGTGCTTTTTAATTTTCACTAATTCTTAATTATTTCCCCCTTTAAAGAAGGGAAATTGACGCTTCTTATGAGCAAACTTAAATCCCTTTCACCCAAGAACGTTTTGTGAAATTGGCCCGGTGGTTCTTGAGGAGAAGTCGAAATTGTGTAAAGCTAAAATACAGACTCCAAAACATACAGCAACATATTAAGCAGAAACTCTTCAATCAGAAAAACTCACTTGACCTTTCCGGTCGTATGAGTATGAGTATTAAATTTATTTCTGATAATTTAATTTTCTATCAATAATACTAGTAGCAAAAAAGAGACAATTTTCCCTTTCAAAATGACTTTAAATTGCACAAAGTTTAAAAGTTACGTCAAGTTGATGGATACGATACGTATTAATATTAATATAAGTCATTGTAACGATTGCAAAACATGTTATAGGATAAAGACTTTTTTTCTTATCAAATGGCGTGTTACAACAAGAAATTGACTCATTAAGATCAAAACACTTGAGTTAAACTTAAAACATTTTTTCAGATGAAAATAAATCCCACGGATCATAGAATTTGACCACAAAAGGACAATTTCTTTCAGAAATAAAGGATGATATGAAAAGAAAATATGCTTTCAACTTGAATATTTTTATCAGTCTTTTTTATCATTCAGAAAAGGAGCGTTACATCTCCGTTTTATGAAAAAAAGAAAGCAACAATTTAACTGAGTCGTTGAATTGTCCAATAGTATTGGTGCAATCTGTAAAGCTTTCAAATAAAAACTTAATGTAGAAGCTGAGACATTCTTATAACCAGCCTACATACAGATTTGTCCCCCAACAAAATCATAAAGAATTTTTTTACGATCATGCTTTTCTAATGCGACAAATTTCAGCTTCGTAGTTATGACCCCTATGATACATATCAAAAGCTCCAAATATACCATCTTTACGAGGACTGTTCAATAAATAATGTCCTGAACTGTGTGACATACAATACAGATATCATACATATGACATTAAGCTAGACTTTTCGCATTATTGAATCTTTAATGAATTTATAATAATTCATGTGACTACTTTTCATCACATATAGTTTTATTGTGAGAAGCTGGAAAACAAGGGCTATTCGAGACACTGCATTAAAAAATGAATGGAAAAGAATCAGTAAAATAGAGTGAAATTAAACGCTTCCTTAAAGCTGTTGTAAAACTCGTTAAGAATCCCAAAGAAATACTCAATGAAATATGCAAAATTTACGGCAACCAATGTCTGTTTAATAGACAAATGAGCAAGTGGATTTCAATGATTAAAAAATTATAAAATGGGCATCAAAAATGGGTATCGTCCTAATGCCAACAAAAAATTATAACACCTAATGTAATGTTTGCCAAATTTCAATAAAAAATCACTGATGATGTATGATTGACACATAGGAAATTTGATAGACATCATTTTGGGAGTAGTTTACACTGTTTTAAAGAAACGTTTGGCAGTAAAGAAGATTAGTACTCAAAGATCACCCTATGTTTTGAAAAATGAGTGAAAACGACAGCGTGTAAGAATCTCAACAATTATTTTAAAATATCAGTAATTGTAGTTATCCACGTTTGTTTAAAATTCAAAAGGAAAATAAAACTCGAATCTATTGCTTATTCCTTGAAACAAAATTTATAATAAGATGTACTTGACAAAACCAGCAAAGGTCTGAGAAGAGCAAAGAATTGCAAGAGCACAAAGATTGAATTATATGCAATTTTCTTAAAAATAAGTGGTCTTGTTGTTCAAATTCGTATTCGGGGTGGCAGTTTAATTTCTGGAAGAGTGTAGAAAGCAGATTGTTAAAAAAAAAATCGAAAGGTAAGTGAGAGGAAGGACCCAGAATCAGGAATCCACTACATTAAATTTCTTCATGACAGCGTCCAAACCCGCAAGCCCTGAAGAGTAAAGGAGTTTTTGGAATAAACAGAAAGTTAATTTTTTTCACATTAATAATATTCGCCAGATGTTTCATCTTCTGACTTGTTTCATTTTCCAATCTCGAAAAAACACCTTTCGGGGGGGAAGAAACGAGTCCAGGAAATCATAAGATCTGCCGTTTCCATGTATGCTAAGGGTCATACCCAAAAATGAGTTCTAAAAACAATCAGAAATACGATAAACAATTTTACGGACATGTGTTTTAATCAAAAGAGAATATTACATTAAATCATGAAGACTAAATCATTGAAGAGCGTCTTTTGCTTCTTTCCGAGCACTCGTACATTAAGTTAAAAAGAAAAGTTGGACTTGAGAAAAAGGTCATGTTCTTTTTTGTTAGCTTCTGATAAGAAATTAATAAAATCATTTTCCCCTTAAAGAAATAAAAAAAAAATGAGTATTTAATCACTAGTTGGAAAAGGTCGGACCTGACCTCTAAGTTACTTACGTTTCTGTTCTCTCCCGAAAAGTGGACTCCATTTTGTAGGGATTGCGATGGAAATTTGATGTGGTTATAAATATAGTTGCTTTGTATTTCGACAACAAAAAAAACAGCGTCATAATAATCAATATATGCTTGAATAGTTAACTTATATGTTCCTTGTTGAACAGATTTAAATGGACTATATATAAGATTTTTAAACATTTCCTTCTTTATCATTGTTTATACAAGAATACTTCTTTGGGATCGCCATCAGTGGGTGGGGACTGTTGAAATTGACATTAGAGGCCTCGTGTATTTTAAATATATTAGTCTACCTTTGTAAATTAGAAATCTAATTTTTTTTCACAATGAAATGGATATAAAGTATAAGGAATCACTGTCTAGTTAGTAGAGTATGCTAGGGACATCAACCTTAGTTTCCAACTATTGTTGATGCCCCTTGCATAATCTACCAACTAGACAGTGTTTCCTTAAATAGTTATATACAATATAAAATGTCATTTAAAGTAGCACGAAACAGATGGCATTATATTGTTTGAATAATGAAGGATAACCTCCTCAGTCTCGAAATGTTGTTTGAAATACATAAGAGCCTCGGTTTTGATATTTCAAACAATATTTCGAGACCGACAACCTAAATATTGAAACAAAGTGTGCAATTTTTGATACATATGTGACAAGTGTTTTGTCATATGGAGCTAAGATATAGGGTTTTCACAAGGCCAAAGATGTTGAACAAATTAATAGTATAACTTTTGTAAGAGCGGTCTTATAGGTGTGAAATTATGTATCCCAAACCATATACATGTAGTGTATTATAAATTAGGCAAATTAAACCTCTGTATCTTTCAAAGAAACTTCAAATTTTGAAATATTGGCTTAAAGTTTTAAAAATACAAAAAACTGTATATTAAAAGGATGTTATGAAGAATAAGGTAGGAATAAATGACAACTGGTTTAATGAAATTAAGAATGAATTTGATAAGCTTGGTTAAAGTTATCTCCTGTTCCAAAACTTTGATACTCAGGACTAGAGAATTTGTAATAGTTAAGCAAAGATTCTTTGATGTGTCTAGTCAAGAAATCCTTCACAGTATTAAGATGTCTTAAAGTTCTAAGGGAAATTCGTATCAGCATAGTATAGCCATTTTTGTTTCCAGAATTATTTATCAAAACCTTTTAAACATGAATACAAAAGAGTATCACAAGCTTTAGACTGACTAGTCATAAATTGCGGTTTGAAGAAGATAAATATGTTAATGAATTGAAATTACAGAGTATTATGTTCATTA